CTCTTTGTTGACCGGACGAACAGTCTTGGGAGTAGACTGTGCGACCAAATCGCCAGTTAATTTCCGTACAGCAACACTTGGGTTGCTCGTCTTAGGCGGTGATGCCTGGTTCTTTTGGACTCTCTTAACGTGGGTCGAATCGCCTACAGGGTTTTGGGACCCTGAGCTGGGAGACCTGAGTTTGCTTAGGGAGTCTAATACCTTCGACGTAATGATGGTGCTGAGCCTCGACACGTCATCATTAGTGTTGATGGATGCTCCATTGATGGTATGCCTATCGACATCCCTGTTTTTGTATCCGTCGCACGCTCTTGTTTGTCTACCGGTTTTTTTACTATCGTTGTCCAAGTTAACTGACAACTTGTTCCGAAGACCTGTCAGTAGGACAATGATGTTACTCAGCAAAACTACAGCATCCGTGCTGCACGTGACACATACCCATTTTTGGTCTGACTTGCTGAGTCTGTTGTAAGCAGTTGATGTCAGATCTGTGCATGCTTCGTGGAACCAACCTTTGCAGTTGTCGCACTGCATGCCAAATGCAACAGCAAAACGGCATCCCGGACGTTTGCATGAGTGTTTCATGACAATGTTGAAGCAAAGGTTACGAACATGATGAAGAGCGACAACAAATCAGATCTAAGTTAAGAAAAAGTCTAAGAAACGACCGTGAGCAGTGGTGGGCAACGAAAGCAAAAAAGATGTAAAAGGCGGCGACTATAGGGAACACAAGACAGCTTTAGAGACTGATAAAAGAAACTGGAATTAATAAGTCAAGTGTAAGTGAGATTATATCGGAAAAAGACGATACACTCATCTGCTCCTGGTCCAGGCGTTTAGAACGATGGGCGGAACATTTCAGAGAACAGTTCGGCTGGCTTTCAGCGACTCTACAACTACCCTACATTCCCAGACAGCGTGAATGGAACATTGAAGTAGGTCCTCCAACTCTTGCTGAAGTTCAAAAGGATATAGATAATCTGAAACGAGGAAGGGCAGCTGGTCCAGATGGACTGGCTGCAGAAGTCTTTAAGGATGGTGGTACAATTTTAGCTATTAGGTTGACTAATATTTTAGCTAAGATCTGGGAGTTAGACGTTATTCCATCTGACTGATCACAATCACTTATCGTCCCAATATATAAGAAAGGATCAAAATCATCCTGTGACAAACACAAAGAGATTAGTTTAACTAATATAATATCTAAAATACTAGCCTCAATAATAATCAGACGCCTAACTAAGACTCGTGAACTTCAAACACGAAAGTATCAAGCTGGCTTCAGACCTGGTCGTGGCTGCATCGACTACATATTCACCATTCGTCAGGTTCTAGAACATAGGCATAATTATCGACGTCCGACAATGTTGGTCTTTCTTGACTTAGAAGCAGCATTTGACTTGGTAGACCGCGAGATTCTGTGGCAGTGTCTGTCATTGAAAGGCGTACCTCAGAAGTACATAAACCGTGTAAAGGCTCTTTACTCGAACACTACTAGTCGAATGAGAGCTTATGGCGAACTGTCATCTACTTTTGCAACCTCAAGTGGTGTCCGTCAAGGCTGTCTACTTTCTCCATTTTTGTTTAACTTCATCATAGATCTACTGATGGAAATAACTTTCTCGTCGACTGAATTCTCGGGTATTGATCTCCATCCAGGTGGTTCACTTATCGACTTAGAATACGCAGATGACATAGTCCTGTTTGGTGAAGACGCTGATAAAATGCAGAGTCTTCTGATATCACTGAGCAACAATGCCAGGATGTTTGGAATGCGCTTCTCTCCCTCTAAATGCAAGTTGTTGCTTCAGGACTGGTCTGCGGTAACACCTGAACTAAGGATAGGGAGTGAAGTAGTCGAACGCGTTGACAACTTCACTTATCTTGGAAGTCTGATCAGACCTAATGGGTTGGTATCGGACGAAATCTCAGCACGGATTCGAAAAGCTCGTTTGGCTTTTGCCAACTTACGTCACCTGAGGCAAAGGCAAGATATCCGTCTATCAATAAAAGGACGAGTAAACTGCGCGGCAGTCCGTTCTGTTTTAATTTACGGCAGCGAAAAATGGCCATTAAGAGTAGAAGACACTCGTAAGCTATTAGTATTTGACGACAGATGCCTAAGAAATATTGCTGGCGTCTGCTGGGATCACCGGGTAAGTAATAGTGAGGTTAGACGTAGGGTATTAGGGAACGATGGTAAATCAGTTGATGAGGTTGTGAATCTTCATCGACTGAGATGGTTGAGCCACGTGTTACGTATGCCTGAACACCGATTACCACGGCGTGCAATGCTATCCGGTATTGGAAATGGTTGGAAGAAAGTTAGGGGCGGCCAAACCAAAACGTGTTTGAAATCACTAATTTCTAGTCTAAGCCATGTTGGTAGATGCAGATTACTTGGTTGGGATCCGCGTGACTTTCGTAACCGATGGTTGGAGACTCTTGGTGATATGGCTCAGAATCGATAACAATGGCGTCGGTGTATACACTCCCTGTCTTACCTTAAACTATGAGATTAAAATCGCTTCATATCTTTTTTTCTACGAACCAATTCTTTCTTCTTGTACTATATCTCTATATGCAATCTTTCTCTTATATATTACCACCTTTTACCTAAAAACTGTTATGAATCTGGTGTTCATCTTGTTGTGCTGATGCGGTATGGCAATCTGGACCGATGCATATATGTGCCTGGTCCTACGTTTTAGCTGACTGACTGACGTTTTGGTCACATAATGTATTCACACCTAGTGCTATCAACTCACAGACTTATGCACTTCTTTGCATTTTGGTGAAGCCTCCCATAAAGTTAGTCAACATCGTTTCAGTCGCTGTTAGTCGTATATGGTTAGCATTTAGTAATATACACTGTGATCATCTCATTTTTTGTACTGAGGGGTACTTTAGTGGTGAAGGATTCATGACATTCCCATCGTATAGGTGGCCTTCACGCTTAAGTGGATAACATTAGAGAAAATATTCTTGTGCTCAAGATCTTCTCCATGACCAAACTACAACAGTACGTATACTAAAGATTATTTTTTTAAAAAAGCTTTCGTCATTGTTCCGACCACCACCAACATGTATCTCCTTATAGATGCAGCTATTTGACTGGTCTTCCCAGTCTCCTATAATGTTGCGACAATCCATGGACCTATATTTACTATTGTTCTGGTTATTAGAAGGGACACTAGCCATATGATTTTCGAAGAATTTCATGATAAGTCATTTTCTTTATTCTAAGGGACGACACTTCAACTCCGAAGGCAGAGTTTAGATGATTTTTTCTGTTCATTTATTTTACCATTGTTGCCTATACGACATATAGTTGGTGACCTCATGCCTAACCCTACTCCTTTGTCCAAGCATAAAAATGTGAGCAACCCTAGAATAGCTACTATCAAAGTTAAGCAAGAAAGCATACCAACAAATTAGCCAGTGCAATGGGAGTCTGTATATTTCACACCAAAAACTGCTAATTCAGCCCCCAACATATAAAGAAACAGATAAGGATTGTCGATTTCTAGAACCGACAATAGTACATATAGAAAAGTTTGGTCACTAAGATCATCTATTTAGAGTACATTTTATGTTCAGAATCCAGTACTTTGAGTGTAGGTAGAGAATGTCGTCCCTTACTAGGACAATTAAGATATTTTTGTGAAATTTCAATTACTAGAAATTCGGATTACGGATGTTTCTTTACTTAACGCAAGCCTCTTCATCAAAGTGAATAGGTAACCATGTCAAACTAATGCATGTTCTATGCGCTGTTGCTTATCCGTTGAGCTTTCACAAGTCAAATCATAGATAATGATAATAAGTGGTCAGATGATGACAGCAGGAAAACTAATAACAACTAATTGAGACCAGACAGTCAGTCATATGTAGAAAGATTCGAATAACCCACTTCAACACGACGTTTGCATTATTATCTGGGAAAGCTTTACAATTAAACCACAACCTAGAGATAAGCACCTCCAAAGGTGCTGAAGAAAGCATCAGTCATAGTGTGGGTACTACTACATTTATGTGAGGATGAAACAATACGGCACTACATATTTTCTCAAAAAACCCTTGTATCCATATTAGAAAGTCATCACATTTGAGAAAGAGATTTTCCCTATCTGGTGTCAGATGGCCTAATTGTTAAGTTTATCCTTTAGCCACAAAGTCTTAGGTTCGAACCTCGACCCAGAGGTAATAAAAGACTTGGTAGGGCAGACCAATTTAGCGTATTATGCAAAGGCATACACATTTTTTTGAAATCTGGAAACAAATTAAAAATACTATTTGCTCATCTCTAGTGAGCTGTCCCTTACACACCCCATCATTCTTCCAATCCTCTTGTTATTCCGATTGCTACATTTTACTCCCTTTTCTCTTCATTTGATCTGATGGTAAGCACTATACTCCCTGATACATACTAAATATATCTGTCCATATAAGAAGCACACCACCTTCGGTTTATGCAACCAGGTAGACCCACTAGGTTTCATATTTAAGCACTTGGGGGATGTAGATGTTCTGCCGACAGAGTGGAACATGCAAACGAAAATCCCACTATTTTTCGACCTAGTCTAGACATCTTTGATTATAGTTTACGTCTGTCGCATCCTGATTTAAAATTTTTGTAAGATTGACTTTCGGAGAAAATAGTAGGGTGTTAGGAAATGTTGCCGGGTGAGAATCCCTTCTTTCGATACAGACCATTTAATTATTGCTGCTATAATGACCTTGATGAATTGCTATTATGTGCCACAACGATAATTTAACAACTAACAGTAGCTTTTGCTATCCCCTTCTAATGCGAAGTCAAATTCACTACTGCCAATTTTTGTATGCGTCACAATAAGTGTGATATTTAATAATTTCAACGTATAACATCAAATAATTTAGTTATACTTCATAAACATGTCGTATGTTATCCATTAGGTTACAATCATTACGAATAGGGGATTACAGAGTTTAAAGATGAGGTTTTTAAAAACAAACACTTGAGTGCACATTCTTTATTTACGAATCATTTAGATATAAATTTACTCTACAGATTATTTCAAAAGATCAGGAATTTTACTCACCTATACACATTTTTAAATCTTACAAATTATATGTTAAGCTTTTATTGATTGCATTAGGCAAGCATATAAAGGGAACCTGGATGCTAGTAAAAAGAAATAAAACTCTATCTGCACTGAACATACGTAAATATAAATATCACAGGTAAGAAATAAACAGAAATTAACATCATGTTAACAATTAAAAAGTTGGTTCAAGAAAAATACGTAAAGAACTATAAATCAATTATGCCGCTAGATTTACATGAAGATGTATAGTTCACAGCAGATGTTACTACTGTCGTTTTATTCAACAAATTAATGTTACGATCATAAGTATTATTTGAAGAATTTTTTTGTGATACTTGCAAATTATTCTCCATCTGTATGCCAGTAAAAAGTCCAACAGGTGGGAAAGTTGGTAAAAATGTTGAAAAGATAGAAGCTGAACTGGAAAATGGTGAGTTATTTGCACCATGTGAGCAATCTCCGTTGCTAAGGTTTGTTAATACATGAATTTTATCGGATGATGCGGATTCCTGAAATGATACGAAATTGAGAAATAAAGGATAACTTGCATACGTCAGTACATCAAGACGGTTTATGAAGTATTGGTAAAAAAAGCATTTACGTCGTACTGAAAACTACTCACAAGATTGCTCCTAAGTAGTATCTAGCTGTACGCGGCCTCGAAGTTGTCACAGTCGTTAGATGGGGTAAAGGGTTACAGTATAGAAAGAATGGAGTATGTAGGACACTTGGTGACCAAACGACAGGACAATTGGAATTGTAAAACACAATACTAGATGCACATGGATGATCGAAGGATATATATGCGTATTATGTAAACGCCTTGTAATTTCTCTTAACAATCCTTCTACCCATTGTCTTAATCCAAAAGGTGAGAAAGTAATTATACATTTTCATTATAACTACTATCAAAAACACACTTGAACCACAGACAGCATATGGGTGCAAAACGATCTATCCCTTAAAGGATTCGGTTTTGAACAAATGTTGAAAAGTTGGCAACTGATTGGTTGGTACACATCGTATCTATGCAAAATGCCATATAAGACGAATGGAATGAATCCGAATGAAACTGTAATTACATTGACACTGAATAACGACAAGCAACGTGACCATAAAATCCGAATACCAGTGTTCTGTTATTACAATCACTTGCTAGTGGGTAGAACATACTTACTTACTAAATTACGCCTGTTACTCCTCGTGAAGGAGCATAAGCCGCTCACCAGCATTCTCCATCCAACCCTGTCCTGGGCAATCCTTTCTAGCTCCGTCCAGTTGTAATTCATCATTTTCATATCTGCTTCTATTATCAGACGCAATGTGTTCTTTGGCCTTCCTCTTTTTCGCTTCCCTTCAGGATTCCAAGTTAGGGCTTGCCTCGTGATGCAGTTTGACGATTTGCGTAATGTATGTCCTATCTATTTCCATCGTCTTTTCCTAATTTCTTCTTCAGCTGGAAGTTGGTTTGTTCTCTCCCACAGAAGGCTATTGCTGATGGTATCCGGCCAATGGATGCTGAGTATCTTGCGTAGACAGCTATTTATAAATACTTGTACTTTCTTGATTGTGGTTGTTGTAGTTCTCCAAGTTTCAGCTCCATATAGTAGAACTGCCTTGACGTTGGTATTGAAGATTTTCACTTTGATATTGGTTGAAAGTTGTTTTGAGTTCCATAAGTTCTTTAACTGTAGGAATGCTGTCCTTGCTTTGCCAATCCTTGCCTTTACGTCTGCATCTGAACCTCCTTGTTCATCGATGATGCTTCCTAGGTATGTGAAGGACTCTACATTTTCCAGAGAATGATTGGATTGTTGTTTTCCGCTTTGAATTTGAGGACTTTGGTTTTCCCTTTGTGTATGCTGAGGCCTACTGATGCAGAGACTGCTGCTACACTGGCTGTCTTTGTCTGCATCTGTTCGTGTGTATGCGATAGGAGGGCTAGGTCATCTGCGAAGTCCAAATCGTCTAATTGATTTTGAGCTGTCCATTGTATTCCGTCTTTTCCTTCAGATGTCTTTATAATCCAGTCGACCATCAGGAGAAAAAGTAAGGGAGAGAGTAAACAGCCTTGTCTTACTCCGGTCCTTACTTGGAATGCATCTGTCAGCTGTCCTCCATGCACGACTTTGCATTGTAGTCCGTCGTATGAGTTCCGGATAATATTGACAATCTTCTCAGGAACTCCGTAGTGTCGAAGAAGTTTCCATAATGTCCTCCTATCCACACTGTCAAATGCCTTTTCATAATCAATGAAGTTGATGTATAGTGACGAGTTCCACTCAACTGATTGTTCGACGATGATCCGTAGTGTTGCAATTTGGTCTGTGCATGATCGATCCTTACTGAATCCAGCTTGTTGATATCGAAGTTGGGGGTCTACTGCATCTTTCATCCGGTTCAGCAACACTCTGTTGAAGACCTTCCCTGGTATTGACAGCAGTGTAATGCCTCTATAGTCTTCACATTTGCTCAGATCTCCTTTCTTTGGAATCTTGATGAGGTGCCCTTCTTTCCAGTCCATCGGCACTTGTTCCTCCTCCCAAATCTTTTTCAATAGAAGGGTAGAATATATTGCTTCAAAATTTAACTATTAAACAATAAAATGCTTTATAAAATTAACGTGAAGTTGTAGATCACAACACTTGCCACGCCAATTTTTTTCTAAAATATCTTCAAGAAAGGTCTCTCAACTCTTTAACGACTCTGTGGCCTTGTGCCCAATCAATATATAACGTAATGATACCGCCAATTGTAGAACAGTGACCAATGACGCATAAACCTGTATGAGCCGTCTAGAGCCCTTATCAGCTTTCGTTCCTACCTAGCCTAAACCTCCGCGATATAAACCATATATTTCAAACATACTGGGTTAATATACAAACCAAACAGACCACACCATAAAACAGAAAACGACATTTGTACAAGATCTAGCAAGAGTGGTTGTGATTGTGGGAAATTATAATTAATAGAGTGAGTATAACCAAAGAACGGTAAATCATATAATGATAATAACAATAAAAAGAGTATGAATATACACAGTCTAGTTACTTAACGATTATACAATAAAAATATACGTATAGTATTAGACCACAAATAGATCCCAGCAGTTACCATTCATTATTCTCGTTAGGATATTTAGACTTTTCAAACGTTTTAGAAATACGAGTTTAATTAGCTCAATATATTATTGTTATTCTCTTCTGTTTGGTTGTTTTATAATCATTTGAAAGTTTCAATGATGGTTACAATCACACCACAATCCCATGAGAATTAATAAGATGCAACACCATTAACGTTCAAGTTTAACATAGATATTTTACCACAGATGCAACGATAAGGTGTTTTTGGAAGATAGCTTTTATTTTTAATGTTGTCTTATCAGCATCAAAATTAACAGAGACTGGTTTCGAAAATAGTTCACTTAAACGTACACAAATAAAATATGAAAAGTGCACGTTTGACATAGAAAAAACTTGGAATTCATTGTTGACCCGGAGAAATGTCGTTTGATTAATAATTAGTCAAATTATAGAAAACTATACGTTAATTTATCATTTCCCATCACATAACCACGACTAATAAATGTCACAGTTTTACTTACAACTGGTGGCAATTCGGATATGAATTGATTTGGATTTGCCTGAAGCAATTTGACAGCAGAAATACAATCTTCTTTACAACGATCCTAAAAAGTAAGTAGAGAAATTAAAACTGACAATAATACTGTGCTAACCAGAATTAACAAAAAAAATGACAAGATTACACTAATGAAAGTGGGATAAGCACGTAAACAAGAAATTTAATAAGCTCTACCAGAATATCAATTTATCTGGTAAATCAGTATTATGATGACAAAAGTTTGCTTTACTTTGTTTTCAATATTATGGTTTGTGCAGATCCGATAAATTCGAACCAATATGTCTTCACGAAACCCAATTGAATTGGACCGAACAATGAATATAAAAACTGCTTTAGTGTCCTGTCCATATAGCCTTTCAATAAATACAGAGTCTGTCTGAACCATCTTCTTTTTTCACTAACAAGTATAGCGAAGAAGGAGAGGTGATCATTCATCTCTTCGTATAAGATTAATGTGCTTGTGCGGTGTACCGAATTTCGTTAACAGACAATTCGAATTTTCAGATTCTTCACGTATGACTATGATATTATACATGTACCACATAAAAAGGCAGATTGTAGATTGAATCTTCTATTAAGTTCTGGACAAAGATACACATCAGCTAATGATCATAAAAGGTTGACAATTGTTAGGCCATCTTCCAGTCAACAACATTCACATTTGAAAGTGAAGTGGACTTTGTCAGTGCATAACAAAGACAGAAATCCTTAGACATAAGTTTCATGGAATTTGAAACTCATCATTAAGGCGTATCATTAGGGAATTGATTATCCCTGGTGGACTCGGACTCATGTCACACATTGACAGAGTGAGATGTTATCACTGAGCTATTTGAGTCAGTCAGTCAGCTACAACGTAGGACCAGGCACATATGTGCATCGGTTCACGTTGCCATACCTCATTAGCACAGCAAGATGAACATCGGATTCATAGGAGTGGTTAAGTCAAAGGTGGTAATATATAGGAGACAGATTGCAATAAGGATATAGTGTAGGAAGAAAGAATTAGTTAGTAGAAAGAAAGATATGAAGTGATTTTAATCTCTTAGTTTAAGGGAAGACAGGGAGTGTACACACCGACGCCATTGTGATCGATTCTGAGCCATGTCACCAAGAATCTCCAACCATTGGTTACGATGGTCACGCGGACCCCAACCAAGTAGTCTGCATCTACCAACATGGCTCAGACAAGAAGTTAATGACTTCAAGTACTTATTTGGGCCATGACTAAACTCACTCCGACTAGTGGTTATAATGAAACTTGATCCATGGAAATTGATCACTACTAGATGACTAGACAAACATGCCACTGATCACTGTTCAGCGATCAGTTAATCTGAAAAGAATGTTAGCTAAGTTCATTTCAAGCGATTCATATATATAAGGATATTCCAAACCTGAGTTTTAGAGAATATAGTTATTCTCCACTAATAACATTCATGCTCAGAAATTTAAAACATTATGTGTGAGCAGATTACTTCTTCATCTTTAAACTACGTTTAAACAAAAGAAATTCAGTCAAATCTTGAAACGATAAGACGAGATTTATAGAATTTCAAGATGGTAAAGAAATGGAGAAACATAATAAGGGTTTACTACTAAATGAGTGATACCTGTAATTTCACAAAGAAGTAAAAGTCTGAACCTATTGAGAAAAGTGAACCACCAACAATAAGTAGTGAAATTATTAGAGATGAAATACCTAGCTGTATGTTGAAGTATCAACTGAGTATATTTATTCAAACTGCTAGTTAATCTTTTAAATAAACAAGTACCGATGCAACTAGTCAATAATAGCTTGTTGGTGTTAGCTAATAAATGTATGTGGAACAATAACTAAAACGTTAACACTGCGACTAGCAACAGGTTCAAACCCCATAAATTAATCACAGAAGAATAAAAAGACCTCAAATATAAATGGTTTAACTCAAAGACAAAGACATAAACTAGTGCTTAATAAACGAATTGTATACATTGTATTTAGAAGTATTTATCATTCCATAAACATAATTAACTAGATTAGCAACAACAAAAATAATTAAATCTACAGAAAATAATAAAAATTTAAATCAACTGACCCTTTCCTCCACGATAGAATTTAATGTCTGTTGTGCTGTTCTTAAAGTGTTTTTAGTTGATTCCAATTCTTCAGTTAATTGATGAATTTCAATACTGGACTTCTCAATCTAAGTAAATGGATTTTTTATTTAAAAGAAATAATACAATTAACAATACATGTATACTTGTTTCAAACAATTAACCAAAAGAAAAAACAAACAAATAAATGTAAACTCACAAAATAATAATAATAATAGTAATAATGATTATCATTATTACCATATGAATAAAAAAACATCACAAAGACATACTAAATACTACTTAATGATAAAATTGGATATGAAGTGAGCACTGTAACCTGCTACTGAGACTATTTTAAGCATCAGAACAAAAAGCATGGCTATTATTACTATCATCAGTTAATTGATTTATTAACGTGCATACAAACACAAACAAACGCTGTTTCAATTGCAATACAATGAATTACAGTAAGAATTAAATATACAAATTATACTACAGATAAATGTTAAGAAGCACATGTGTAGATATGCAAATACGTTTCATTTTAATGGAGATTTGAGCAAATGCATCAAATAAAGAACTATGACGATTCGATATTATGATATCACCTTGTACCGACGAAACTGATATCATGATTGTGATATATGTGAAATTGAGACGTAGTATATTATGATACAAATAAATAAACAAACACCGTTTTACATAAAGATTCAAGAAAATCAAAAAACTATTTGTTCAATAACAAATTCATTAGTCTATATGCAGATATACGTGCATTATCATCAGTTAAAGAAAAGATACAAAGTGGGTGCTACTTAAACGAAAATGACACACTGAATTATTTACAAGTTTCATTCTCAGCCGTAGCATAGTTTTCGTTCGCAGTCGTATCGACATCTTTCTTTCAAGTTCGATTTCGAAGTTCAATGTTTGAACTGCAAAAGAATGTTTTGTAGATAATTGTCTCTACTTAAATCACAGTTTTGGTGACATATTGTGTTGCACTGGTAGATTATCTATTGAGAGAGCAACATTGTTATGTTTATTTACTGTTATTTCGATATAAATCCTTGCTTGTTATGATCTTTTATAGTCATTGTTGGGGATGCTAGACCCCCAGGAATTACTTGGTAAAATCTGAATTTCTCATTTTCGCACCGAAAGTGTCCATCATTATCTTCAGTTCGTGTTTCTCACCTGGAAGGGTCTTAACCGTCATTGGTTCGTTCTCCTTCTTAGTACGTTATTTCGTGACACTTCTTCCTTCACTTAGCAGGGCTGAGGCGCAAAGGAGTAGCTTAGCTATGCCCTGTTATCGAGTTGGCGGTTTAGGTCCCGTTCGCCGATACCAAGGTAATATTATGATATCTCGAACATAAGAGATTGGTAGGGGGCTTTAACGAATAAAGATAAGTGATGCATTCTGATCATTCAGAAACAAAATACCTTTCAGAATAATTTTAATTTACTTTAAAGAAAAACTTGTATTATTTCACAAGTCAGGCTGAGAATGCTTTACTTCAACAAAATATGTGGTTTATTAAATACAGCTATTTTTACAATTATTACTGTTACTTTTATTATAACCAGACTATCTGAAATAGTCTTCAATCAAGAGGTTTACACGCACTGAATTAGCAATTTGATAGTGAAACAAACTTACAGTATCTAATAATCTCTCTTCTAATTCGTGATTAAGTTTACTTAATCGTTGATGACTTGAGATTAATCTAAACAAAGAGAAAAAAAATACTGAAGTACATAAGACAATCTAAGCAAAAGTGTGCTTGTTTTGACAAATGAAGCAGTAAAAGGACCAAAGTAAAAAAGAATAAAAAGAATAAATGTAGTATGATAGGACGACAACAAAAATATTAGTTTGATTGAAAATACGTTGACAAAATAATATGAATGTTGATGGTGAAGATCAAAAATATATTTTCGCCTTTCTGGAAATATCAATACTATGACATTATAAATAATATATTGAAGTGATATGAAACAACTAAGATGATTGCACAGGGTAATAAAATATTACTTATAACCAAGCGTATAAATATTAAAAAACACACCCGTTTAATAATTTAATCTGAACTGAAATGCAACACAAAGTAATGAGTATATCTGTATATTTACTGTTTATTTGAGGTTAATGGGTATGGAAAAACTATCCAAAGGGTTTATTAAACATTAGTTCGAAACCACAGATGTACGTGGACTCCAGATTTCTGACAGAACAAACAAAGTACAAAATTAGCGTGGTCATCCATAATCAAGCGATAGCATCTTTCAAGGACGCCACAATGAATGTGATCTAGCCGATATGTCAAAGAAAACTTTTTAGTGATAGAATTTTGTATCAGTATTCTAATCCTTCATTTACATAGTGGAAAACAATTCTACTTTAAAATAAACGATGCAATGTTGTAAAATATGCTTAAATGTGCATATGAATTATATAAACGTCCATCCATATTCCAATGTACACTTGAGAACATATTTCTGAAGCAGTTTTGCGAATGAAAATTTTAAATAAATGGATAGGAAACGATTATCATTAATTTTAGCAATCATTCATATGTTTCGTTAAAGTCCAGTGCTTCTAAGTTTTTAATGGTGGTCTAGCTTAGATCGAATATTGAATTCAAATGCGAAAATACTATAATCTTCACATATCACCACACTGTAAAAAACATATCACACTCTCGCAATGCCTATTCGATCTTCTTCTACAATAAATCACGTGGAACATGAACACAGCGATAATCAAACTGAAAGAAGAGTGCAACAATGTGAAATCAATAAAATAAAAGAATGAGCTAGAAAACAACTTCAGTAAATAATGAAAAACTGGTGTGAAATAATAAGGTTAATCATGTGGTGGTATACAAGGTAATAATAAATAAAATAATGCCCATGAGATTGAAGTTATCTACCTTTCATATACACTAGAAATTTATTAGAACATAGATAACCATCCTAATTTTTTTACAAATATTCCGATCAAGTTTCAATTCTTCTTAAGTAGTTTCTCCGCAATCAATGATTATACGACCTCAGAGGTGGTTGGTTAAAGTGTCATGAATACAAAACAGTTAACCACAAAAGGCAACGAATCTAGGTGGATTAGGAATACATTGGAACGAAATTATTACCGTGAATCAATCAAGAAGTTGCTCACTATCATGTGAAAAACCGCAAATATTTACACTAAAATTAGCCAGATTTTATGAAACAATGATTACAAGTCTTAGAAAATATGATTTAATATCCACTAATCTGTCAGCGGAAAATTAAGACATGGGACAAACATGTATCAGTTCAAGTTGTCAAATCTCCGATCCCCATTTCGACAGGGGAAAGAAACAGGATAAAATGCAAATGAATAGGAAAGATCATATCGATTACAATCGAGAACTAACCAATAAAAATACAATTTAAAATAATCGAATAAAGTCAAATGAAGCCAGTAAGGTCATAACTTACTGGAAAACAAAGAATGACAGTGAATATTGCACTTCAAGCGAATTAGGTTCACTTCACCTAACGTAATGAAACAAATTACGATAACTTCACAAGAACATACCAAGAACTCTATATTTCTTGATAAATCCAAAATCAGTATTCAATAACTTCACAGGTTGATGCTATAAAAGGGAATTGATCCCTCTTATACATCAGTCATCAGTTAGACAGCTAGTTATTATTATCCACCTTAGGAAGTTAAATGGGGTTAAGGACTAGTTTATTCAATCTTAAAGACTAGCTGGATTATCATTTGACTTTTAGGCAGTTGAATCTTACAATCAGCTAAATTTTAAACCTAGATTCTAAAGCATTTATACTTAAATGATACGTTTAGCATCGATTAATTAATCACTTTTTCAAAGCTATTTTGTCAGTAAATAAAGTACTGAAATAGATTCTAAAATAGCATACATAAAATACATGCCAGTTTGCAAAAATGAACCTAGTACAATAATCATTGGTAAAGTGAAATTTACTAATTTCTGCTAAAAGACAATAACCTATTGAGCTCATGAAACTTACTATCATACCTACTCATAAACAAAATAGTCAATAATGTGATTTTTTTTAAAAAGTAAACAATTAACAATAATAAAGAGGATGCTAATGTAAGTAACATAATTACAACAATAAAGACTTATATTTCAACCCCCACTACAAGCAGCAATAATGATTTCATAAAGTAACGTTGACCTGGTAACTGGACTAGAGGCTATGAATTCTGATTTATTTAGAGGTATAAAAAGCACCACATACATATATACTAGTCTGCCTATTCAACCTGATTTATTACAAGCAAAGGATGAGGGGAGGTTGTTCACTTATTTTACCAAAAAATAGCGTTTGGCCCCCAAATACCCTGGTATGGCCGAGAGCGGGGTAGGTTCGCCCTCCCTCTCGAAATACTCTTACACGGCCACGTGTATATAGCCTCTGCCAGGGAAGTCTTACTCACTGCCTTCTCGTGGCGGAGGTGTTGTTTACGAAAATGAGAGGACGAAAAGCGAATGTCCGGCGCTCTAACCGGATTCCAAATCAATGGTGCACATGGGCTCCAGTATCCTGCGGGAACAAATGGCGTATGAACCAACCGTTGGTCACCGGCTACTATGCGACTGCATTTCCTTACGATGCTCCACTGCCTTGTGGGTTAGACCATTAGGTTAAAGGCTCGGGGTGTGGCCCCCTAAGAAAACCACCTGCTTCGGTTTGGGCACCAGGGCAGTAACACAGCCCACACACAATTAATGAACTGAACTGTCTATGATCATGGAAACTAATTCTCTTGCTTCGACAAACATTTAAATATGATTGCTATTATTATTATTATTATTATTATTATTATTATTATTATTATTATTATTATTATTATTATTATTATTATTTACTGCATCATTATTCACCCTCTTTTATTCCTACTGTCTGTACTTATTTTTTTCGATTTATACAGCAGCTCGTCTCCGGTGAAAATTCGACTCTATCTAAACGTTCTCGAGTCACTGTCCGTTTGAAAATTGTATGTTACCACCGAATACGAGGACTGAAGCAGTTTTTTCTGAAACCACGTGCACCATTCAAACTAGCTGACTTCAACGTTCGCACACTAGTGCAGGTCGGACAACAGATAGGGCTGGCTATGTATTTGGAAAGTCTTAATATTGATGTTTGCTGTCTATCCGAGATCCGTCTTCAAGACTCTGGTGAAGTACTACAATTTCGATCTCCATCTGTCGCTTCGAAAAGCTTGTCCTATGTGCGCTTATCCAGGGACCCTGTGGAATCTTCGTCTGGTCTTGCTGGCGTTGGTGTCGCACTAAGCGCTAGAGCTGAGGCAGCACTAATCGATTGGATCCCCATTAACAGTCGGTTATATGCTGTTAGATAAGAAAGTTCCATCAAAGTGAGAAATCGGTGTGAGAAACGATGTCTTTTCGTCATCTCCGCCTAAGACCCGACAGATTGCAGCCCGGATGCAATCAAGGATGAATTCTATCACCAGTTAACTGTTCTTCTCCAGAAAGTGTGTTCGACAGATATTGCAGTACTAGCTGGGGACTTAAATGCTCAGATCGGGCGTATAGGCACAGAAGATAATCGTCTAGATGGTCGGTGGGGACTTATTGGTCGCAGGACAGATAACGGAGACCGTCTACTTCAACTGTGCACAGACCACAACCTGTTTCTGACTAGCACTAACTTCCGGCGCAGTCATCGCCGATGTGCCACCTGTAGTCCTCCGTCTGTATCCCAAGCTTGGACTCAGATTGATCACATCGCGATCAGCTACCGCTAGCGTGGTTGTGTACAAGACTGCCGCTCGTTTTGGAGTACCTATCTGGACTCTGAGCATGCCCTGCTCTGCGCCAATCTTACCTTACGTTTTAGTGCAAAACGAAGCGATCGTCACCAAAGGATTGATGTCAGCAAGTTGGTTGCAACTTCTGTTGCAAGTAAGTATCAAACCGAGCTAGCTTATAGGCTAGCTACCATTCCACCGAAAAGTATAGATGAGCATTGGTTGCAATTGCATGACGCCATGAAAATGGCGGGTACAGTCAGTTGTGGGTTTGCGAAACGTCCCGCTTATAAGCACTGTGTTTCGTCAGCCTCCTTACAACTCATTGAAGCCCGTCAGTCTACTCCGAGTGACCGTGAGTTTGACCACAAACGAAGGTTCTTATGCAGCGAAATTGGGCAAAGCTTGCGTAAGGACCGAGAAGCCTGGTGGTCGGAGCGTGCTAACGAGCTGGAGGCAGCAGCTGCATCTGGTAATTACCGGAAGCTCTTCCAACTCATCCGAGCCACTGACAGCAAGAAGTCTGGTGTGAACGAAACAATCTGCGAGGATGATGGGATGCCAATCACTAACATCCATCGACGTCTTGGACGATGGGCAGAATTTTTCGAAGGGTAGTTCAACTGGCCTGTTGCTCCGGCAACATCGGTCAGACTGTCCTGCTCTCCATGGCCGGTGACGACTGATCCACCAAATGAGGTGGAAGTCCGCAAGAAACTCCAACTCTTGAAGCGCTACAAATCACCTGGCCCAGATGACTTACCTCCGGCTCTTTTTAAAGATGGTGGTGACAGTCTGACTAAGGAAATTGACGACGTTATTTACAAAGGTGTGGAAGCTAGAGAGTGTATCAACGTCATGGAATGAGTCGATAGTTGTCCCTATCTTTAAAAAGGGTTCACGTTGTTCCTGTAACAACTATCGGGAGATAAGTCTACTTCCGATTGCGTCCAAGCTGTTGGCTTCCGTCATACTTCACAGGTTGTTCAAAACCCGAGAAAGATTGACTCGCAAGGAGCAGGCTGGGTTTCGTTCTGGTCGAGGATGTATTGATCATATCTGCACCCTCCGCCAAATGTTAGAACACCGCCATACTTATCAAAGGCCAACAATCGTAGTGTTTCTTGACATCAGGGCTGCCTTCGATTCGTTGGATAGGACTGTTCTCTGTGATTGTCTATTGAAGAAGGGTGTGCCTGAGAAGTTTATTAACATCCTAAAAGCCCTATATACAAACACCTCAGGCAGAGTGAGGGCATACAACCACCTTTCTCCATTGTTCTATTCGAGCAGTGCGGTTAGACAAGGTTGCCCAATCTCACCATTCCTCTTCAACTTTGCCATCCACGACATTCTGGAAACAGCTCTGATGGATGTAAGTAATGGTGGTGTGGATCTGTTGCCTGGAGAAAGACTTCTCGACCTTGAGTATGCGGACGATATTGTCTAACTGTGCGATAATTCCCAAGACATGCCATTCGCGCTTAATCAGTTGGCAATCAGTGTCCGTAGGTACGGTATGTGCTTTGCACCTTCGAAGTGCAAAGTACTGGGCCACCTTTGGCGCCTTCGTGATGTTAGTCTGGTTGTAAAAGGTCGGATCTACAACGCGTCGGTGAGAGCAGTTTTGCTCTATGCTTGTGAAACCTGGCCTCTCGGAGTTGAGGACGTTAAACGACTCTCTGTGTTCGATCATCGCTGTCTCCGAAGGATTGCTGACATCCAGTGGCAACACCATGTTATTAATGCAGAGGTTCAGCATCGTGTGTTCGGGCACAGAGATGATAATGCAATTGGTGTTACCATCTTGAAACACCGACTTCGGTGGCTTCGACATGTTCTACGAATGTCGTCTCAGAGAATTCCACGTCGTGCATTATTTGCCGACTCTGGAACTGGTTGGAGAAAGCCGAGAGGTGGTCAGTACATGACACGGTGTCGTGTTATGAAAGAAAGCTGCAAAGGACTGGCTTGTGTCGGTTCTTCAAGACTCCCTGGTTGGGGTCGAAGAGATGGTGCTACACAGTGGCTAGAGACGTTATTAGATATGGTTCAAAATAGAAGCCAGTAGCTATCCTGTTGTAACCTTGTTTTACTTTCTTCATAAAAGTGGTTGTTTCTTCCTTAACTGAAAGATTTCTTCTGATTGTACCTTTCCGTCCCCTCATTATGACTATGATTATTACTACATTCCCTTACACCAATCTCTTCATTATTTTTTTTTACGCTCCTCATCGTTTTTATTTCTTCTTAAATTTTCATTGTTTTGTGTGGCGCACTCCTGTACCAATATATATGTGTTCAAATAAATAAATAAATAAATAAATAAACTGCCTATTCAACCTGATTTATTACAAACAAAGGATGAGGGGAGGTTGTTCACTTATTTTACCAAAAAATAGCGTTTCTGTGAAATATTTTTTAATAGAACTGTAGTAAATAAATCATTCCCGAAGAAAAAATATAGTTACCTTTAAGTAAGTACGCATAGATTAAACAACATTCGAAAAGTGATGTTGATATCACTTGAAATTAGTTGATAGATTAAACACATGCACCCCTCACAGAGTACAAGCTTTAAAATTAAGTAACAGAAACGAAGTAGCAGGTGAACATTCAATTCATTGGTTTGTAAACAACAAAGAGATGCTCTTACACCATGTAAATCCAAAGAATAACCAAGTCGAAAATAACTAGATATTGATAATTTAAAGGGAAAATAAATGGACAAATCACAATTAATACACCACTCAGTCAGTAATCATCAAATATTAGTAACTCCATTAAGATAGTCTACGACTCTCCATTTTTAATCCAGACTATCAGTCAAACAAATTATTTGTTAATGATGAGTTTCTATGTAAACACAATAACAATTTAAGGTGTCTTGTGCTTTACATGGGATATACCCCTACACTAACTAGTGAGAGTATAGTGCAAGTTGACGATGTGCCAATCAAAAGACTTCCAATGTTTCATAACACCATGATCAATCAAAAAGGAGACGAATTACCTGTAAGAAAGCTACTACTATCCTTAGAAAGTAAAACATATCTGTAATCATATATTACAAGGAAACTTGGGATTTCTGGAACAAAGCAACATAGAAAAGACTAGGTGTTCAGTATGTAAAAAACAAAGGCCATTGAATGCATAAAGTACTCGGGGTCAGTGGCGGAAATCCAAAGTGCAAGAGTAAGAATACACACGTTAAAACTAAAGTACAACCTCTAGGATATTGCCAAATAACTGCCTTTTATTATATTCAATGCAGACAACAAAGTACTCCAATGCCATGAGGCGGTAATATTTGGTTATGCATGACAGTGTTAGCTCACGTGAAGGGAGGAAACAACCTTACCTACTGATTTGCGCATAATGATTAAAATTAGGTTGCGCTCAAATAATGCCTATCAAATGTTTTCATCATAGAGATGACTTAGTGACGTAGCACTCTAATGTTTAAGCAACCTATTCCGTGTTATTTGACCCATAATCAACTCGTTCATACGTATTTACCCATAAAGTTGTGAATTATGCACACAAACTTTGTGTTTTTTCGATACACACAGTCAAAATGAAACTGACACCATGATAAAACAAACCCCAATGATGAGTGATAGAATTCCTACAAAGGGGTAGGTTTATCAGGGTACCTAATACCTAATGTTTAAGCACTAATATTTCCAAGAATTACCACCATGTTCTTTTGCTGTTTGATTCCATACATTCTTACTTTTTAGAAAAAACATATATAAACAAAATAAGACATGATAAATGGGTGTATCAGTTTTATTTTTTAAGCTTAAAATCATCGCAGAGCAGGAAAAACCAAAAGGAACAAAGACATAACAAAAGCAATAAAAACAAAAACATAAGAAAGACTGAAGATATGAAGAATCAAAAATATTGTGTACAGCACAAGTATATGCCAAGCTTTAAGAAGGATGAAGATTGACGATATCTGCGACACTATACTCAATTTCAGCCAACATCTAATCTTCAATTATTATAACCTTTTAGAAACCCGTCAGTATGGATTGATATTAATTGGAGAAATACCAAAAACTACCTTTATCAGTGTCGTATGTTGAGGTCCTACTCCTGGTGAGATATGATTGTATATTTTAAAATGGCTAATTACATCACCTTTTATTTTACAGTTACAGTAAAATGATAAATGGTGAATTTCTACATTCATGGAAATTGTATGAACACACATCAAGGACAAACAGAATTTGATAAACATCTCCATCTACTGAAGCTACAATATAAAACTAAACACGAAATTAACAGTTGAAACATTAATTTTACTATTTGTTTCGATCCTTCTCATTACTCAGTCAGTCAGCTACAACGTAGGACCAGGCACATATGTGCATCGGTTCACGTTGCCATACCTCATTAGCACAGCAAGATGAACATCGGATTCATAGGAGTGGTTAAGTCAAAGGTGGTAATATATAGGAGGAAGATTGCAATAAGGATATAGTATAGGAAGAAACAATTAGTTAGTAGAAAAAAAGATATGAAGTGATTTTAATCTCTTAGTTTAAGGGAAGACAGGGAGTGCACACACCGACGCCATTGTGATCGATTCTGAACCATTGGTTACGATGGTCACGCGGACCCCAACCAAGTAGTCTGCATCTACCAACATGGCTCAGACAAGAAGTTAGTAACTTCAAGCATTGATGCCACGTTTTGGTTTGGCCGCCCCTAACTTTCTTCCAACCATTTCCAATACCGGTTAGCATTGCACGTCGTGGTAATCGGTGTTCAGGCATACGTAACACGTGGCCCAACCATCTCAGTCGATGAAGATTCACAACCTCATCAACTGATTTACCATCGTTCCCTAATACCCTGCGTCTAACCTCACTATTACTTACCCGGTGATCCCAGCAGACGCCAGCAATATTTCCAAGGCATCTGTCGTCAAATAATAGTAGCTTACGAGTGTCTTCTACTCTTAATGGCCATGTTTCGCTGCCGTAAATTAAAACAGAACGGACTGCTGCGCAGTATACTCGTCCTTTAATTGATAGACGGATATCTCGCTTTCGCCATAGGTGACGTAAGTTGGCAAAAGCTAAACGAGCTTTTCGAATCCGTGATGAGATTTCGTCCGATACCAACCCATTAGGGCTTATCAGATTTCCAAGATAATTGAAGTTGTCATTAGTACTTTAAATAACATAACTTGATGACAAATACTAATAGCAAATAGATAAAGTTCCGAACAAAACAAGTAAACGTGTGATAAAACTGCTGAAAGTATAGTGTTTTATTCGTTTTTTTACAATTGTCACTATAGTGACTAATAGACAATTTAGATAGCGATTACACAAGTTAATTCTGTTTAATTTAGTGATATTATGTGCAAAGTAAAAATGTTACCAAAAAGTAATGACAGTAGTAACAACGTTTACAAAAAACATAGTTCACCTTTCATGCCGTTCTGTTAAGATTTGTATCTTCTCTTCATATTTACAACAGTCAGTATCATATTTCATATGTAAATCATTAAGTTTTGTTTCTAATTCAGCTATAAAACTATTCGCTTTTGTTAAGTTGTAACGTAGATTTTCAAGTTCATGTTGACAATCTAAGCTGCAGATAAAAGAGTTCAAAGAGATCGACAATAAGATCGAGAGTTATTTGAAAAGGGTAAACTTAAGTAAATAAAAAACAGACATTACTTTAAAGTGAATGGTCATCTAAGAAAACAAAATTGTATAAATCATAACCACTGTAAAATCTTATGTACTTGCATTTTAGCACTTATTTATGGGAAATAATGGCATTAATCGAATATTCAAACACCAAGGCGAACCAGGGTTCGAACTCGCAATGTAACCAAGACACGGAGTAAGTTTATGAGGTCATCGACAATTTGACTTATTCATGATAAAAGATGTAAACTAACTGGTTGGAGTCCATATGATGATTATAACCAATCGTTAGACCTTGAATGATATGGTTCAAAATCGTTTGTAATCGCACGGATATCCATTCATTACCGTCCCCGAATTCCGAGCTCTTAAGTCCCACATAACTTTAATTGTTCTTTCATTTCACCAAATCATATTCTCTTGAATCGTTTTTTGACACAGTATTTTGAATCACTACCGATACTCTTAATACTATGGAGTTCGGTTGGATAATTTAATCTATCTGTGCTAATGTATTGTGGAAACTTGTACCGATGTACATTCGTGCCAGGTTCTACGTTGTGATTGATCGACTAGCGATATAATGATTACAACTTCAGTGCCCTAACAACAGCTAAATGAAAGTAAAAGACAACTTGAATTCATGGTCATAGTTCATAATAATGTAATTGTGACTTACCAAAGTGTTTATTTGTCAGAACATCCATATTTATCACATTGAAATATCTTGATATGTGAGAATTATGAGGAATGAATAAATAAAAACGCATTAATTCACTCATAAAGTCCTTGGACATGAGCCACCTTCCAAGTGTAAGGCCTAATGATACTACTCAGTTGCTCAAAGCAAAGTAGCTAGAGCGAAATTCGAACCAGTGGTTCAGTAAATGAAAGTCGAAAGCTTTAACCACTAGTTCCCTGAGCATCAAGTGAAAGCAGGTATTTTTCACAAAGCTGTTAACTGTCTCAGACAAACATGTAGAATGAAGTTACGTACATCTCCACGGTAACAGCTGGTTATTATTCCGCCTAAGAACCTGAAAGTTATATACAGATGATATTTGTAGGTTGCTAGTACTTGATTACATGTACATGAGACAGTGATCACGTACGTTGGTACCATCAAATAAGCAACGTCGAGGTTAGACGAACCGTGATAGATAAATATGACGAGTTAGTTGATGTGTTACACAATCATAAACGACTTAGTGTAGAAATGTGAGTCCTGCTTCGGTTTGGGCACCCGAACAGTATCACAGCCCTCACACATATCAAATGAGATTTGTTTAGCGCATATGTATTTGGTGCCTGCTTGTAGTAATATCTATGCGTTCAAATAATAATAATAATAATAATAATAGTGTAGGAGTAAGTTCTTGAGAAAACCACAAGGAGTTAAAGGGAAATGCGGCATCAGTCTATGAGTTTATCGACACCTCCAGTGGATTTCATGGGTGGGTGGTTAAGCCGGTTGATATTAGCGCGGTGATCACGAATAATGTTTGGAGACGTTGAGTGACATGTGTCAGAATCTGTGCACTTGGGCTTTGTTTATCCTTTACGTTGATTATGATGTACTGGATAGCTTTGCCTCACGCAATAAGAGGGGACGTATGATTCATTACTTAAGACCAACATATATTCCTTATTTTCCAAGGGTTATTTAGCTAAGTTGTTGAAAAGTAAGTAGTCTACTTCCCCTTTTCTGATTTGGCGAGGCTCTAATTTAGGGACGACCTTTGAATGAATCTTAAATGACCTTGACAATCATTAGCCAATCAGAAGACAGTATAAGGTAAAAATAAATTATCAGAAAGTAATGAATTAGTGGATATTCTGCTTTTACATAATTTAAAAACTTGTTAAAGTTTGATAAAGGTTCAGAGGTTCTGAATTCATAAAGCATACGGTATAGAAACTCGTTCATAGGGTTAAGGTAACGGTTAGGATTAGGTTATGGTTAGGGTGGCGAGATTCTAATTTAGGGACGAGCCAAAAAGAAGCGTTTGAGCAATTTCAAGGTCACGGAGCCAAGTTCAACACGTTATGCTAACATACGATCGGTTTACAGCGGATTTTAGAGCAGAGGTGTTTATTGAGAGGCTACAACCCTAACCTTATGAACGAGTTTCTATACCGTATGCTTTATGAATTCAGAACCTCTGAACCTTTATCGAACCTTAACAAGTTTTTAAATCATGTAGAAGAAGAATATCCACTGTAATTCATTACTTTCTTATAATATATTTTTACTTTATACTGTATTCTGATTGGCTAGTAATTGAAATTGCTCAAACGCTTCTGATTGCCTCGTCGCTAAATTAGAGTCTCGCCGGCAATAAGCTTGAAGTATAGTGTAAAATAAAGCTTCAACAAATCAATTCTACACTTTTCCATCGAATATGCTTTCAGTGGATAAATTTAATTTGACGTCTCATTAGAACCAGACTCATTTGCAGTAAATGACACATTGTAATACATGGAAAGCTTTGTAATACTTAACAAACAAATATCAGTATACAGAGGCGAAATACCTTGATAAACAGTGGCAATTGTGCCATTGAGGATAACTTAGTCTAATTAATTACAATGGACAGCAATGAAATATTCCATTGTTTTTAGTGATCGTATATTGGATAAAAAGAAGAACACCTAATATTGACCCCTGTCAAATCTAGACCAATAAAAGTCTACTACAGTTAAAAATCACAAACGAAATGAAGTGAATGAATTACGATATGCACTGAACGAATAAGATTAAGATCGGATCACTTAAAACACTACAGACGGCCTTCGTTAGTTAGCTTTAAACTGATAAGAAAAATCGACTTTGTTGTTGTAGAGACACTATGTACCACTAAACATCTTAATGATAATTTAGCTTGAAAATAAGACGAGTTGACCATCTTATCAAATTTCGGGATATAAAATTAAGTAGATGGGACATTTCCGGAACTTGCGAATTACATAAGACCATCAAGATTGCTGCTGGAGTAACAGCTATAAACGATGTCATTAAGATGTACTGAGTAACTTGAATTAAGATGAAAACCAATGATGCAGGTAATTTCCGACTAAATAACCAACGTACCTACATATACTTGCAAACCTGACTAGTGAACAAACCCATCGTTGAGACGTTCGCTAGCCAACCGGCAAACATTCTAGTCAAGAGTGTTCAAATTAAAGTGTACATTCATATCATGTTAAAAATTGCCGCTGTGACGTTATATAGAGTGAAATTTATAAAAATGACTTTGTCTTCTGATTATGGACCCTAATTAGAAACAGCGAAGTGTGCATAAGAAGAAAATTCTTGAGAAAAAGTAATTGCGAAGTAATTTAAGACGAAACACAGACGAACCTTGCATGTCTACACGACATTTACGTGAACAGCACAATAAAAATCAAGGTCAACTCAGAACCGCCCGCCGTTTGTTTCGACGACCTTGAACATCTGATATGCGGTGGACTTTTCGTATTTCAATTTCTGTGAATATATTATATTATTGTACCGAGTGATTTTTAAGTATCATCACACTGATGCAGTCTGATGAGAAGTAAAAATAAATAACCATCTCAATCCTAGGCTATAATTTCACCTTACAGAACCTTTAAGGTTCTGTTGGTGCTCGATCGGGCTACGAGATGATGTGTGATCAGACGAAATACCAAAACATCGAAAAAGAGAACTACTGGAAAGATGTTAAAAGTATGTAGGTGCTACAAGTAAAGCTAATAACGATGATTGGTTCAACTCGTTGGCCAACTTACTCCATTTACACAAACGAAGATTCAACTGAAACGAAAAAAGATGAGTTGCGTCTGTGTTAAACGCGAACACAGTGATTGTATAATCATGGTCAACTGTGAAAGAACCTTCAGAATGAATATTGAGATGACACAAGTATCGACAACTCTTTAACCAGCAATAATTTAATAACTGATGTATGCCAAATAAGTCAAATCCGATGTAGGAGATTGAGGGGTTCGAAGATATATTTGAAAGACTGTCGGTGTGTCAACTGAACGCATATATGTGGAGGCTAATAATTGATAGTCATGTGTACCACGCCGTAGTCACTTGTGAACCGGTGCGGATAGGTGACAAAACGCATTCACTTATGTGTCCAATGAAACTAAAGAGGTTAGTATCAATGACAAATACTTTTAGAACCATTTTTTGGGTAGGGTTGGTTGTTTGCCGTTACAGATTACTTCCTCAATAGTGTGGTAGCGACGATACTATTACATAGCAAATCATTAGTTTAAGCTCAGTGCCTTTGTCTTTCGTAAACACTCTTCTAATAGCTTGCCATGTTCAGCATCCTGTAGTCCTCTTTCCTTCCTATAAAGAGCTATGTGGTACAATATAGTAATGAAAAATAGACACAGTGAAAATTTCGATTCTTCGTCATTTTCATTGATTTTCCACCTTTCTCAGCCGTCCAGACAAAGAAAGAACGAAATTGTAGGTCGAAATCGAAATACACTCATACTTGAGCAAGGACACAAAAACTTCGAAAACGGAAGTGTAAACTGGTGTATATGTATTTTGTTAACACCTTTTTGTTGCTTCTTTTTAAAGAAAAAAACATTCACACACATCGGCGAGGAGCGACAAATGGTTTGACCTGACTGCCGTCCGAATTGGCAAGCGCCGTGGCATTTCACTACCACTGCAATACAAATCTTGCGTAATTTTATCCTGAGCGATCCATGAGGAAGTATGCCCTTACGAGTGAGACGCCCGTTTATTATCTAAATCACCCTCAGACACATTTGTAGTACAGTTAGAAACAAATAAATTGTGGCGATACGTCTGGAAGTCATCAACGTCTTATCAGTGTCGCACTACAGTTTTAAATCATGTTTTTTATAAATCGCGTGAATTAGTCACTATAAAACTAATAACGAAATAATTTGCGATTTGTATAGGTACCCTCACATTGCTGAAGTCTTTGTGTCGTCCAATTTTGTAACTGAAGTAACCTTGAGTTACATGTTTGTCCATCAAACGCTCAGGATGTACGGCTGTAATACACTTTTTTTCCTAGTTGCAGTTATTAGATTCCCTTGACTTCACAGTCAAGCATCAACAAATTTTTCAATCGTATGTATCGGTGAGTATATTCTACCTGACGAAAGCTTTTTTACCTTTCTGTCATATCTCGATTGAGAAGTGAATGCAACCCAAAAAGGGAAAATGGTGAGGAACAATAAGTTAGTTCCGGATGAAAGTTTACTTTTGCCCCAAGAGAAAGGCTTTCATGTAATGTCTCGTTAATCAGTACATTCGTAGACACAGTGGGGGCAAAGCTGACTTCTCAAATTAGGCAAACTGACTGCTAAATTTGTGGAAATTTGGCCGATATAACAGTTAAATAACCACTTCTGATGTAGGGTCATCGCGGACGTATCTCGAAAATCAGACGGCTAGCCATCTGACGCTCTAGTTAGGCACTGAATCGCATCTTATACGTGATTGTCCCCGTGATGAATGTAACTCATTTCATATTGGTACTTTATGCTACGGACATGTATTCCCATATAGGTGGTTATACGCACTTTCGGCTTCTCATCTCCAGCATAGATTCTTAAGTAGAGCTATGAGTATTATTAGTTACCTGAAGTCATTTACTAATCAGAATGATCAAACAGTGTAACGTAGTTGACACTGGTGATTGTTACCAGTTGAAAAGTAGGAATCCCCTTCCATAATTTGATCAGTTCTCCGTTTAACACAGTACTTCCCAAATAAATTTACATCAGTTCCTGCATTCAACGCTTGGTCTATGGAGATACTTGTTTGGAGAAATACCGCTGAGTTATGTGTTCCGCTCTCGTACTTTCAATCTTTGTGTTAGTTATACCGTTTAGTTTCCGACAAACTATACGACATATGGTCTTGGTAACCTTATGATCAGTTCCCAACTCTAGAGTCACAAGTAAACTACTCGTTAGCTGTTATGTGTCCCATGAACCTTATGTTCATAAACATACCCACAAAAAATGATTTGACCTAAACATCCTCGGCTAATTTCAAAAAGATGTAGATTTTGCCGTTTTCATCCTATTCATTGTTAGTCGTGAATCAGTGTTTATTAATATTTGAAAACTTTAGCCGTCGTTTGATGTGATACATGGTGATACAGTTGGTTTTCACCAAAGTTTTAGAGATGCGAAGCGGGACTAAGTGTACTACTTATGGAATTGCTAGGTGTTATTTTGTCACATTTATGCAAGAGCATGAAATACGTAAACTGCTGTCTAGGATTAGTTTGTGAAATTCATCATTTCCTACAGTTTTCAAGAGCTATGAAATGTTTTCCAAATATTTGTATATAATATACAGATAGTTGGTTTTCAATCGTTCGGTTTATGGAACGCTTAAATCGGCTTTTACATGTCGATTGGTGTTTAGCTTATCGAACATTATGAATGTAAGTGTTTAAACTTCGACTTATTGATTACAACATTCACGTTTCAGTTTTTGACTTTCCAGATCATCGTCTGGTGTAAACCCTTAATTTCTAATATTCTCAGTTTCGTGATAAAGTTACTTCGTTTTAATAGCATAATAAGGTCCGTATCCAAGTAATAAGTTACTTCTTTCGCACACTTCGGTTTCCCACGATCTCTAGTCAACCTGGATGGCAAGTTAATGTAGGTCCTCTGACTCTTTACGAAGTTGAAAAAGCCATAGGAAATCTGAAACGAGGGAGAGCAGCAGGCCCTGACAGGTTTACTCCTGAGATTTTTAAGGATGGTGATCCAGTATTAGCAGTGAGATTAACTGAGGTCTTAGGTAAAATTCGGGAACTGGATGTAATCCCAACTGACTGGTCTCAATCACTGATTGTGCCAGTTTTTAAGAAAGGACAAAAGTCCTCTTGTGACAATCACAGAGGAATCAGTTTGGCTAATATAGTGTCTAGAATATTGCTTTGATAATACTTCGACGCCTAACCAAAGCTCGTGAAGAGCAGACTAGGGAAAATCAGGCTGGCTTTCGACCTGGACGTGGTTGTATAGACCATATATTCACACTACGTCAGGTTCTAGAACACAGACACACGTTCAGACGCCCCACCATCGTAGTATTTCTCGACCTTAAGGCGGCATTCGACTCTGTTGATCGTAAGGTTTTATGGCAGTGTTTGTCACTGAAAGGAGTACCAAAGAAGTACATTAACCTTGTAAAGGCTCTCTACTCGAACAAAAATGATCGAGTGAGAGCTTATGGCGAACTGTCATCAGAATTGATTACATCAAGTGGTGTTCGTCCGGGCTGTTCACTCTCTCCATTCTTGTTCAACTTTGTCATTGACGTACTTTTAGAGATAACACTCTCCTCATCTAAATTTCCAGGGGTTGAACTTCTACCGGGAGGTTCACTTTTTGACTTAGAATATGCAGATGACATAGTTTTATTTGGTGAAGACGCTGACAAAATGCAGTTTTCTGACCACTATAAGCAACAATGCAAGCACGTTCGGGATGCGATTCTCCATCTCGAAATTAAAAATGTTGCGTTGCATCGACACCCGAACTAATGATAGGGAGTGAAGTAGCTGAGAGTATCGACCGCTTCACTTATCTTGGAAGTTTCATCAACCCTTGTGGTCTGGTGCGTGACGAAATCTCAGCACGGATACAGAAGGCTCGACTAGCTTTTGCCAACTTGCGTCATTTATGGCGTAGGCGAGATATCCGTCTATCAACCAAATGACGTGCTTACTGCGCAGCAGTTCGTTCCGTCCTGCTTTATGGCAGTGAAACATGGCCGGTAAGAGAAGAGGATATTCGTAGGTTACTAGTATTTGATCATAGGTGTCTTCGAAACATTGCTTGTATATCATGGGACCATCGAGTAAGTAGTGGAGGTGTTAGGAAACGGATACTAGGTAAGGATGGCAAATCAATTGATGACGTGGTGAAACTTCATCAGTTGAGATGGCTGGAACACGTGTTACGTATGCCCAACGACCGACTGCCTCGACGTGCGATGTTCATTGGTATAGGAGTAGGTTGGAAGAAAGCTAGGGGCGGCCAAACCAAAACATGGCACAAGTCCATGAAGTCACTGACAAGTGGACTGAGTCATGTTGGTAGGTGTAGACTACCTGGTTGGGGACCACGAGATGATAGCAACCGATGGTTAGAGACCCTGAATGACATGGCTCAAAATCGTTTGCAATGGCGCAGGTGCATCCACTCTTTGTGTTCTCCCAAATTCTAATCTTCTGAATTTTTCATGTCCCTTTTTTCCTCTTTCCAAATTTATTCCACAGAATTATACTCTTTAAATAACATCTCCAAACCCTAATCTTCCCGATCACTGCTTATACTCTTGCTACCTCTACCACTACGGGATTTGGATCGACAACTGCATCTCTGTGTTAAGGTGGTGTGGCAACTCGAACTGATGTACGTACGTACGAAGTTCTACGTTGTTACTGACTGATTGACTGACTCTTTCGCAACTCATCTGTTATTGAATACCATTCAGTTATATATTGCAAAAATTACTTCCTTACACATGTACCTTTTTTTCGAGGAGCACAGGCCGCTCACCAGCATTCTCTACCCAACTCTGTCCCGAGCAATCCTTTCCAGTTGCTTTTCATACTTTTCATGTATGCTTCCTATTCTTGACACAGTATGTTCTTTGGCCTTCCTCTTTTCGGTTTTCCTTCGTAATCCCAAGTTAGCGCTTGCGTCGTTATGCAGTTTGATGGTTTCTTCAATATATGTCCTATTTTACTTCCAGCGTCTTTTGCTCTTCAGGTGGAATCTGGTTTTTTCTCTCCCACAGTAGTCTGTCACTGGTGATATCTGGTCAAATGACATCGAGGATCTTGTTTAGGCAACTGTTTATGAATACTTGTACTCTTTTGATGATGGTTGTAGTAGTTCTCCAAGTTTCAGCTGCGTACAACAGAACTGTCTTGACATTCGTGTTGAAGATTCTGACTGATGTTGGTTGAGATTTGTTTTGAGTTACATATGTTCTTCAGTTGTAGGAATGCAGCCCTTGCTTTGCCAATCCTCACCTTTATGTCTGCGTCCGGTCCTCCTTGTTCATCGATTATGCTTCCTAGGTAGGTGAGGCATTCAACATCTGTCATAGATTTTCCATCAAGTGAGATTGGTTTGGTGTTCTCCATTCTGTATTTGAGAATCTTGCTTTTTCCTTGTGTATGTTGAGGCCTACGGACATAGGTTTCTGCTACACTATTTGTCTTGACCTGCATTTGTTGGTGTGTTTAGAATAGAAGGGTTAGGTCATCTGCAAAGTTCAAGTCGTCTAGTTGCATCAAACCTGTCCACTGTATTCCGTACTTTTTGTCAGATGTCGAGGTCTTCATAATCTAGTCAACCACTAGAAAGAGGGAGAGTAGGCAGCCTCGTTTGACTCCGGTCCATATTGCAAAACTACTAGTTATAAAGATTCTGCTTCAGATTAGTACTTAGGAAGTTTAACTTTATTGAAATAAAGGGTATCACAGTGAGTTCAGGGCTAATCGTTTAATCCTCATTGACCGTATTACAGTTTCGGAACTGTCAAAAAGTTTATCAACTCAACGGGTTCATCGCCTTGAATTTTACCGTCAGACTATCTTGTAGGATTGTGCAGTATTAACTAATAATTAGCTATCTCTCTTGCAATATATGTAACTATTATCATATAGCCATCTATCAAATACAAAACATTTTTTGGTGCAGCTTATTTTCCTGACAGTTCGTTGTCTCTGTGTATTAGTCTTGAGTTACCTTTTTCAGGGTTATCGCGACTAATATTGTATGAAAATTATATCGCACCTACTTTTCTCAGGATTCCTGTTTTTTTTGCCAGATTCCTGAACTGGCGAAATTCGTAACTTGAGTTTATGATCTGCTGTATTTTCGATTTGAAAAGTTGGGTAGCATGGTTTTAGTAAACGCTAAAGTCTACTTAAGAGTCCACGATTTTAAAATTTCTTTCGTTTGTTTATACATTTATGTGCATTCGCTAAGTGCTTCGTATCAGTTTTAAATTGTCTTGCTTCAGAGATTAAAAAGATTTATTTGTTTTCTACAGCAAAAATGAAGTCAGAAAATGGTCTCACAATCCCGTTCAGTTCTGAGTAAGTTTTAATTCCATTGTGTGGTGTAGTGTCTTTATTATGATTTCAATACAGTCAGTCAGTCAGCTACAACGTAGGACCAGGCACATATGTGCATCGGTCTAGGTTGCCATACCGCATCAGCACAACAAGATGAACACCGGATTCATGGGAGTGGTTAGGTTAAAGGTGGTAATATATAGGAGAAAGATAGCACATAAGGATACAGTACCGGAATATAGAATTAGTTCGTAGAAAGAAAGATATGAAGCGATTTTAATCTCTTAGTTTAAGGGAAGACAGGGAGTGTATGCACCGACGCCATTGTGATCGATTCTGAGCCATGTCACCAAGAGTCTCCAACCATTGGTTACGATAGTCACGCGGACCCCAACCAAGTAGTCTGCATCTACCAACATGGCTCAGACTAGAAGTTAGTGACTTCAAGCACTGATGCCACGTTTTGGTTTGGCCGCCCCTAACTTTCTTCCAACCAGATCCTTGGCTGATGCTGACTGATTACTTTAGATCGTTAGAGGCCTCCTTGTTAAAGCACAGCTTGTTTACCTTCAGTACTTAATAATATAAGTTTGGATTTTCAAATATTTTTTTCTGATTAGGGTTTCTGACTTATATTAAAAGACTCCAACAAGCACAAAATCGAAGTTGAAAGTCTACTGTTGGTTTTTAATATACATATTTTATATAATTGTTTGTTGGCAGTTAAACAAGACAAAATATATTATTCTGCTTTCAAACTCAATTTTTAAATATCCTTATCAAGGGGTATGATTGAGTCACATTTCATCGATTAAAACCAGTGTACTCTTCTATTTAGAAAATAGTCATTTTAAAATATACGCCTTTAGTTTTTGAATTGTTTGGAGATCGATCATTTTCAAATACTATCAACATTTTGATATTCAATGAGCATTTAAAGAAACACATCATTATCCTAGTTAGTACAGCATGTTAACTACCATTTATTAATAAAACTTTTGAAACGTTTTATTACCATTACAATATATTTGAATAATTTCTGGGAATTACCCTAACGTGCTTGTATACATCTTCATGCTAAAATAGTCCGTGCATATAAATAAGCCTATATGGGGTTCATGTTATACGGTAGATGTTCAAGAATTTATAATTAATTAGGAGTAATGTCAAACCATTCGGTAATACTTCCATATTTTTCCACATCGTGGAACACCTTGGTATTTTGGTATTTATCTATACAGGAGCTTAGAAGTTTGTTATTTGTAAGAAAAATTATTTCTTTACGAATAAAGGTGTGAACTCAGCGCTAAACGGTTACTAGTCTGTCAATATGAATGTTCTTTCTGGTGCCTCTAAATAGATCACTAGAATTAATACTTGATAAAGAGATATTTTCCTTCAGTGATAGTAAATGGAAGATTTCACACGAATTCATTTGAATTAACGAAGTTTTAGTCGTCAGTGAGTACTGAAAATAGTCTTTTTTACATCAGGATTCTGCAGTGATTCGCGTACAACAAATTTAAGACTAGACTCATAATCTTGATCTCATTGAAATTCCGATGTCGAGCTACTAAATCTGAGCTTAAACGCTAACTTTGTTACCAGTAGTTCATGATAACACCGTCATCTGAAGGTTTTAGCCAGAAGTTCTCTTTCTCGATTCATTTTAGAATGCGGTAGCAGAATGACGAGTTACTTTACTAATACATCATAGGTTTATTATCATTTCAACTTTAACAGTTTACAGTTATATTAGGCACTTGGGTCATCTCTTACCGGTATACAGTTACAATACAAAATGTTTTCCGTTTAGTATAGCATTTAATACAATTTTAGTGTCTTTCTATCTTATCATTTGTATTCATCGATAACAAAATATAAAGTATCATCGATATTGATTTCCATTATGGTATGGATCAGTATTCTTAAGAGACTGTTAATAAAAAAAAGATATATTATTATTTTATATTATATATGTTTCTTTAGTTACCGTAATGTTAGTTACTACTCGGGTTAATTTTTATTAGAATTTTCATTAGAGAATTGATTCAGGAAAATGATCATCACTTTTTCGTTGACACTTCATTTCCAGTGTTTTAAATCCTTCTCGATCTCCGATTTTGGAATAGCTATTGTTTTTAATCATCACACACATGCTTGATATAATCTAAGTGACATTTATTTGAACGCATGATATCGCATCTGAAATGATAGTGCAAGTTTAACTCCAATCATGCATTAAATCGAAAAATAAGCCGTTAGTTAAACCATTACATTATAATCCATTCATATGAGATCAAAGGTATCATAAACAAGTTGTGTGTAAACTAATTACCACACTAAACAAAAATCAAAACTTTAACTACTATGAGACTTTTTAATTATTTTCGTATTCATGCGATAAAATAATGTGTTGTTAGGAAGTAAGACCTTTCTACTTGAGATAGTTCAGGAGTATGAATTACTGTCTTACAATAATCTCTTAAATAGAATGAATAGGATGTGGTTACCAGTGGGAATTAGAACGCTCGTTTAATCCTACTTGGGACTCATCTGGTGAATGTACCTGCATTTCAGAGTTGATGTTCACTCCGGCACTCGAAATCAGTACTTTTTGTTTCGGATACCACCACATTATCCGATTAAGGTTGATCAATTTTCAGTCAAAAATATCAACAACGGGATGACCCAAACCATTTCAAGTTAAATTGAATCTCATACCCGTTGTACGAGTAAGTGGCTGTCTAAACTCAGTAGTTAAGTTGATAACGCGATGAATTTTGAAGAAAACAGCACTGCACTCGAGTCGCGGAATGAACATCAACTATGGGATGCAGTTGCATCCACGTGCGTCTTGAATTCCACTGCTAGCTACATTACACCTATTCTATACTAACGTGTCGTATTAGCTATATCAAAGCAATCCACACAGGATGCCCCTATGCCATTATTTATTTATTTATTTAAACACACAAACATTGGTACAATGTGGCATCACACTTTGCCTTTCGATTTGTTTGAAAGCTGGAATAGTTTTTGGGCACCCAAGCCGAAGCAGGTAGTTTTCTTAGGTGGCCACTCCACGAGCCTTTGACCTACATGTCTAACCCACAAGGCAATGGAACAACGAAAAGAAATGCAGTCGCATGGTAGCCGTTGACCAACAAAAGTTTCAAGCGTCATTTGTTCCCTCACGACACTGGAGCCCATGTGCACCATTGGTTTGGAATCAGGGTTTTCCGATTTTTCTATGTGGATTCTGCATATCCACCAATCCGGTTAAAGCACCGGACATTCGCTTTCCATTCACTCAATTTAGTAAACAACATCCCTGTCTTGAGAAGGCAGTGAGTAAGACTTCCGTAGCAGTGGTTGTATCTACGTGATCATGTGAGTGCATTTCGAGGGGGGGAGATCGAACTCTTCCCTCTCGTCCATACCAGGACATTTGGGAGTAACGAATACTAATGAGATTTGAATAAGAAAAGTATCAACAGCAAGATAACCAAAATCATCTCGAATTAAATTAATTTTCTTCAAATCATACATACAGATTTCAATAGGTATATATTTCCTAGGTTAACGCTTTATACATATTTCTTTACTTTCAGTACGCTTGTATCAATACTTTCTCACAATCTAGCAGCAAATTTAAAACCCCATCAAATTTTAGAGGTGAGAGTTTTTATTTCTTAAATAAAAGTTTGATTTAAAATAAATATGTTTATCATGTATTTGAAAAGAAAATGTTATTTTTTTGTGTAGAACAATATGGAATCTTGTGCATTCATTTATTGAATTTAAGTTGTAAAACTTACCATCATTACATGGCTTTTAGGCCTTGCGAAAACGAAATAAACAAATATGCATCTGCCTGCTGAGTTGAACTCTCGTTATCATATTGTAACTCAGATTCACGGAACATTATCCACAGATTGTATAGAAATTCAGATGTTGTGAAAAAGTCAACTTTGCTCTCACTGATTTCCAGTTTTATCTCGTGTTTGGTCTTCAAAAAAGACAAACCATAATTTTGACGCTTCTCTTAACAGTTTTCACTTAAGCTATAATCACATAACAGTAGTTGTTAAATTAAATTAATACATCAGTCATCACTAGTCTTTGAAATGTGGGAGGATTATTTTATTTTCATGTTTTCGTTTGTACAGCTTGAGCTTTCATTTCACTTCTCTTAATACTAATGTTGTTTCAAGTCCTTAACATGTCAACTGTTGATTAGAATTTCAGATTTTTTGTACCTTCTGTTAAGACCACGTCCATTTATCTTTCTCAACAAGGATTGTTTCATCAAGGTTCTCTTGGAGTTTTAAAATCAACTGACTGATTATTGGACATCAGGAATTATCGTATAGTTGTTTCATTCTATTTTTTACTTTCATGCTTCCCCCTAAATTCACTAGTTTTTTAAAATTGCTTTATCACAAGTTAATCATTAAAATTAGTGCTGTGTTTAGAAAACTGACATACTCCTTACATGGAATCCTTAACATTCTTTTGTTACCGACAGTCACTATACCTATGTAGTTCCCAAATAAAACCAAGATGTATCATTACACCTCGCTTTATCCCTTACTAGTGTTATTCCTTGTAAGCAAGGTAGAATAATAGGAATTGCTTTAAACACCAAAATTTGATTGTTCCCCTAGTATTGTATGTTTCGCTCAGTCAAAGAAACTTAAAAGACAGCACCAATCATTCGGCCATGAAGGTTATTAGTTGACAAGAATATAACTCCTTGTTAACATTTTTATCGATCTAAAATCCGAATTAGCAAATGCTTAAACGGTTTGCACTGATTTAATAACGATAATTTGTGAAGCCAGATTATTCACACTACGTAGTAGCATGAATAGAGATACTTTCACTTCATCCGCCAAAATGATGACTTCTGATTTAATCTCTGTAAAATCTTCCGAATTAAATATGATGTGCTAACGATGGCATCATATATATATATATATATATATATATATATATATATATATATATGGCACAACCATACTGGTGACCTTGGGTGGCTTGTCAGCGAATCAGGGAATGCTGGGTTAACCAGAAAACAATGAAATAATGGCTTTAATCTGAATCATTTACCCCCCCCCACACACACACACATGACAAATTGTTTTTATATTAAAAGAGAAAGATCAAGTCTACACATTATTAGTCGGGATAACATTATGAACTACGGTTATCACACCATAGTTTTCATCACCACATAATATCGGTTATAATTTAAAAAGGTTAAGGTTGTGTATTAAAGATAAAGCTGGAGTTTTGAGTTGGCTTTACAAATTAGGTTTGTTGTTTTTCATCAGAAAATGGCATCAGTTATAATGCAATGCTTTCCCACCCTTCCGTTTAAAACCTTAGGAAAATTAGCGTTGAGATTTAGAGAAAGATTTGGAAAAGTGTTAGATTATCTAGCGTCACTAAACATTCTTGATTACGCATTAAATCATACTAAGTACACAATCTGCCAGGCATGTTTTGTCATTTAGGTTAAGCACCATCGTAAATTCACACTTTGGTTATTTAATTGATTCTGAGCATTTTAAGAATCAATTATCAATTTTCATCTACCTAATAACAACATACAAGCTATCCATCATTTGACTTGGAATTTCATGCAAGTTCCATGAAGAATTGTCTTGATTTTGATTGGTTAACTCAAGGCCGTCAGTTTATTATATGTTTAACTATATCATTTGCCTATATGCAAAAACTTGAATAAACGAATGTGCACAATAAAATAATTACGTCGTAAAGCTACGCAAAAACATCAACTCAACAGATTATCCCTCAAAAAACCAAGTCATGTATGAAAACCGAATGAGCCTTCATTTCGTTTAAAATTTTATTTCATTAATTAAGTCGGGAATCAAAGAACTCTGTAGTATAATCATTGGTGAATTTACTTTAATAAATGTCTATTACGCATGACTGCATTCGTTAATTCCACTGCCTTTAATTTCCAAATTTTATTTCAATGGCCGTGTTCATCTGGATTTGGTGGAACCTTCACCAGATTTAAATGGATGCTATTGTATCCTAACATGTGTAGACCGTTTCAGTCGATGGCCAGAAGCAGTACTCATCAAAGACATAACTGCTGAAACAGCGGCCCGCGCCTTCGTCGAACAGTGGGTAGCAAACTTCGACTGCCCTTCAACTCTATATGGAAGTTACAATCAGAAATTATGTTCAATGATATTGCTGAAGTCATATTTTACCCAACTTTCATTGGTTATTATTGTAACTTTAAGTTTCAGTTATTTGATTTACACGATCAATATAACTTTTCCTGTCATGTTATATTTACTCAGTATGTAAATATCTAATAACTTCATTTCATATAATAAGTAGCTGACAATTTATTTCATTATTCTTGATCTAGGAGTAATGTCAGTTTTCTTGTTCTATTGGGTTGCAGATAATTGGTTATTAATAATGATTTAATTGTTCAATAAAATGATTTATGTTACTGAAATCAGTAATGGAAAATCGATCGAGTGTTCGAACTCATAGTTGTTGACAATTTAATAAATTCGTTAGCTCATTTTGTTTCTTTGCATCTTGAAAATTTTATTTTTTAAGCTTGTACTTTCTTGTCAAATTTATTCCTAGTTGTATTCTCGTCTTTTTGCTCAGTGTAAATCCATTAGTTGTTTTATCGGGTTTTACTGACACTTAATCAGTTAATCAACTGTATATTAAAAAAAAAATGTGTAATGATTGTTTATCTCAAGTTATAATTTTCTTTAAACCATCATGAATAAGCTGATATTAGTTAACATAATATCAAATTTTAATTATAATGGGTTGCTAGTTCGTAACCCGCTACACCTACTTCACTTTGATTGCCTACTCCCTTGTACCACGGAAAGTTATAGTTCAAAACTGAGTACATAAACTTGTACTTATATACTTGATAACTTCACACCGTTTCTCTTGTAATCTTTTTTTTTATAACTTTTTCGGATTTCAGCTCATCAAAAAGCTGTCCGTTAATTTAACTGATCAGCAGAAAATAAATTTACTCGAACATCTCCTAGTAAGTGATGATTATTTGTTCTTCATCACTTTATGTATATATTTTCAAGTTAACTTTTTACATGAGTTGAAATTCTTAAGTAATAAATATCATCACAATCCGACTAGATGCTAGAAATTTAAAACATATCATGCTTTCTTTGGGTTTTTTGCGAGGTATTCAACAATCAATGTAAGTACTTGTTTTCTAAGGATTTCTTAAGTTAGACACCTATAAACCTAAATGAAACGCGTTTTAAAAAAACAAATGTACATTACATGCGTTTTCTGTTGTTTTCGTGAGAATTACATGTTCCACTGTTTTTTTTCCTCAAAATTACACGTATACAATACTACTTTACCATAAGAAGATGTGTTCTTGTGCGATATTCAAAAATTCTTTGGGGTTTGTAAGCAGAGACGGACAGTAGCTAGCAGTAAAGTTCAAGACGCGCATTTCATCCTATCTGAGACTCGTCAGGTGGGTGTTCCTGCACCTCAGAGTTTATGTTTACCTCAGGACTCTTGAAATATAGAAGATATTCTTGTTCCTTCTAAAAGCCCTGTATTTGTTATTTCTTCAAAATAATAAACAGTTGCAAGAGAATGAGTAGCAATCAACATACACATGTTTGTTTTAATAAACAGACACATATTTTTAACTGATTGATTGAATAAACAATGATAAAATCTCGATGTGACTGTGAACATTGTCTTATATTAACTAGATTATCTGCAATGAATTATTGACAATATACATGCTCGAGATGAACATTCAATTTAAATGTTTTGTTCTAGCTGTTTTCCATCAATCTGTGATAATGAGTTGTTTAGTTTTCTGACCATACTAATCGATAGATGATCGTCACAACGAAAAAATGTGACTGGTCTGTTTAACCTTGTTTTTCCATCTGACAGTATTGCAACATATATGACTAATACTGGATTTTTCTTATGAGATATATTTCGAAATAATATTCTGTGCATCATAAATTTTTAAAAATGTTTTGTTCAACAGTTTCATAATAATCAGATATTACTGTCATAGAAATAAACATTTTCCTTTTGAAGTTAATATTAATGCGATAGGATATGAAAGTTCAATTTTGTTTTGGGTTTACATCGAATAGGCTCTCTCGATTTCTCTATATAACGTTTGCGTATAACAAACTCTATGATCTTCTGGTAGTCATTATGTTACGTAATCTTCAATATAGTATCATTAATAAGTAGTAATTTAGTGACGGTGTAATTAAAGAACTAAACTTTTATTAACCTGGTGTCAAGTTAAAATCCACTCTACTTTCTTCGCTTTAGTTATCCCTCAAATACAAGAATGTATAGTTCGAGGTTACATAGATAAAAATATCTATACTTGGTAAATGAGTGACGGCTTTTAATTAAAAATGATTAGCCTAGTTTAAACTGTTTCTGTTCTAATCTTATCGTTATACAACATTGTCAACCTGTGCGTAATTAGCTTTTATAAATTTCCTGTTCACTATGTATGTCGCATTTTTCTAAAATCTAGTCACTAACTCTATAATTTCTTGTTCTCATCTTGATGTAACTGGATATTTGTATGCAATCATGTCTGTATGTTTATTTTTGTGCATAATAATCTTTCTGAAACAATCATCTTATCAATATAATATCCATTTTGTTTAATTGAAACATTTATGAATTATCATGGTAGGAAGTTAAACCGCCTTTTTCGATAAGTACATTTTTAACCTTTAATCATTCTAGACAATATTTTTCTAGTTGTATCAATAAACATAGTAATATGATATTACATAGAATACATTAATGCTCTAAAGTTTTATAATTAAAACTCACGTTGAAATATAGATTGTTATTGGTGTAGGAAATTTACAATGTAACAAGCATACAGAGGGATTTATTTATGCAATAGATAGGATAACATTTGAGTGCTCAGTTTAAAATAAAATCTACCATACAAGTTATTTATACTGTAAATTATTACTTCCTTGTATATAGATACATTTTCAACTCATACCACGTACAAAATACAAATATTGTTCGTAAAATTTCTTGGAGAGAATAAACAAAATTGAAATAGGCGAATAGCTACATTTTGTAAACATTTTCATGTCATTCTTGAAGTTAAGGTAAAGATTAATACGTTGAAAGTGTACTAAACTAAATTAGGAACAGAATCTGTGGTTGTGGAACAAATGAATTATATTCTAGATGTTTACTGGAGAAGATCTAAATTTAAACTTTCACCAGGGAAATATTAAAATGAGTATGTAACGATCCCCGTCGATTAGGTTTTCATGACGTAATCGTCAATTGATTACAAATAAAGTAACTACGAAATAGTGAACATACCTTTTACAATGTATGCTAAAATGTATTTCATAAATATTTCATTTGAATTACGTATTGCTATTTTTTATAAATCTTTCTAAGGGTTTAACTTCCATTGGACATTTTGAAAGCTTACGCTTAGCCACGCATCTCCATTCATCCTGTCAACGTATGCCCGATTGTTGTGACTTTGTTACTTGGTTACCAGCGGAATTAACTTTACGAATTTTCTCTTATCTATCATGGAGTAAGAGTTGTCCGAACTTTGTTTTAATTACAAAATTTATTCATTTTATCGGTTTGTTATTTTTTGTTTAAATATAGTTCTTTTGTGTGGTGGTTCAAATTGTGTGACCAATTACTCATTAATTGTCGTGTTCTGTTATCGATTGATGATGTAAATGAAATAATTGTTTTAACAATGTGATTCGGTTGTATACTTTTCAAGAGATGAAGATTTCAAGTTCACAGATGAAAACAGTTGAAAACATTCCATTAGTTATTATTGTTGGATATAGTTAGAGCTGTTATCGATTGCTTTCTATTTATCTCGAGGTACTTTAATCTAGATTGTCTTCCGACATTAAAAACCTAAGTTCAGCTATCAAGTTATTTAATTTTAATAAACATAGTTTTATTTCTTTTCTGTCTAAGTAGTATGGATTATCATCGGTCTAATCAAAGTGACAGGTAGTATCAGTTTGATTGTCCCGTGTCAGTTAACGAATTTTTTATAGCTTTCTTCCACATGTAGAAGTTTGTTTGATCGTCAGTATGGGGTTGTGAGGATGGTAGAATTTCATTGAAATCATGATCCAATACAAATTAGACCACCACTGAAAACCTGGAATTACTGGACACCCGTCACCAGTGGACCTAAACCGTGTCAAGCGTGAAACAGTTACCCACCGAAGACAATAGATTACGGTAGTGCTATGTTGTAGATTAATTAAAGTTAGACAATATGAGTGTTGGATGTTGGCTCACTGGTTTAAAAATTAAGTGTTCACGTGCGAGACTGAAGATCTTGGGCTCGATTCCTGCCTTTAGGCTCATGGATCCGGACTATCAAGGAGTCTCATACGAGGACAAAACATCAATCTAGTGCCTCAAGTCTTTCAATGGTGGTTTAACTTAAATCGTCTCACGATTTCAATGTTATTATTAATCGCTTTCATTTTTCAGATTTTCTGAAATCGTATTAAATTCTGTAGATTTCAAATGCTGTTTATTAATGATTATTAACTATCTTACTGTTAATTATTTCCTTAGAAATTTAACGACACTTTTTATAGGAACTTTCAATTACATTTATACGTAAATAAAGATTTATCATGAGTTACAATTAATTATTTTATTCAAGTTGACTTATTTGTTTATTTAATTGTATGTGTCATTGCATCATTTAGCAAGAAGAGTTTAGATATAGTCTTAAAAAAAGCATTAAACAGCTAATTTCACACATATTTCCCGACCAATAAATTAGAGTAAATTAAGCATATACTTAGAATCTCGTCAACTGCTTACAACCTAGAGACGATGGTTATAATCATGTATAACCAATGTACATATTTTATATCATATTACTGAAGATTTGTAGAATAATGATAAGGAGCATGGAGGTGTTATCAAGAATGATAAAGTGGCTGAATATTTATATGATCACGTATATGGACATTCCGGAATAAAAAATTTTTTAAACATATGGAGACACGTTTCTAGAGAATGAATATTGATGATAAAGTTATGTAATAACAACCAGTAATTTTGATAGAATAACAGAGTAAAGCAAGTGAAACTCAAAAAAACGTAAGGATGAGAAAGGAATTTTTCATTACGAATGTGAAGTAAAATATTACTTAATTGAATGATAAGAAATGGAAGTTATTAGGGTAGTGAGAGATTTACAGCTGTTTCCTTTTTTTAATATCTAATTATCAAGTACACCAACGCTACTTAACTTCATCTATAAGTTTACTATCATACTCAAGAATTGATTAACTTTACAAAATTCATAGCTTCATACTGGATGTCTGACAAATAATCTTGAAGATAATCATCGACTGAATGCCGTTTGGTTAAAACCAGTTGTTTAGTTCTTTTTTTAAAATTTAAGTTTGTCTAATAGGTTATGGTAACTTGAACCGATGCACACATGTATCAGTTTCAACGTTGCGTTTAACTCACTGATAATTGTAGTATCACATAATTTTCCTTAAATATGAACTCTATATTAAATCGTCAAAAGTGAGTGTCGATAAGAGTGAGTGTGTGTGGAGTAATGATTTGTTTAAAAAATAATGCTTCTAAAATCACTTTAGTATAAACGCTTATGATAGTGTTAGTGTCTCTCAATTTTGTAACATTAAAATCATAACTTGGCAACTAGATCGTGGGTTATTTCTGTAGCTAAAAATGAACTTCTATTTAACTTTTATCTAGCAGCCACTTCATAGAGTCAAATTCAATATGGATCACAAAACCAAGATTTTATTATAAGTTTTTTTGTTTACATTATTCTGCATGCTTTTTTCCATAAACTTTGTTTTTTTTAATATTGATGTCTGTTTTTATCTCCTTGCAATTGGACAGTAGAGTATCCACCTTGAAAGTAACGGCTCTAGTATCCTGTTCGTAGTAAATAAATATTAAAATTATCAAGAGTCGACATCCATTGATCATTCTTAATATTGTTATTGACACATAACCCGCTTCCTTTAATTTATGGGGACAATTACTATTTGTAAGTTTGCGAATACAACGTTATTTTCTACCAAATAACTTAATATTATGGCTTCTGGTTACAGTGAAAACGAAAATTGTATCCCAGTCAGATTTCCTTAATTCTATTTCTTATATATATACAGCGACAAAAATACGACACGATCAGATGTACAGGATTCCCGAACTCATGAAAATACGTAGTTTCGATCTTTCCAATTCTAAACACTATCTGCTGAAAAATAGATTATATTCATCTTCAAAATCTCCGTAATACAAGTTTTTGTTGTTAACTAAAGTTACAAATTACTTATACGTTGTTATTTAAACTATGTATCTGAAATCATTAAAATAACGAAAATGACGGTTTAAAAAACAAATAATATTGCCTCAAATCCTGATATTTCCGATTCCGATGTACGTGTATAGTAATCAAATTCGGGCATCTCATGGCAGTCTTCTTGTAACTAACCAAAGGTCCATTTTGTTGATCCTAATGTTTTTGCTAATAGTTATCAAAACGTGGATTAATGTAATATTATTAATGTCTCTAGTGAGTGATGTGTTCTCTGAACCAGTTAGCTTAATTATGAAGCTATTGTTTTCGTTCTTGACGACATCATCAGCGCCCATTTCATGCACAAGTAAGCTTTTCATTTATTCCCTCAGCTTTAAATTAGTTTTTTTATTGCTTTTGTTGTAATTGTGCGCCCTTATTTGTCTTTTACATTTTTGTTGTTTATCATTAATCAAATTTTCATAAATTATATAGTTTTCTATTTCCCTTTGTTATATTGTCTTAAGAATCTTTGACAGTATGTTCAGAAGTTAATAAAAGTTGGCTAAAATACGCTCGACATCCTGATTTATATCGACACTTTTGTATGCTACCAAAATGGTCCTCACCTATTCTAAGAAAACCACAATTAATCAATTGTATAACAAAATCCAATGAATATAATTATCGTGTACAAGAGGAAAATCTACAAAATTCAAATAATTTTATAAGCAATCATTTAAATATTAATGTAAGAATTTCAAGTGTTTATTTCTAGGTTATCGTTTTTCATATGTCAACCATATGAAAATGTGAATTCTCTACGCATCTATATGTGCTGAAGCCACATGTAGGTGTTATAACCGATAGAAAAATAAAACACTGACTGATATTCGAAGCGTTACATTTAATGAAAGTTGATTAATTTTTTTATTATTATCCTAGCATATTGTTCTCGTTATAAAATATCATTTCCTGTATTCTCTTCCTTATAATATTTACATACCTGTTTACGAAATTATTAAACCAATCAAGGCAGTTTATGAGTCAATGATAACAGTGGAATAGATTGCATAAATAAGTGAAAAGTATATATTGGTAGTGTGACGACAGGTGTACTAGTAGCGATGGACTCACTTCTAGGTCCTATCCATGAGGATTTTTTTCTTGCGAAACTATAGAACGGACCTCTCATGGATTTTATTGATAAAACGGACTTCTACTATCGTTACGTTGATGATACTTTCACTATTCTCGATCAGAACATTGGAAAAGAAGAACTATTTAACAACAAACCTTCAGCAATTAAATTTACATGTGAAGAGGAACTAGATAATAAGCTACATTTCCTTGATGTTTTGTTAAACAGAAAAGAAAACGGTTCTATCAGTAGAAGTGTGTATAGAAAAAGTTCTTTATCAACTTAATACACACATTTCTTAAGCTTTGAACCCCTTCATTATAAGAGAAACTTAGTCAAATACCTGGCAAATAGAGCCATTACGATATGGTCAGTCGATACAATTAACAATGAATTAGAGACCATACACAATATGTGATTTAAATGGGTTATCCACAGGGTTTCTTGAAGGAACATTTCCGTGTAACAAACAAGAAACCTCTCTTCCTGAAGCTACAATCCAATAGAGATATAGCTGTTGATGTACTACGTGATAGACTGAGTAAAGCAGTAAAGAGAACGTTTAATGCTGCCAACCTCTGCCTATCGTATTCGACCCGATCGATGGTGATTCCGCAATTGAAGGATAAGTTACCTGGTTATGCCACTTCTATGTGTATCTACGAATTCAGCTGCTGTTGTGGAGAAAACTACCAGGCAACTGAATCAACGAGTTAGTGAACACCTCCCTTCGTGGTTAGGAAAAGGTTACGTCAAAACGATACGCAGCTCGGTTCTATCACACTTGATCGATAGCGGTCATATAGTGGACAGAAACAAGTCGTTCAAAGTTATTTATCGTATTACCACTAGTTTTCCTCATGGTGTTCGATCTCGTCTCTTACATATAGCAGAAACTATAGGAATCCGAGCGAACAAGCCAAGTCTTTGTGTTCAGAAGGAATTCGTATCACCCTTATCTCTCCCCTGGTCTTAAGTAATAAATGAATTTATTTGTTCTTTTTCCAACTTTCTCTTCGTTTGTTTTTTTTCTTCACTCCCTCCTACCACTTTACTTTCTCTCAACTATACGTTTCATGGTCCAATTATCTGAACATTTCTTATTACGTCATTTTATAATTGTTTTCTCAATTTCTATATTTTTCTAATCATTGACCTATTTCCGATTATGTAACATTGGTTTGAACCTTTATTATTCTTATCAAAACTAATGCACCTTTTGTCAAACCATCAATTGGTACTTTTCACATTTCACTTATTATGTAATCGTTTTCATTGTTATCATTGACTAATAATCTACCTTGATTGGTTTAATAATTTCGTATATGCATATAAATATTACTGTATATTAGAGTAAAGCCTGATGAGGATCTAATCGAAAACAATATTGTTCGCTTATATATGTTGTTATTCATTAACATCCATTTCTTTTCCAATCATCGCAACTCGGTCACAATCCACAGTAACTCTTATCGATCAACACAAAATCTAATTGATCGAACTTAAGTAGGTAAATTGAATTCGAATTTGTAAAAGTGTTAAAATTTGGTTGCATCCACCAATTTGTAGCTAATGTCTGAGGTCAATTGAAAATCCAGATCATGTATGGAATTTTATTAGCATTGACTTTGATATTTGACCCTTTTCCATTTTCATGATAATTTCATTTCTGCGTGTTGATATGGTGTAGCAACTTGAACTGATGCACATTTATGCCAAGTTCTACATAGTATATGAATAATTGAATGAATGTAACAGATGGTAAAGCGCAAATCTAAAAATACACGTTTCAAAGAAACTGTTTTAAACAAAACTTAATGATCTGACACTTATCAGTTTTCTTTTTTCCTTTCTTTTTCTTGTGTATAGATAACACATGAAAATTCTGCTAGTTTGATTAGTTGTGTTATTTAAAATTTATTGTCATTTAATCGTATTAGCAATTGTTTAATTATTAAATTACTCGAGTCAACTTCTGAGTCAACGTTTCGAATTCATATTTTCACCCAAATTTGATTTGTATAACCTGATGATGTCGCTAAAATTGTTTCTCAATATTGAATCCAAGTGATTGTTTTTAGTGATTAGTTGAATTTGCTAGGTTTGAAGCTATTATCAGTTCACTTGGTATGCGAACGGAACAAAGACTTGTGACCGTAGACCAATACGCTAGCTGTTTGATGCATCACAGCCCTGCTAACTAGAGGAAGAAGTCCAAGCTTGGAACAGGAAATTATATTCCGTAAGCCAGAAGCACGAGTGAATAATAACAGACACAAATCAAACATTTGTATACAGCATAAAACTGTTCTTGGGAAGTGTACCAAAAATAACATACTAAAAATACACAACGGACCAATAGCGAGAACGACAGGTCAAAGTCAAACATCCGACTTTTAAACCAAGTTGATGGATACAGAGAATTTACACATAGGGCAGTTAGACAAATTATGTTACTGTAGTCACAAATGTAATTAGTAAAATTTGACGAACCAGAGTTTACGTTTCTGACGGATAAGTTTATTTTAATTTTTTTCTTCATTAGCCAACGATTGTTGATTATTTTATTTTTATAATGCATATATTTTACACTTAAACGTTTTGCGTATTATCTTTACTTCACATTCATTAGTGGTTAAATGTATTCAAGAAACGTGTGTGTCTAAGACGTAATTTCCGTTTGGGCAAACATAGAATACGTAGATTTAATGGACATAGTGGAGGTATGCATTAGTTGTTTTTGTACAGTTATACTTCTCACCATTTAATAACTATATAGTGTAATTTTCAGTTCAAGCACTTGTTTACTAAAAATGTAGAAAATTTTCTGCATGAGAAAAAATCGTTGATTGGTAATTTAACTTCTCAAAATACTTATGATCTGTACATTTCCTATTTATGTGGGAAGGCCTTCAGTGAACTCAAGGAAGCTCTAAAAGAACCAAAGATATTCCATCTAATCATCTTTCGGAAGAACATTCCGGAATCTCGACGTGTAGTTTCCCGGTTGGACGAATGCTAGAAGCCACTACATGCAGATTGGATAACTGCAACGATTATTTTTTACTAAAAACTACAAATATCTGAGTGTTTTGTACCGTATTTGACACTGTTTTGAATGGCGTCCCTTCCTACTTGTCTTCTAACTTGAGACTTGGATAGTTCTAGCGTTCGAATGCTCAAGTTGTAGCAAAAATATAAGCTCTAGATATTACATGATGAAATATAGCTTCAACTGACTCATGATTTCAATCTGTGCAAATAGATTTTTATATCTGGTATTAAGCTACATATTTTATGTTTGGTTCATGTGTACTACCCGAACCAGGCGAGTTTGTGTGTGGAATGTAATTATTGAAATTCGATTGCTATCAATAAAGCATATAAAGTTGATAACTTTAGTCGCTCAAAAATCGTGATTGCCAGTGACTTTGAGATTGTTAATTCACTTAACTATCAAATAAATAATCAAAATTTGATATTTATTATTATTTTAGTAATGTTCACTAGTTGGTATAAACTCCCTATTCATTTTTTTATCATTGACTGATTACTCTGCCTGTGTTTACTTTTTTTTAAATTGGAGTCAAACGGATTTGGATATTATTAGTTAATAATCTGTTGTATATTATATTATATTGGTTAGTGTTCATTGTCAAACTGGATTAGCTATTTATTTGTTATTATTATTATTATCATCACTATTATTATAGCCATTTCGGTATTCGACTCTTTATGAAAATCTGAATTACATTATCAATGTAATGACCTTTCTGAGTAAATAGTCACAATTTGGAGGATGTCACTATGAATAAATTACAAGTTACTGTATCGAAATAAATTGAATGGTTTTTTTTATTAATTCGATCACCCAATTTTAACGAGTATTTAGCACTTTTCTTTAATCTTATCCATTATGTTGAACGTTGAAACCATATTTTTATCAGTCTTTTAGCCTATTCGTACTGCATAAATTACTCTATTTTCAGATGGTAACTGAATTAGTTAGTAAGAAAATATTATAATCAAGATATTCTTCTTCTCTGTGTTATGTTCGTTAACTTGAATGCTACTACTGATTCGCCTTACTCGGAACGGAACGAAGAATCAAGGATTCAGAGACTCGATAGGCTTGCTAGGTTGAAGCTATCACGAGTTCACTTAATCGGCAAACGAAAACAAGACTCGGTGACCAAAGACCAGTAAGCTAGCTATTGATGCGTGCCAGCCCCGTTAACCAGAGGGAGAAGTCCAAGCTTGGAATGGGAAGTATATTCTGCAAAACAGCTAGAAACAAGCGATAACAAGAAGCACAATTCAAAACGTATATATACAGTGCAAAACCGTCCTTGAGGAGAGTTATCAAATAGCATACTAAAAGACACAACGCACCAATAGCATTTAAGATATTTCCCAGTGGGAAATACGACATGAAGGTGGCGAGAGCACCTTTGGCGCAAAAACAAAGAAATTCAAGTTTTCTAAATAAATTACAAAATTAGGTCCTTTCTCAAGTGAGTTCTGGGGATCGAACGTCCCCAACAGTCTGTTATCATCGTTATTTTTTTATGTTTCACATATATTTTTCTAAATCCTTCAGTTATACACTTGATAATGTATATAATTAGTTCTACATTCAACTTTCGTCTTATGGTTGTCTATAATATGACATTGGTTTAATCTGATTTATTTTCCTAAATTTTCTCTTTAGCTGTTTATTGTATTGATTGCGATGCTTATCGTATTGTTAGTGGATCAGCTGACGCAACAATACGCGTATGGAATATTCGTACAAATGCGAAATGGTCTGTTCAAACACTTCGTGGACATTCAGATGCTGTTCGTTGTGTACAGTTACTATCCTTACCTCATTACCAATCAAATAATAATAACAATATCGATGGCTATTGTTCCTCTCCTCCTGTACATTGTATTCACGAGTCAATCGCATCAATACCATGTTCTTTATGTAAATTAGATACAACTGTTACATATCCTAATTGTTGGGAACCACCTGAAGTACTATTAATATCTGGTAGTGCAGATACTACTTTAAAATTATGGCGTCTTTCTGCAACATCTAATTGGTCACGTATTGCATGCACATGTACATTGCAAGGTCATACTGACACTGTAAGATGTGTACAGGTATGTGATTATAACTTATTCAACATTTTCAGAAACTATATCATATTCTTTATTGATGAATAAACATGTCAACTATTATTCATTAGACTTATTGAAAAGTTTATATATTGTAATGAACACTGTGTATTATTGTATGTTAATGTGATCATCACAGTTTATAATATTTCACTTTTGGGAATCAACATTGCTCGTAACCTCAAAAATGGAGTGACATATTCACTAGAAAATACGCTTAACATTTCACTAATGTGACTAAATTAGGTAAACATACAGGTTCGCATTGTTAGCTCTTTTTACTAGATGTTTATTCGTACAACGTGTCTGATCTTATAGATATAAAGAAAAACATAACGTGTAGAGTATTGGGATAGACATAAACCTATGTCGTAGTGAATAATCCATTTTTATTTGTTAATTGACATTTGTATTGATTCAATATTCGTCCAGTGCTTCCAGGTTTTCAATGGTGGTCTAGATTCAATATTCCATTAAAACCTATTGTTCAGTTTATTGAAGTCATATTTTATGAAGTTTTTATAAAATATCTCATATGTCCCTTGTATATGAACATATTGAATAGCTAGTCAACGCTTTTACAATTTAATGAATCTTGAAATTAACCGTTTTTACGTTCATATTAATACAAAAAGGAATCTAATACACATAGTACAGCGTTTATGTTGCTAATCAAACGATTTTTACTAGTTGAAGAGAAATAAGTAAATCTCTTTCGTCTTAGCTAACATCCTCTATGGAATCTTGAATTAAAATAAGAGTATCACTGATATTACCAGCAAATCGTTATCTGTGCTTTTATAGGGGTTATTTATTATTCATTTTATTTATTTTAACACATAGATATTACTACAAGGAAGCACCAAATACATATGCGCCACACAAATCTCATTTGATATGTGTGAGGGCTGTGATACTGCCCGTATGCCCAAACCGAAACAGGTGATTTTCTTAGGGGGCCACACTTGGAGCCTTCGACCTGAAGCTCTGATCCACAAAGTAGTGGAGCATCGTAAGGAGATGCAGTCCCATGGTAGCCGGTGACCAACGATTGGTTCACAAGCCATTTGTTCCCTTGGGGTACTGGAGCCCATGTGCACCATTGATTTGAAATCCGGTTAGAGCGCCAGACATTCGCTTTTCGTCCTCTCAATTCCGTAAACAACAGTAATGCCACGAGAAGGCAGTTCGTTGTATATAAAATGTGAATTTCGTTCTTCTAAACGTTTTACTAAATCATTGTTAGCATATCTTGCATTGATTCGGTGGAATACTACAATATGTTTTATGTACATTCGATTTTTATCTCCCAAGAAATTGTATTTCCGTAGTTAGCAAAATATCGCAATTACAATCTTTCGTTTATTAACGAAACCGTTTTCACAACGAAATTCAACAACTCCTTTCTAATTTAAATCATTTGACGAAATCACCCAGTCATAAGTACTATTTACTTCTTTCTCTGAAATTATTATTTTAAGAAAGCCTAAAAGTTTATTTACATACCGATCCTTGACGTTCAGTGTTATAAATACATGAACTATTCATTATCTGATCACGATGATTTATTCATCTGCTTACGTTCGTATAACGAGTATTATAAGACCAAACTGTGTTAAAATAACTTATGAAACACTTAGATGAAAATTAGTTTACTAATTGTGCATTAAACATTTGATTACCTTTCTAGTTCATAAATCCCTATTATCAACTATTAAAAACAGTTATCACTTTTTTCCCAGTTTTCTCTTAATGACATACATTTTCATCTTGTCGCTATAACTAACGACTTCAGTTCAATCTCTACTTGAGCGAATAAAGTTTATTACAATATACATTCATAGACAAGAGTATATCAGAGTAATCAGACAGAATCATATATTCAAAATAAAATTTGAATGTAAAAATGAAAATTCTCACACCCAATCAAAGCACTTTATGCTACTTGTATTTGAACTAACCAGATTTCAAATATACACGGTTTACAGCCAATTAACAAATTATTACAAACGACAAAATGTTTTTCTCTAAATTTTTTTAATCATACTCTAAAATTTCTCAACAATGGGTGATGAGAAATCACCATGCAATGGTTGGCAACCCTTCTATTACTGCTTTAGAGCTGACAAGTGGTGGAGAATAAAATCAACGAGTTTCTCCCCTTCTTTTCATATTTCGAAAAATTACTGGTGTGATTGTTTCGATCTCGCTTTTTTAATGTGGGACTGACAAATGATACTTAACCAATAACCACCGTTCTTTATTACAATGTAATTGGTTGATTTTCATTGAGAATGGCTAGTGGTCATTCGGTGGTTTGCAGTTGTTATAAACTCTTCTTACGGTTCTGACCCAGCTATTCCTATTGCTTAGTATTCTCGGACACCGATTCACTCGACAAGTCCCCAAATCAGAACACGGTTGAACAGGAAAGAGATTATATTCCAAATAACAAGGTTAGATGGAAGTAAGATGCCAGTAAGAAGCTCAATAGGGAAAACGTCAGTATATTTATAGTTTTTTACATGAGAAGATTCCAGAGTATTCTCCAACAATCGACTAGTGCTGATTGGATAAGAATTAGCCAATCAGTGTGCACCAAAGCAATCGTGCATTGAGCTTGCTTTAATCCAGTCTGTTCCGCTAACAGTAGTTTTATAAAAAGCTGTCTCAGTCATTTCGACTATTTGGCAAGATAAATTTTTTAAGTAACCAAATTTAGATTATTAGTCAACGAAGACAATTAATGGTATTCAAATTCCACTAAAAGACAGAATATTAGTTATCTAACACTCAATCGATGAACATGGAAGTTGTCAACAATTAATAAGGTTTAAAGCAAGTCAACGCTGAACGCTTATCCAAACATGTTCAACAGTTAATTCTGTGTGAAGTAACACTGAAAGTCAGTTAATCTGAGATGTCAACAAAATTTGAGAATGTAAAATATGCAAATTCATTTTTTGTATTACTTGTTTGAATCTTCAAATGAATGTTTAGGACTGCAATTAATCAGTTTCTTATTGGTATATGTCCATCCTGTGCGGATTGCCTTAGTTCATGAGCACTATAATCAAAAATAAATGATAGCTAGCAGTGTAAACCATTACACGCATTTCGTTCGATTTAGGATTCATCAGTTGGATGTACCTGCATCCCAGATTTGGTGTGTCACTTCGGGACTCAAATCCACTACCGTTCGCTTCAAACGCCATCTCATCATCCACTTAGCTACTAATTTCAGATAGCCATTAGCTTGTGCAATGGGGTGAAGTTTAAATACTTTTTGTATTGTCCGGTTGACGAGTCCCAAATAGGATGAAATGCGCGTCCCGAAAAATGTTCTTCTCGGCAACGTCGTTTTGTTAGGCTGTTCAATTGTATTGACATGTAATCTAACTATTCATAGTCTATAATAAACCTGAAGGCTGTTGCGTCATTGGACAAACGTATTATGGATTATCAAACATCCTTTTTAAATCCATGAGAAATGTAGAGATGTTGCATAATTTTGTAGTCTAATCAAGATTATCAAAAGGTACTACATCATTTAGTAAAATAATTGAAAATAATCAGCGTTCCTAAGTATCAAATATATTAGGTATATTAAATCATTATGTTAAGTAATCAAAAGTTTCACGAATTCGACTGAATTTGTGTAATAATCTAAGTGGTAGTAAAAAAATATTAACTTATGGAGGAAGTGTAAAAGTTAATTGGTAAGTGGATATATTGATGAATCAATGACGAACGAGGCTCATGGTAAAAAATATACGATACACAGATCAGTGTAGAAATCACTGTAGTAACAAAAGAAAAATTGATTACGTAATTACTGTCTGTATGTGAAGTTTGCCTCAATGTTAATTGAATGTAAATTGGTAACTGTTGTCTTGAGATTGTTTTGACAAAATATTTATCACATATTTCAATATTTTCAATTAACGAGTTACGAACTCCTATATATCACATAATTTGCGCCTTATGTTATTGTTCATCTCAATATTTCAGACTACAAAATTATGTGGTAATTTAGTGAACATGAACACCAGTGAGGACAATCGAATGTACTTAACACAAAATTACAGGACTTGTTAATAAAATCTAACAATCATAAAATAAATGCTTAATTAGCAAAATGTCCACCAATTGTCTCAAAATAACTCAGACTTCATATTTCTTGCATTTTCACACAAATTGCATCCTGTTTCCATTCTTTACTGTTCGATCCTTTTTTCTCTTTGCTGCCAGACATACTGTTCCTGACTAACATCATATACTACTTATGTCAATATAAGTAGCACACACCACAATAACTATTTTTTAAAAATAATATCAAAACAATAATAGAGAACTACATTTATTTACATGGAAGTGTAGTATATAGCTAGGTGGTAACAAATATAATATTGGTGTTAAGCTGTGACTACTTACATTACAAATTCAATATGTAATTTACATTCTGTTACCATGGCGAATGAATGATAACTATTCACAAATGTAAATGTTATTAGCTTGATTTCACTGGTGAAATGAGATGATTTTCATTTGTTCTTTATTTATTCGAAATAATGTAATTTTTGTAGTTCTATCTTATGGGATCATTTTCTGTAAAGGAGTTAGGTAGATCACCATTTTAAACCTATAAGTACTGGACAACTGTTTCGCTGTAGTATATGATGATCTTAATTTTTATTATCGGATTATAAAGACAGTTAAACTGTCAATGATTCGCAAATTATTTCTCAAATGTGAACACCAGATAAATGATCTGTCATTATTATCATTCTTCATATTCACAAAATAATAATTTTTTCTCACGTATTAATGAAAGTCATATCAAACAGATAATTGATACTATTCCAATATTTACTGTCTGATATTCATCAACTCCTTGGCCTTAAATGGGTAAATCTGTCTTCTAAAACTACTGATCACAAAGGAAAGGGCATATTATAGAACCTCATTAATTCAGAAACCCATACTTTTTATTAAGCAATCATACTGGAACTTTTCTGTGGTATATGTGACAGTTAGTACATTGTTATTTCTATCGGGTGACTGGACTGTTATTAATGCATTGAGTAACCGAAAATAAGCCAGAAAGTATTAAATCAAATTGTTGAAGAGGTCCCAAATAGGGCCATATTGCGTTCTCGTTGAATTCTCGTTGACACCTGCTATGAAAAGTATTATTAACTTTGGTATCCACATATGGAACTTATGACTATATATCATAACCGTAACACTCCATACACAAGAGGTCACTATCGGCTGTTCTTGCATAACAGGTAAGATAATTAAATGTGCTACATCTCGAACATCTTACCCATTCACCAGAATCATTTCCAGCCCTTGGCAGTTGAAACAAATGACTTGCACAACGAGACAGGAGTGTGTAGGCATACAGAGTTTTGACGAGTTCATAAGAAGAAAGAAGATACTGCTTACTGCTATTATTTATCACTAGTTCTTAGTATAAATTTGGCATAACTAATGTTAATCATTCGTTAAAACCCTATTGCAACAGTTTCACAATATTTTTTTCAAATCGCAATACATTTGCCTGTTTATTAGTTCTTATTACTACTTGTAAATAACAATAAAGTATAAAATTTAAAATACATTATAGTTATCTTCCTTTTTTTTCTACACTATAGAATATGTTTTCTGAAAAAAATCAATTTATTCCAACAGTGAAATTCAACTTTTGAATTATTGTTTTAAAGTGTGTAAATTTTAACATGTCCCCGAATGCCTTGGTACGGCCGAGAGTGGAGAGAGTCCGGACGAAAAGCGAATGTCCGGCGCTCTAACCGGATTTCAAACCAATGGTGCACATGGGCTCCAGTACCCCAAGGGAACAAATGGCTTGCGAACCAATCGTTGGTCACCGGCTACCATGGGACTGCATCTCCTTACGATGCTCCACTACTTTGTGGATCAGAGCTTCAGGTCGAAGGTTCCAAGTGTGGCCCTCTAAGAAAATCACCTGTTTTGGTTTGGGCACACGGGCAGTATCACAGCCCTCACACATGTCAAATGAGATTTGTGTGGCGCATATGTATTTGGTGCTTCCTTGTAGCAATACCTATGTGTTAAAATAAATAAATAAATTTTAACATTTATTCGTATTGTTAAAATGTAGTTTATATATATCCTATATTCTAATAATTAGTTTAGATTTCATTTATGCAAAGTGATAATCACTATATTGCACAGACGTTATCTCATACATAATTAATCACCATTATTGTAAGTGACTAAATTGCAACTTGACCGACATAATCCGATTAGAAATGACGATATAACTATGATCTAAATATAATCGTTAATTATTATGATTCAGTTATATGGAAGATAAATAGTAGTAACCTAAATAGCTTATTAATAATATTTGGGACTGACAGTGTTATATACAGTTTTAAATTCTATACAAAGTTTTAACACTCATAGTATTTTAACAGTGAAGCTCAACTGATGAAATATTTTTTTTATTGAATACTATAGATATAGTATACTTCAGTGTAAATAAAAGCGTTTTGTTTTCATTTATCTTCTAAATTAATTCATAATCACCCTTGAATAAAGTAATAATCACAAATATAATTTCACACATTTTAATCATTAAAGTTTTAGATTACAATTTACAGTGAGCTGATACGTTGTATAAAATGGTTAGAATATTCTCTTGAGAATAACTGATTTCAAACTGCATTATTTTTGTAAAAAGAAGTGAACATTGTGAAGTTTTGATACGAACGGGCTTTAAATGTGTGTGTGTGTGATCAATATTATCTTCATGTATTCTGAAATTTTAAAATCTAATCGCAAAGTATACTTCCTGAGTCTATATCTTATAATCTTTTCAGAGATAATATTGTGCACCATTTTAATATCACATGTTAGCTAAACCTGTGTTAATTGGGATCCAATATAGGTTGAAATAACTTTGCAAAACATCATGAATTTTCAATCAATGAACTTGAGAACTTTTTTTGCATTTAAAATTAAATGAAGTCGTTATTAAATGTTTGCTGAATCTTAATATTCCAGCATAAATAAGCTGCATCATCAAGTTCCACCAGCTATTCAAATCTCAGATATACATATGGTAATCACGTCTGTATTCCACAGACTTATAGACTGCATCGCTAAAATCAGAGTTCTTTTTTTGTAGATTAGGTGTTAACGTTTCATTTCGAACTCGTTTGTCAATAGATTTACAGCACTTATGAATTATTCATCACTTATATTGTAATAAACGAGAATGCAGCTGGGGACAACCATTTATATTTTAACATAAAATACGGAGTTCTTTCGTCAAATGTGTAAATCATACATTCAATACTTCATTTGCAAATCCTCCATCACTTGTCTCAAACTTCATGATCTCTTCATTGCTATAACAATTACTCTCTGTTCCCATTCTCTTTGTTTCGTTCTTTTCAACCTTCCGCTGTCAAGCATCCTACTTTCCATCGATGTTATATACTACTTATGTCGACATAAGTAGCACATTATAATATCTGTTTATTTTCTCAGACCACCGCGTGACTAGGTCAGTAGTTAGATTATTACAAGAGTTTATATGTTTTCATAATCTTTGTTGTCACATAAAATCCTTACTCCTGCAGTTCGCAGTTCATTGGACTAATAGTAGTTTTAGATTGAATGAAAGTTAAATATCCTAGCAGTACCGATTAAAATTCATCTGTTATTGGTTTAAATATTTTAAGAGTTTGATTTAATTTCGTTTTATTATTTAGGCTGATCATGAAAAAGTTATCAGCGGTTCATATGATTGTACAATACGGTTATGGAGTATAATCAGTGGTCAAATGAAAAGGATATACCGGTGAGTGTATTATATTTATATCACTATTCTCGTTATATTATCACAACAGATATAACACTTAGGTATTGTTATAATTTCCTAATTACTCTGTACTGTAAGTCTTCTAACACCGTTACTATATAGTTTTACCTTCGACTGTCCACACAGTCTCATTTACTCGTTAAACTACCAAACAAAATGCCTGAAAGACCATGTAATTACCCAGTAGTACTCTGTTCTTTTCAGACTTAAAATATCGCTTAACTTTATACGTAAAATACAAGATCAACCCGCTTCATAAATAAAAGTTTTAGTATGTACATAACTAGGATATTTCCGGCAAAAACTTAGGTAATAGATTTATAGTTATTTAACAGTTATTTATAATCGATAAACGATGTTCCAACAGTCAAAGATTCAAAAGAGTTTACAATTAGGACAATATAAAAATTCATGAAATGGTTATTTAACAAGCATATATATATATATATATATATATATATATATATATATATATATATATATATATATATATATAGCACACCATTACAGTTACTTGGTAAAATACAAAACCATATTATAATACCTAATTTTCAAAATGTTCAATAATTGTCTTGAACTTCATTGTTCTTGCATTTCTATAATAATTTCGTTCTTTTACCGTCCCTCCTTTCTTGATCTTCCTAATCTTTTGCTGCTAGACATTACATTCCTGACTCGCGTTATATACTACTTATGTCAATATAAGTAGCACTCACCACAAGGCTATCTACATGTCTGACTAACCAGACAAACAACCATTATCATTCTCGCCCACACATCATTATTATAAGTTGACATTCAGAGAATTTTAGAAATATTTAAAAATAAATGTATTATAACTTTTGTTCTGTTCATAGAGGCCACTCAGCTGGTATAACGTGTTTAGTGTACAGCGGTAATTTTTTATATTCTGGCTCTTTAGATAATACAGTTCGGGTAAGTTTCCTGATTTATTGATAATTAGTTTCTTATAATATATTTTTACTTTATACTAGCTGTCTCCTGATTGGTTAATAATTTTCAAGGTCATTTAAGATTCGTTCAAGGTTCGTTCATAAATTAGAGTCTCGCCGTATCGACTACCGCTGATTGGTTAAATCTTATTCAATCAGCATGCATCAACGCAATCTAATATATGTCCCGCTAACAAATCCATAATATCAGAAGGGGTTTGTGGAGATTTTAGAAATTTTCACAGATTTAAGTCATGAGTCAGTTGAAGCTAGACCGCCATTGAAAACCTGGAAGCACTGGACGGCCGTTTCGTCCTGGTAGGGGACTCCTCAGCAGTGCGCATCCACGATCCCGCACCATGCGGGGCTCGAACCCAGGACCTGTTGGCTTCGCGCGTGAGCACTTAACCATTAGACCACTTAGCCGGCATCCAACGGTGTTAATGTCTAACTTCAACCAATCCACGAAGTTGCGCCACCATATACCATTGTCTTCAGTGAGCTGATATCTCACAACAGACCTGGTTGGACTCCACTGGTAACGGCCTCCCACTAGAACTCCAGGAGTATCTCTTCAAGTCAGTCACTAGTGAGCAGATGATTATTATCAGAAGGGGTTTGTGGAGATTTTAGAAATTTTCACAGATTTAAATCTAATGGTTTAACGGTTAAGTGCTCGCGCGCGAAGCCAGTAGGTCCTGGGTTCGAGCCCCGCGTTGCGGGATCGTGGATGCGCACTGCTGAGGAGTCCCATAAAAGGACGAAACGGCCGTCCAGTGCTTCCAGGTTTTCAATGGTGGTCTAGTTTCAACTGACTCATGATTTAAATCTGTGAAAATCCATAATAGATTTATTTACTAGGAATCCTTGTGTTTGCACGGAGAATTATTTTATTTTAATGGTTTTTATCTGCTCCATTTTTTAGAAAACATTTTGTTGTTGTTGTCGATAGGTTAGATTATTTGAATAGTGTAATGAGAATGGTAAAGATTATCACAACTATGTGATATATTAGCTAAATATATTCCGAACAATCTGATCACACATATACTTGTTAATGATATCTATATATAAAAATACAAAGGTCAACTAAACAAATGGGGTGCTAAGAGAAAACAAAGATAATCAAGAAAGTAATATGAAAAACAATGTGAAGCTCATCATAGTGGATAGTAAACTAATATTACCAGGCTGGATTACTCTAATATGTCATATAGTTCTGATAATCTTGATCTTCTCTTTACACTACATAAATTTATCAAAGGGTTAGATTATTGTTGATTTGTTTGACTTGTAATTCTTATTAAAACAACTTATCATATTTATTATTGATTGTAATTATTTTAATTGGTACAGTTGTCAGTTGATTTTAATAATAAACAGATTTTTATGGGGATTTTCTCTTAAAAATGTATAATAAGGCTATTTTATTTATTTTCCTATTTGAGCACATAAATATTGGTACAGAGGGACACCAAATACATGTCCGCCACACAATCCACTTGATTTGTGTGTGGGCTGTGATATTTCCCGGGTGCCCAGACCGAAACGGGTAGTTTTCTTAGGAGACCACACACGGAGCCTTCGACCTTAAGGTCTGGTGCACAAGGTAGTGGGGCAATGTCATGAGATGCAGTCCTATGGTAGCCGGTGACTAGCGATTGGTTCATACGCCATTTGTCCCCTCGGGGTACTGTAGTCCATGTACACCACTGGTAAAGAATCAGAGTTTTCCAACTCCTCTAGGTGAACCCTCCATATTCACCAACCCGGTTAAAGCGTCGGAGATTCGCTTTTCATCTCCTCAATTTCGTTAACAACACCCCTGTCTTGAGAAGGCAGTGAGAAAAGCTTCCCTGGCAGTGGTTGTATGTACGTTTTCATGTGAAAGCATTTCGAGAGGGAAAGCTGACTCTCCCCACCCTCGGCAGTATCAGCGCATTTGGGTGCTATGATAATGCTAACTAGTATTATTTGTTTATATCTTAAAATGACGCTATTTGAAGTGTATGTTTTTAATAATTAATCTTTTAACAACGTTGTTAATTTAGCGTATCAATTTAGCCTATGGTCAATTAGTTCGTTCGTAATTGTTTTCAATATTTTAAAAAAAATACACGTTCTTATCGTATACATAATTCATGATTAACTAAATGAACATGTGTCATGATACTAAACTTTCTCAACCTACTCTTATCTAGATAATTGCACACTCTCATTTAATGTAATAAAACGTTTTCTTACATTGAAGAGAGGCTTCTTGGTGAAAATTATTTTAATTTACAATTTGTGTGAGGCCGTATCAATTGAAATGCAGCTAACTAAACGAGTATATGGTCAGTCAGCTACAACGTAGGACCAGACACATATGTGCATCTGTCCAAGTTTTGCCATACCTCATTAACATAACAAGATGGACACTGAACTCATAGAAGTAGTGGTTGCAATACATAAAAGAAAGATTGCATATGAGGACATAGTGCAGGTAGAAGAATTAGTTGGTAGAAGGAAAGATGAGGGGATTTTAATCTCATAGTTTAAGGGAAGACAAAGAGTGTATACATCGACGCCATTGTGGTCGATTCTGAGCCATGTCACCAAGAATCTCCAACCATTGGTTACGATAGTCACGCGGACCCCAACCAAGTAGTCTGCATCTACCAACATGGCTTGGACCAGAAGTTAGTGACTTCAATGACTGATGCCACATTTTGGCTTGGCAGCCCCTAATATTCTTCTAAGCATCCCCAACACTAGTCATCATTGCGCGTCGTTGTAATCGGTGTTCAGGCAACCATCTCAGTCGATGAATATTTACAATCTCACCATTCCCCATTATCCTGCATCTAGCCTCACTATTACACACCCGTTGATCTCAGCAGATGCAAGCAATATTTCTAAGGCATCTGTGGTCAAATATTAGTAGCTTACGAATATCTTCAACTCCTAATGGCCACGTTTCGCAGGTATAAAATAGAACAGAACGAACTGCCACACAGTATACTCGTCCTTTTATTGATAGACGGACATTTCGCCTTTTCCATAATACGAGTATATGGAATTATTCGGAATATAGAAAAATGATGAATCCTGTGGTGTACTGTACTCTAAGACGCTACTGAAAGGCTAATTCAGCGTGTTCTTTTTAAATAAATGCGATAGTGTCATAACTATACAGCTTAAGAATTTAGATCCATTGAATCACAGTTTATTGCAAATATCTTACGAGATAATTAAAATGATGAATTCAACTGTTACAATCTCAACTGAGAATTTCATTATATTTACAACAATAAAAATCCTAAATAGTTTAGAAAAACTGGCTAACCGTTATACACAAAGAAATCTATTTAAAATAAACAGTATTATAACAATAACAGCTTGTGATTGTTGAGACTTCAGATCAAAATAATTAAATGTAATATGTCCAGATTACACGCATTCTGAACTTCCTAATTCACAAACACATCCTAACCCTTAAGGAAGTCAGCTTAACGTTCCAGGAGAGAGTGTAGATATATATGGTTTTACCAAATAAACCAGTCAGTGTCATCATTTATAACCAGTAAATGGTTTCTTTATTTTCAAGTTTTTAAATTCTAGAAATATTTCGTTACTTCAAAATTGCAATGTTTCAAATTATTTCCACTGGAACATTTCTTTCATTATATGATTTTTTTTTCAGATATGGAATATCTCAACTGGTGTATGTTATCATACACTTATTCGACCAATTTATAGAAATAATTTGACAGAACCAGCTGTATTTTCTTCATCAGTTTCGTGCTTACACTTGGATTATTCACAGAATAGACTTGTTGTAGCTTATCATGATGGTACAGTATTAGCAAAACATTTATCAGCATTTAATCCATTGATAAATGGTCATAACCATGACATCAACCTTACAAATACTGCTAATAATAATAACAGTAGTATAACGTGGGCATTTTATCCCAGTACGATATATTTAGATGAATACTTATATAAAACTGATTATAAATCGGGCAGTTTAATACGATGTTTAACTGGTGATGCATGGCATATAATATGTGGTTCCGATGATAAATCCATTAAGGTGAGTTTATTGTGAAACAATAATCCTACGTATGTCTAATATCAACCTGTTAACTCATTTACAGTTGGTTGTACATCACTAAGTTAAAATCATATATATATATTAGTGAGTGTTTTGTTTTTAGACCATATTTTTACATTTCTTTCTTGGCATATTTAAATTAAAGTGTTTTTCTGTTTCCACAAATGATTCTCTTATCGCAGTTGAATATAAACGCAATTGCTCAAGTGTTTATTTAGATAACGATCTTGGAATTTTTACACACAATAAAGGTCCAACTACGACCTGTGTTATTCTTTGATCATTTATAATTTTATTTTAAGTTAATGTATCATAACTTGGTAGGATGATAGTTTGTAGGATATTATTGCATTAGATTATTTCAAATTAATAGTGATTGGTGTGCTCTAATTATCGCAGTACATTTAAAGTTTTAACTGCAAAACCTCAAATTCTAACTTATTGATCTCAAAATATCATGTTCACCGTGATATTTGACAGTTTTTCGTCCCATTTCTTGTTTAACTATGGATGCTTATTACTGATAAGTCTCAGTGTAGGACAAAATTGTTCAGTGGACTTCTCAGCTCTCGTCATTTCTACGTCTAATACTTAATTATTGACGATGAATTGATAAATTATTTGTTAAAAGAATATTCATGTTGGATATGCTAGATCCATAGAACTCACTTGTTAAATGTCTTATTTTTTTAATTATATTTTGGGAATCTGAATTTCTTGTTTTCACGCCAAAACCGCCCGTTTTCACCTTTATATCGTATTTCCCATTTGTCAGGACCTTAAATGTCATTGGTTCCTTGTCTCTTTTAATATGCTATTTTGTAACATTTCCCAAAGATATTTTAATGATGTATATATACTCTTGAATTGTGCTTGTTGTTGTTGTTCATGCTTCTGGTTGCTTGTGGAATCCATTTTTTCTCTTCTGAACCTGGACTTCTCTCTCTAGTTAGCGGGGCTGAGACGTATTGGAATAATTGACTCATTTGGTCATCGTGTCGTTGAGTCTTCGTTCCGTTTGTAGACTTATGTGGACTCGTAATCTCTTCAAACGTAGCAATTCAGGATTTCTTTTTCCAAATAGATAAAAATAAAATTGATATTAATGTTGTTGAAATAGCATTTAGTTCATTTTCCATATGTTATGCAATCAACTGGCAGTGGTTACTGGTTACAGAAACATATTCGGTACAGTGTGAATAATGTGAATTATTGGTCTTGAAATGCGTTTGCATTACTGAATTGTGTTGCAGTATAAAAGTGAAGCAAATAAAAATCTTTTTTTCAATGTGTTGTTACAATCTGGTAATGATTACAAAATTATGTCCTTATCAACTTCAACTTTGTATCACATCTACAGGTTATTCATATATCTGATACATAGATTTGTTTCCGCGAATTCTACGAACTCTTCTTTTGGTTCCACTAGGTTAAGTTCAACTCATAAAATGAATTATGATTGGTCAAATAATGATTTAATACACATATAATAACCCTTTAAACTTCGTGCTCCATTTTAAAACTGAAAACAGACCACAATACCCTGAAAATTCATATTTATATATGTAAAATAATATATTGTTTGAGCAGTCATTTTCAAACACTCCTTCACTTACTTTCGTACTTTAATCTAAAGTGGATTCTGACCAATTTATATATCGAATATGGTCCTATTTACTTGACTTTTGTATGTAAACCAATGGTATTAAGGTTATTTTGCTTTTCTTGTCTCATTTTACTGGATCTTAAATTTATAACTATTCATTAATTTGGTTTGAATTTCTTTTTAACGCTTATTCACATCTTTTTTTATTGTAATCCGAATGTTTTGTACGTGTCATTTTATTGAAATACAAACTACAAATTTTGTCAAACATCTCTAGTTGTGGCATATCATAGCTGGTTTTTACAAACGAATACGAGGACAGATTACTTACGATGACCCATACATTGTAAGAAAAAAGAGAATACTGTAAATACGTTTAACTGTTATCAGCTTATGACTCAAAAAATTTCAATGTCCTTAATTATCCAGCACCCTAATTATCAATTGCTTTTATTCATGGTTAGATAAGTTTCACACTTAAATGTGGATATTGGGTAAAATAATATAATTTCATTGTGTTAAGTTACTAATAATATCACCAAACCCGACTTCATACAACAAATTGCCGTAAATTTTTCGTCTGAATGATAACTTGTATTTCTGTTACGCTTTTGCTAATTAATTTTCTACTTATTCTGTTGTTACACCGTTTGTTCTTGCATTCGTTGTAAAGTTGGATATTGATAATTCAATTAATCGAATTTATGTGTACCCCTTTTACGGACCTATTACATCACCTCTTTCTAAACCACTTCCCACCTAGATTTCTTATACATTTTCTAGACTCTTCTTCTAATTACATATATACATCTAAATTCATAGATAATCTTTGTCTTTTCAAGTCGTCGTAGATACTCGCTTCAGTTTATCATTATTATTCTGTCTTTCAATAAACGTTTTGTTATAGTATATGGTATTTATACGGATAGATGGAAGTTTTATGTATCTGGAATTGGAAATAGGTTTCTTACTGACAGAAGAGGGAAGTGAAAAGTAGAGAAAGCAAAACAAAAATAGTTAGATTAAAAGACATGAATGGAAGGACATAGAAGTTTGTGAGACACATTTCAAGGCAAATGTCTAAATTATGTCTTCACAATGTATGTTTTTCATATTTTATAAATGTAGTGTGTGATTTTGCTTGATACAATAAATTGGTTCACCCTACCTAAATCTTTGTTCATTACATTGGTAATTCAATGAAAATTTTTTAGAGTTGTCTAGATTTTACAAGATATAGTGAGTTCATATTGATTTTGTTCATTTTTCCTGATTTTACCTATACTTTTGTTGTTTTGTTGTTTTTTCTTTACTATAAACTAGGTTTGGCAAGTAGGTGATAATAAATTTGTCCATAGTTTACAAGAACATGAAGATGGTGTAACATGTGCTGTGATATCAGGTTCTGTAATTATTTCTGGTTCTTATGATAAAACTGTCATACTTTATGACTTCGATGTAATTTAATCAGTATATACTGTTGTTATTATTATTGTTGACAGTTTTACGTGTTACCATATCATCTGGTCATTGACCTCTTTTTTTGGATTCATTTAATCTTTTCTAATTTTAATGGGTCTTTCTCGAACAATCTTTTCTTCTTTTATCTCACATTTATTCTTTGTCTCAATGGTCACTATAAACTGGATATCGTAGTTGGTAGTAGTATTTCATTGATTTTATTTTACCTTGTCACTGTATTTTCTCCCTATATATTATGAATTTGAGCGATTCTCATCCCTTCAAACTATGTTGTTTTGATTTATTAAGTTTTTTTTTTCGAAAATGTTGTTACTGACGTTTGAACTTTAAAAAGAAGATATTCTATTCTTGATAATCTGTTACAAAATAAACAAGCTATCATTTTATTATGTAGGACATACTCCGAATTTCCTTTTGTTTTGAGCATTTTTATAATATTTATTAATTTCACTACATTGTTGACTTTATTACTTAATGTAAGTCTTTGTTTGATAATATTTCTTCATGTCGTGTTTTGAATACTTTAGTTTAACTATTCTAACATTTTTGTCTAATTCTTTATGTTTATTGTTACGTTATAGTTGAAGTGATATGTTAAATAGTTCGATATAGTCGTGTAATTGTAGATAAGACTGGGTTTACTAAAGAATCACGAACACATCAGTTATTCGCAGTGTCTGTCATTGAAAGGCGTACCTCAGAAGTACATAAACCTTGTAAAGGCTCTTTACTCGAACACTACTAGAAGAGTCAGAGCTTATGGCGAACTGTCATCTAGTTTTGCAACTTCAAGTGGTGTCCGTCAAGGCTGTCCACTTTCTCCATTTCTGTTTAACTTCATCATAGACCTACTGATGGAAATAACATTCTCGTCGACTGAATTCTCGGGTATTGATCTCCTACTAGGAGGTACACTTATCGACTTAGAATACGCAGATGACATAGTCCTGTTTGATGAAGACGCTGATAGAATGCAGAGTCTTTTGGTAGCACTGAGCAATAATGCCATAATGTTTGGAATGCGCTTCTTTCCCTCTAAATGCAAGTTGTTGCTTCAGGACTGACCTGCGTCAACACCTGAACTAAGGATAGGGAGTGAAGTGGTCGAACGAGTCGACAGCTTTACTTATCATGGAAGTCTGATCAGCCCTAATGGGTTGGTGTCTGACGAAATCTCAACACGGATTCGAAAAGCTCGTTTGGCTTTTGCCAACTTACGTCACCTATATCAGTCTATTAATAAAAGGACAAGTATACTGCGCGGCAGTCCGTTCTGTCTTACTTTACGGCAGCGAAACATGGCCATTAAGAGTATGAGACTCTCGTAAGCTACTAGTATTTGACCACAGATGACTTAGAAATATTGCCGGCGTCTGCTGGGATCACCGGGCAAGTAATAGTGAGGTTCGAAGCAATGTATTAAGGAATGATGGTAAATCAGTTGATGAGTTTGTGAATCTGTGGTGTTTGAATTGACTAATGATACTTTTGTACATGTTGATTACACAATTTCGAATTCCAAATACAGTACATTCGTTTGTGCCTGTCTTCTTAATTCAATTGCGTTATTTCTGGGACTCTTAGTTCGTGCTATAATTCCAATAAGTCGAAATACAATACTGGCGTCGTGATGGAACCTGCAATGGAAAAGTTAGACATTCATTCAACTTCGGAAGCATTTGAGGATTATTTCGAAAGGTTCGAAATCTGGGTCATGACCATGGAAGATGATGAGGATATTAATATTGTGGCATATTTCCTCACATTCATCGGTAAAGAAGCATACAGTTTATTAAGAACGCTGGCTATGCCGGAAAAACCCATTTCGCTTCCTTATACAACTCTCAAGGCATTACTACTAGACCATGTCAGGTATGCAAATTTTGATTGCAGTAAAGAAGGGGAATTTCCTAAAATGATTCATCAGGACATTAAAACTTCTACTACATCACGTTATCCTAATCCAGTGCATATTCAAGGTTATGCAAATAATTCATTGAGGAGTTGCAGTGCGTTTCACGAAGATGGGCACAAGTTTGGTCAGTGTTTGTCCTGTGGCAAGTTCCATGCTTTTAATTCATGTAAATTTCGTAATTCTAAATGCTTTAAATGTGATGATATTGGATATATTCAGTCAGTCTGCAATACTAATGTTCATGTTATTGCAACTAATATTAAGTCTTGTAATTCTGATTCTACTGAGTCGAGTATTTATAATGATGATTTATCTTTATCAACTATTGCAATAGACAGTGTAGAGTCAAAAAGCAGTTCAGAGTTAAATGAAATCCAGAATCCTTGTGAGACAACAGTTCCTAATCAACCGATTTATCAGAATTCTCATGCTATTGTACCAGGTATGACTTTTCCTAATGATTCACATATTTCTGATGAAATTTCTTACAAATCTGAAGAAAATATGTTAAATGAACCTATTCATTATCAAAAACCTGAGGCAGTCGTGATAGATGCTAATTTTTCTAATGATCCATTGCTCTGCAATGACATTCTTAGTCAATTTCATGAAAATATTTCAGTAGAATCAAATCCTGATGTCATATGTATTACCTATCCTCATAATGCATTTGCTCCTTGTGAAAAACTTGTTCAATGCAAAGCACGAATACTAAATGAGCTCGATTTTGATTACATTTCTGATGATTTCATATCAACTGTTGTTCATCCTTATCACAAAAACACTTCTAATGTTTACTCTAATCAATGTGAGAAATATGTTTTAAATGAAGCTACATTATTCATAACTTGGGAATATAAAGACCCAACATTATTTCGTGGGGGGGGTATAGCGTTGAAAAATCTATGGTTCCAATTCGAGATATGAATCATTTCAGTACAAAACCGATATGTTGATTGTATACAATTCAAGGTGAGTCTGTTCCGATTTCGTTTGTTAATTCCCATACTAATGAGCACATTCTAGATACTAAAAAGTTTTCATCCAGTACAATGTCGGACAGACTCAGGATGAACTTAACAAGAAAACATACAACCGATTGCAAACACTTATACTTCTATTTAAGCTGTGGCGGATGTGGTGTTTGAATTGACTAATGATACTTTTGTACATGTTGATTACACAATTTCGAATTCCAAATACAGTACATTCGTTTGTGCCTGTCTTCTTAATTCAATTGCGTTATTTCTGGGACTCTTAGTTCGTGCTATAATTCCAGTAAGTCGAAATACAATAGAATCTTCATCGACTGAGATGGTTGGGCCACGTTGCGTATGCCCAAACACTGATTACCACGACGCTCAATGCTGACCGGTGTTCGGGATGGTTGGAAGAAAGTTAGGGGCTGCCAAACCAAAACGTGGCATCAGTACTTGAAGTCACTAACTTCTAGTCTGAGCCATGTTGGTAGATACAGACTACTTGATTGTGGTCCGCGTGACTATCGTAGCCAGTGATTGGAGATTGTGGGTGACATGGCTCATAATCGATCACAGTGGTGTCAGTGTATACACACGCTGTCTTCCCTTGAAGTATGAGATTAAAATCGCTTCATATCTTTCTACGAACCAATTCTTTCTTCTTTATGTTTTTCTTTCTACCAACTAATTCTTCCTTCCTGTATTATTTACTTATACACAATTTTTCTTACATACATTACTACCATTTAAGCAACTAATTATATGAATTTGATGTTCTGTATTACATAAAATTTTTATCTACTCATTAGATGTTGAAGCTGAAACAGAATCAATAGCAGTTTTCAATTTCCTGACAAAGTTGTCAGCCTGACGATTAAGACAGATGTGCCTGGGTGCATTGATCAGATGTCTTCAACCTATGCTATGAAGGATAGTCCGAGGCAATATGAGATCCATCTAACACATAGGGAACCCCTTCTCTACTGAACACCTTTCTTAAAGCTTGAATGGTGAAGTCAGAATTTGGTGAACGCGTGAAAAATACTTCAGGCCACTTTGAACAAAAATCAATGACTACAAGTGCATAGTATTTGCCAAAAAATGGACCACAATAGCCTGCATGAATTCTCTACCAGGCCTCCGATTAACATTTCGAATTTTTCGTATAGCCTTGAGTATCTATGAGTTTCTCTGATGAGATATGCTTGTCTCATCGGTAAAGGTTGTGCAAGATTCAATTTGAAGGTTCGGTGTGTGAAAATCCCTCCATGTATACACTTGTAATATATTCCTATTGATTCCTTTAGTTGTATAATTTATTAGTCTTTTTTTCTGTTTGAGTTCCTAATATTTGTATTTTACTACGGATTTTTTCTTGCGCTCCCACTGAGTTTTTATATTTCTTACTGAACTGCATTTATGTTGTTTTAGACGATATTTAGTTCTAGTAGCAGCCATATTGGTTTGTTCCTCATTTGATTGTGTTGCTTATATTGACTGTCATTTTACATTTTTGATTGTGAATCGAAGCACTCTTTCAGAATAAGAAACAGTCTGTGTTATAAATCAATCATATATTATCTTCCGAACGAATCTGTACGTGATCTATCCAGAAAAAATGGAATAACATTTATTTGCTGCCCTTGGTAATTTTCTTATATCTATTATCAATTTGTTTATTTATTGTAATTTTGATTTGACTAGTTGAACAATTATTGGTTGGATGACTGAATGGTAATATTTGTGTAGGTAATAATGTATATTTATATTTATAATTAAATCTAGAACCATCATTTACTCAATCAACTTGTTTTCAATTCAACTCGGTAATAGCGCGTATCTAAACTACTTACACAGTCATACTTTAGTTCAAACGTTAGTTTGGATTCTACAGGTTGTAATAACAAACAACCTGAATTATTAACAGGTCAATCTAGTGGTGTTTGTCGAGGGATATTGTCAACGTGTTGAATTTGTTTGACACCCATGTGCTGAACCGTATATTCATAAGCAGTCAAAGCAATACCCCATCGTCAATCTATAGCAACTGAAGAACGTGCTAAGGATTTTTCATAATGACAAATAAACTTTAAATCTTCATGATCAGTAAAAATGGTGAATTTCCTTCAGAATAAATACTCATAAAGTCTTTTAACAGCATAAAATACAGCTGATGCTTCTCTCCAAGTTTTTCAATAACTTCGGTAACAGTAAGTTTGCGTGAAACACAGATAACTGGTCTACTTTCCTCCTTCAAAACCGCTTCAATACCAAGAGGTGATGCATCCGTAATAAGCACACAATGTACACTAGGGGAGTCAGTTCGAAGATTACCATCACCTTGAAGAAAATTTAGTAGACTTCGTAATCGTGGCACTTGTTCCTCACCCCATTTGAATGAACTGAATGTCAAAATACTAAATAAACAATTTGCACAACAAGAACAACTAGGAATTATACGGGAATAGTAGTGGGGAGTTCCGATTAGTGAACGTACTTCTGTAAGATTTTTGAAGATGGTGCATTCGTCAGTGGATCTAGTCGTTTCATAACTGGTCTTAAACCATTATCGTCAACTAGGTATCCAGGACATTCAAAACTAGATACACCAAATGAAAACTTATTTGTATTCACTGTAATATTCTGCTCAATTAGACGACGCATTAAAGCAATAAGTCTATTATCATGAATTACTTTATCAGAAACATGAACAATGAGATCACTTTGATAAACGTCAACATCCTGAATATCACAAACTACCTTATTCATTACTTCCTGAAATATGACTGGAGAACAACTTAGACCAAATGAAAGAAAGTTGTATTTGAACAGACCAAAAGGAGTGTTAACTGTCGTAAAAATAGATGAAGGTTGATCTAAAGGGACTTGAAGATAATCATCTTCTAGGTCAACTTTTGAGAACACTTTAGAACCATGAAATCAGTCTAGAATATCTTCAGCCTCTGCTGTCGTGCACGTTTGCTTCAACAAACAGGAATTCATCGTTAATCTATAATCACCACATATTCTAGGGGTCTTACCGTTCGACTTCAGTACACCATGCTGTAAAATTATGCGGTTCGATTATGCCTTTCGCAAAGAAATAGTCTTATTTACTGCTTCTCAAAGACCAATAAGAACTATTCGTTCTTTTTATAAAGACTGAGTCAGCCTGTACTTGAAGTTTTATAGGCTGAATTTTCATACCTTCAATGCATTTATCACAAGTAGCCATCAAATCTTTAAGTAAAGCATCAGAATTTTTTATGAAACTAGTAAAGACATTTTCGAAAGTTTTAAACCCAGTATTGACAGTCCTGTTTCGTTAACTAGAAATTCACGTATGTAGAATTATTGTCTTGTAGGCACAGTGAAATGTCACTAAGCCCTAGCTAAATCATCCGGCAGTTGGATCACAGAATGTCGAACAGATCATCGCTCCCTGTCAAGGTCAGGGACAACCAATGCGCATCAGTTAATCGTATGCCATGGGCTGACCCATGCGGCAGTGGTCTAACTTTCGCTTGTATCTACCTTAACTAATATATTTCTGTAATAACGTCCACTGTGTTTGACAGTCTTCAAGGCATCTATGGTACCTTGATACGTCAATGGGGTAGTCGACGTAAGCCGCTGACCACAAGGTGTGACTTCGACATTAGCTAGTTCGTCACACCATTCCCGTTTAACTCGAGCAGGATTCCAATCATTTTCGACATAGACCATCTACGTTGGTGATCTTCAGTCTCTTATCAGCAATTCACTGTGTCCTCGTATGGCCAGTTTATCTCCAGTAATCCCCAATATTGGGCCGTTTCACAACTTTAGTACCTAAAGATTTCAAATTCTTGAGCAAAATAGTGGATTCTATGGTGCCTGTGTCTAGAAAAAAGTAATTAAATGAGCCATGCGATGTATATAATCGCTGTCGAATACAAACATTACGTTTCGAAATTGTGAATATAGATAAACAATCATAAGGACTATCAAAGTTTATAGGACCAGAGTTACGAAGCTTGGCATTACTTGCAATGCGTTAAATAGAAGTATTGCAAAGTGCCTATATATGTCTAGTCATTTATCACATTTAAAAAATTAAACATTACGAAATGCACATGAATGACTGAAACTTGTTATGGAAAAAGCATTGACCACACTTGTGCTCATCTTTGTGACAGTACTTAGCGAATTCGCAATGAATTGTTAACTGAGTGACGTTGATTAATCATTGCATTTGGACGTTGTAATAAAGTCGTGGAATTCGCGATGAAGTATTCCTTTTTTATCTAATTCGAAATTCCTTCCGTTTTTATGATCTCTTATTAGTTGCTTGAGAATTGTATAGAGGAGTGAAATCGGCTTTTCTGGAAATGCGAGTTTTTAATAAAGTGTAGATTTCCTTTCGGATGAATTTAGGTAAATGATCCACAATGATAATATCACTAACTTCTCCCTTGGTCTTGGTGCTGATTTCGAATCCTCAAAAGCATCAAAATCTGAATTTATGTCCAACTGTTCCTCCATAGGATCCTTATCTCAGAAACAATGTGACAGGTTGAAGCAATTGAATTCTAGAACAAAGTAGGAATCCCAGAAATAATGCATATCGAATGATTGGGTGTTTATTGAGTAAGATGAAAACAGTGGGAATAACAGCTAGCTGCGAAGTCACACTTCGCGATCAGCACCTAACGTAGATTACTCCGTCGTATCAAGGTACTATGAATGCTTTGAAGACCACAAGACACAAAGGACGTTATTATATTAGTTAGTGTAGGCACAAGCAAAAGTGCGATCACTTCACCATAGGTCAGTCCATGGTGTGAGATGAACCGGTGCCTGTTTGTTGTCCTTGGACTTGACGGGGACTGATGATCTGTCAACATTCATTGACCCAAATGTCGGATGATTTGGGAATGGCTCAGTGACATTTAACTGGTCATACATGGTCGTCACTATTACTTCACGAGATTAAAAGCTACAGTGGTGAATAGATTACCAAGACAAATAGTCGTTTATGCCTTTAACATTGTTGTTGACTTCATTGGACACACCATAGCTGTAGGTGTACGGTAGCGCATCCTCACCAGACAACAACTGGGTACATCGTGCTACTTACGCCTTTTGGTTACGAGCCAGCTTAAACTGGAGTGCTTATCAACCCATCGACAACCTCACAAATATATCTTCGAACCCCTTAATTTACGGTGTCTAAGTGAAATGTGTTTTGCGCCTTTCGATCACAAATGTGTCACCGACGAAAGCGTTGTCAAACCCTGAAAACCCGTTGTATCTTCCACATTCAAGCTTGGAGATTATTATTCAATGAACATTCCAATGACCTCTGAATTTCATTGCCGAAATTACAACGCTTTTGAGATGTTTAACAAAATTACGAGGTCCATTATGCAAAACGACATTTCGATACTGACATTTCATACGACGATCATACGCTTGAAGAATTGTTGAAAAACGAAATTGGCCTTTCTTGTAATTCTGTGACAAATTTCAAAGAAGTTTCGGTTTTTTTATCTTCACAAATGTCATGGTGACCAATTGGCGGAAGAATAAATGTGAACGATGACTTCACACCTAAAAAATGTTAATTTGAGACATAAAGAGATTGACTTCAAAGCTGATAAAAATGGTCTAAGAAATACCGTTTTTTCTGTTAATGGTGATAAATACATAGGTGAATGGAAAAACAACAAGCGTCATGGTACGAAACCTGTTTTCAATCATATTATGCATTTCGGCGCCTTTCCCTATTATTTTCTAAAGCATTTACCCCTTTGTTCGCCTTTATTTCCCCTTCCTTGGTTTTTTTGGACGGAAATTATATATATATATATATATATGGTGTACGCTTTGAATTACAGACTCGTAAGCCTCATCAGTGTGGTAATTAAAATACTGGAAAGAATAATCAAACGGACCATAACGGCATTTATGGAAACCAATAACTTGCTGAGCATGGCACAGCATGGTTTTATAAAGGGTCTTTCCTGTACAGCGAACCTTCTTATAGCAAGGGAGTTCTGGATTAATGCGCTAGACAACGGAATCTCAGTGGATGCTGTCTACATAGATTTCAGTAAGGCTTTTGACAAGGTGCCAACTAATAGACTGCTATTGAAGTTGGAAAACCTTGGTATTTCCGGACCTCTTTTAAAATGGATTAAAGATTTCCTAGTAGGTCGTAGACAAAAAGTAAGAATAAATTCCAGGTTCTCCATCTGGAAACCAGTACTTAGTTGAGTACCCTAAGGTTCCCTCCTAGGTCCTTTACTTTTTATAATGTACGTTAATGATCTTACAAGTATAGTACAGTCTCCAATGTTATTATACGCTGACGATGTAAAAATTTGGCGAGTAATAACTGGAGACAAAGACGCATTTACTCTTCAGGCAGACTTAAATAATATGATAAACTGGTCTAAAGAGTGGATGATGCCTATCAAATCGGAAAAGTGTGTCTACATAAACTTGGGGGATTCAAAGGTTAGTAAGTACAATATAGGGGATGTCATTACTCCTAGTCCGGTCTCAGTGAGTAATGATGGCGCGTTGCCGAGAGGTCGCAGCCAAGGGGTTTCGAACCCTCTGGGCCTTTAAAAGGACATTCACTAAGTTTGATACTACCATGTTCACCACAGTATACACATCCTGCGCTCAGGCTGCAAGCCCCTGTTTAAATGGTGACTCGGACACACTAGAAAAAGTACAGAGGGCAGCTACCCGTGCAATTCCGGAACTCCGAAGTTTATCATACAAAGAGCGGCTTGAAAAACTGGACCTCTTTACTCTGTCCTATCGCAGACTAAGGGAAGATCTAACTTTGATGTACAGAATACTGAGAACCTAACTTTTCGAACCTAACTTATTCTCCCTCTTTCTTCCTACTAGATAGGGACACCTTAGAGGACATAGCAGGCGAGTAGAAAAGCCAAGAACGAACAAAATACCAGTGGCATACAGGTTTTCACACCGCGTCATCATTACTTGGAACCTGCTGCCTGAAGCAGTGGTCTCCGCACCTTCAATTGACTCTTTCAAGAGAAGACTGGACACTCACAGAAGCATACTAGAAAAGGAATAAAATAGGCCTTAGGCCTTCTGTCCTTACTACAAAATTCTGAATCGGGATGTTGATGACCACTAAGATTTCTTTCAACATCGTAGCGCCACATAGTTCTTACATATAAGAACCATGTGGCACTGCAGTATACTGTGTTAGAATTAACTAGATTAATTTTCATTCATACAAACTGATCAACCTATCTGAATTTCAACAAGCACTTTCGGTATACGGTTTATGGAAGGTGTTGAATTTTAACAGAGTGCGTCAAGGGCTAATTATTATTGAACGACCATAGAAAACTAAGAAGGACCAAACGGATGATTGTTATAGTACAGAATTAAGCAGTGCACAAACACAATTACACGGGTGAGATTACCAGAGAATTTTGGCCTCATAACCAGCGTTTGACTTCCAAACACCCATTCCAGAATCCATTAGTTTCGATAGATAACTTCAATGTACTAACGATCTGACCCAACTGTTCATGGAGAATCTATTAAAGTTAAACATATAGAGCATTAGATACTGCCTAAGTCGCCACGTGTTGTGTTGCTCGTTACACGGCCGACAATCTTTGACTAGGCTGTCGACGGCATTCCTGATAAGTCTTACTAGGATAAAACAACTGTCTAATGCTTGATGGTCTTTTAAATAGAATCAATCCGTGATTTAAACTACTTGTCAGTTGATAATTACAAGCGCAATGTTTTAAAACTATCCATGCTCACAGTCGCCTTACTTAGTTGGTGTAAAGTTTCTGTTTATCGGGATTCGATACGTCAAACAGCATCTATACCTTTGGAAACTAGCATTGACCTATCTTACCTAAAGTAACCGAATTCTTGCAAAATTTTCAGTGTCGATTTAAATCACACACCATACAATACGAGTGTTCCCATAAAACCAAATATACCATTAGGTTTATTTCTGGTGACTATATGACGTAAAGAACATGAAATATTACTTTGTCTAAACTACATATGCAATTCAAATGTATAACTACTTGGCAAAAGCATATAGTTACAGTTTCGTGGACACTTGAACTCACTTTATAATGACCCTACTCGGCTTTAAGTAAATATAAGTAGTTCTCTTGCAGAACATTTGAATCTGAAGGCTTTACAAGTTTGAATACATTTTTAGTTTAACTTCTGAAGCATACACAATCTCTTCTTTTGATTTATACTTCCAGTTACCGGTAATTACTACAAATAACCCTCAGTTGTGCTGTGTTTATTATTACGCACTAACTCTTTAGGTATATTATGCTATTAGTACACCAATGTATTACCCAATTGGTGTTTATCCATTGAAACTCTTTTGCACAAAATAAAAAGGTTTGTATTAAACAGGTTTCGGTATATACGAATGGAAAAAATCAAACCTTGTTTATGAAGGTAATTGGGAGAACAATATGCGAAGTGGATCTGGTGTTTTGAGTCGGAAATTTAGGAATGGGAAACAAATAAATGTTTACTCAGGATCCTGGAAATACGACAAACGGCATGCAAGTTGTTCTAAACGTCATTAACAGTTTTAAAAGGGTTATGGAAACAACTGGTATTCAGATAATAAAATATACGAAGGAGAATGGTACGATGGGAAACGTTCCGGATGGGGAAGAATGTACTACCCTGACGGAAGCATTTATGAAGGACAGTGGTTTAATGATAAACGGCATGGAGATGGGATGCTTAGATTGAGTAACTTGGAACAATATAAGTAGAGTTTTCAGCAAATGAAAATAGATTTGAAGGACAGTGGTTAAATGACAAAAAGAACGGAATGGGAAAGTATTTCTTCCTTAATACTGGACAATTAATGGAGGGAATATGGTGTGATGATGTACCAAAATCTTCCCAAATTCTGGACCTTGGAAGGCAAATAGCGAAAAGTCCAACGGAGTCTGAAATACCAGAGGTAAATTTTGATTTGTAAATATTCTTTGAACACGATATTACAATAAATTCATGTTTTCAGATAAAGGAAAAACGAATGATTAAAGAAGTGAATAATATATTGAGTGAACTAAGAACATAGACTATATCCGGTTTCAGAATAGATTATAAGGTGATTGCAACTAATTGTTTATAGACGTAACACGAAAAGTAACTACGAAATCGTGAGGTAATGAGTAATATCTATGATACACTGAGACATATACGAAATGAATTGAGTCAGAATGAAACAAATGACATCACGGGTTATAAGTAACAATATATTTCATACCATTAGCGATCAAAAAGCTTGACTTTTACGAACAAAGTCAGCAGAACCAACGTTAATTGTATATGATAGTTACTACAAGACACGAAGAGACAAACCTTTGGAACTGATAATACTTTTTTTCAATTGAAGGAATTATTTATTCATTATAACACATAGATATTGGTACAAGGAGGCACCAAATACATATGCGCCACACAAATCCCATTTGATTTGTGAGAGGGCTGTGATACCAACCGAGTGCCCAAACCGAAGCAGGTGGTTTTCTTAGAGGGCCACACACGGAGCCTTCGACCTGAAGGTCTGTTCCACAAGGTAGTGGAGCATCGTAAGGAGATGCATTCCCATGGTAGCCAGTGACCAACAATTGGTTCATACGCCATTTGTTGCCTTGGGGTACTAGAGCCCATGTGCACCATTGGTTTGGAATCCGGTTAGAGCGCCGGACATTCGCTTTTCAACCTCTCATTTTCGTAAACAACAACGTCGCCACGAGAAGGCAGTGAGTAGGAATTCTCTGGCAGAGGCTATGTACGTGTGGCCATGTGAGAGCATTTCGAGAGGGAGAGCGGACTCTCCCCACTCTCGGCCGTACCAGGACATTTGGGGGCACTGGAGGAATTATCTAACATTTGTTTGACAGATTCACATAGACTGTTGTTTGTATTAGTTGACCACGTCACAACACTAGTGAGTTAGATTATCTCAAAACTTCAACGAAAATCAAGTGATATTTAAAACCTGAATAATATAATCTTGTGTAGTGAAGCAGCATACACCACAGAACATTAATGGAAACTTTATACGTAAAAGATCTTAGTAATCCGCGCGGAATTTTATTAACCACACCAAATGTGAGTTATTTTTCTAACGTCGCACATCACACCGTTGTTCAGAATACTAGGGACATTTTGGTGATAAGTGATAAACCATCTATGCCCAATTGCATTTGCAGTAAGTTCATGTTACACACCTCATTCGTTTACTAATGAAAATTGCATTTAGTTTTGCAGTCAGAACAAGTGTGCAAGTAGATCAACCTTAAAATACAAACAGAAATGAATAAACGAGACACAGGACCGACAAAGTTGTCAATCACACAATGGAATACTAGATAAAATGATCTGACTACATTATTATTGAACAGAATACTTCCTGAGGCCCACTCATTATTGACAAGATACATCCTATTATATAAAACACCTAAGTAAATACTGTTAATACGTATATCACGTTCACGAACTCATATGTATGTGATAGATACTACTAGATATTAGTTCAATGGCTACTAGAGTAACCCGCTCCAATCGTTTGTGAAGTCTTAACCTCAACCAGGCCAGGAGAGGTTGTTACCCAATGACATTGGAAAAATTGGAGACATTACAATCTCCAATAGATTTCCACTATTCCACTGCTTAGTCTCAAATCACATATTCCCATAAGGAATAAACACCGGCAAAACATTGTTTAGCACAAACCAACTGATTTCAGTAATCACTCCTTAATACGTATGTTTGATTTTCAGATAAAATTAAAAGACCCTAATGGTATCCTCAAAAAAGTGCAAGAGAAGCTGATGGAAATAATACGTACCAACAACCCAGAGAATTCCTGAGGGTAAAACCAAAACAAACTGAGCATATTTTGTTATACTTGGAACTGAGAAGCAGTTGTACAATCATCTTACTTTGCACGTACACACACCAACATAATAATGAGGAAATTAACAGTATATAATTTATTCAGAAAATATATATGCAAGATTACAAAGCTTAAAAATACAATGAATTGATAAACAAATATACAAACTCTACAAAGTAAATAATAACATAAATGGAAAATGCATTTAAAAAGACTGAAAAATGTAGTAGTATTAATAGATGTTGTGTAAATGCGATTATATAAATTGGAACACCGAACAATTTTAAGTATACATATCAAAAAAGAAACTCATTAAAAACTGTTAGGTAGAATTATAGTACAACACATCTTTTTGACAATTTTTAATACACACGACTACTGATCATTCATTCGAAATCTTCTATTTGAAGTGGCTGTTTTATACTATGAGCCTCAGGGAAACGTAAACAATATTTATTATCCCGTAAGAACTTTACAGTCAACAAACGACCTATGAAGGAAGAAAGAATGGCAACAACAAATGAGAACGGGCACATTAATTTATTGTCGCATTTATATAAGCAGAATGAAATGTGGACATAAATATACACATATCTTCTTAGGTTAAATGGATGTATGAGGTTACGGAAACAAAGAACCCCAAAAAACGAATAAATTACAAAATATAACCAGTAATTAGGTAATTCAGAAGAATACACTGGATGCTTTTAGTAAACAAGCATAGTCTGATCTTAATAATCAAGCTTTATACTATTACACTTCTAGTCAAAACGAAGGTAAAACTTCAGTCCTGCTATTAAACCAAATAAAACAATGAAAGAAAATAAGAAAAGTGGATAACCCAAAATTAACACGACTAACAAAGGAAACATTGCTTTTTGTTGGTAATAGTCATCGAACATTGATTTAGATCATTGTGCTAATTAGATGAAAGTTGAATTAAATTACTTTGCATCCAGTTAAGTTAATCAGTTACTTCATACGTCTAGATTTTTATAGTCACAAAATAGTGTTAACCGAGATGAATAATTATACTTAACAAATAAGCAGACATGATTGTTTCGTAAAACGGAGAAAAACCGATATCGATATAGTAGCACGATTTTAAAATCATCGCTACTCATCACTATACACGATAATTGCGTAGGCTTCTTGTCAGCTAGCTCTTAAGCTGACTCCGCTCTTCGTTATGTTCAGAGCCAGATGGGATGAGTTTTCGAGCATCTATCAGTGAGGTTGATGCTGCTGAGATCCAGTGTTTGTCCCTAACCTCGTAGTTTACCGTACTAGCAGATATCACTGCTGTTTCCACAGCTTTTCGGATGTCATTCCACGCTGCCTCGGGGTGGGCATCACATACCTGTGCTGAGAATTCTATATTGTACCAAAACTATAATATTGAATAAAGCCATTAATAATAATAATAATAATAATAATAATAATAATAATAATAATAATAATAATAATAATAATAATACATGGCTGCCTAACAGTTTTCCTAGTTGTTCGTGAAATATGGTCGACCTTTTTATTAACATTGTTTATCTTCGTTTTTGTATATAACCTAATGGACACCTCATATGATACTCGGTTTTAACTAAATTATCACCGGCAACTTTACCATCTAAAAATATTCTGTCGAGCTAAAGAATTCATTTTTACACAATAGAAATAAATTCATTCAGTGTCTCATTACTTCATTCAATAGCGTGTTTATTTTTCACATCTTATAGTATCCTTAGCACGTATACGAACATATGTAAATCGTTGCTATTTCATGACCACTCTGTCTCTACCTACCCTAAAGATACATGTTAGATTGTCTAAGAGTGAGTTGAAACAAATCTAGGGGCGATAATATGTTTGTGCTCAAAGCTAGTATTTCGCAACTCCGATTTCGATACAGTCAATGAGCCTATCCTCTTTTCCTTTACAGTTTCGTAGTAGAAACTTTATTGATAAGGTCATTAGTAGAATTATAATATATATATATATATATATATATATATATATATATATATATATTACAATGATCAGCAATTAAGAGCTAAGTAATTGTCACCAAATGACCTGGTACGGCCGAGAGTGGGGAGAGTCAGCTTCCCCTCTCGAAATGCCTTCACATGACCATGTACATACAACCACTGCCAGGAAATTTTTGCTCACTGCCTTCTCGCGGCGTGGGTGTTGTTTACGAAATTCGGAAAACGCAAATCCAATGTCTGGTGCTTGAACCGACCGAATTAGTGGGTATGGAGGATCCATCTAGAGGAGTTGGAAAACCCTGATTCCAAACCAATGATGCACGTGGGCTCCAGGATCCTGAGTGAACAAATGACGTATGGACCATTTATTGGTCACCGGCTACCATGCGACTGCATCTCTTGACGTAGCTCCACTACCTTGTGGATCAGACCTTTAGGTCGAAGGCTCCGTGTGTGGTCTCCTAATAAAACCACCTGCTTCAGTCTGCGCATTCACTGTCTTCCCTTAAACTATCAGATTAAAATCGCTTCATATCTTTCTACGTTCTAATTCTTTCTTCCTGTACTATGTCCTCATACGCAATCTTTCTTTTATATATTACCGCCACTGAATTAACTAGTTCTATGAATCCGGGGTTCGCCTTGCTGTGCTAATTGAGGTGTGGCAACTCGGACCGATGCATATATATGCCTGGTCCAACGTTGTAGATAACTGACTGACTTTGTACCAACATTTATATTCAAATAAATAAACAATAAATGTATGAAATTTAGTACTATAGTAAAAAAAACTTGAGTTGCGGAAACTGATGCAAGACAGTGACAAAATGTGAATGGATATACAGATACTTAAAAAAAACTGACCAAATTCCAAAAAGAAACACTCCAAAGATAATGCTTTCATAAGTTAAACAAACCGAGAAACGAGTTGATAAAATAACTATCTCACATAACTTACCATCAAAATAATTAGCATGTATCGAATGGAAAACGCGACCTGCAGTTTCCGGATCTGCACACTTTATATACACCAATCCCTGAGATAAGAAAATCGAGAAAGCCGAAAACTCACAACAGATATCTATTTGCGACTAAAAAATATTATTTGAACAAATCAAAGATATATTCAGGCTGGTTTCATGCCTGCGGATAAAACTGATGTCACGTTTAGAAGTGTAACACAGCTAGCTAAATATTTATAGTTTAAACAGAGAATGAATTATTTCTCAACTGAAACACGTGTTTAGACTATCAGATATTATATTATTATCGTCTGTAAGTTTACAGTTTGACTCCTTTCTTAACATCAATCGGGTAACACAAAATATTATTTCACTATGATTCATGTAATGATATTTTGTGATGTATATTTTGAGAGGTCCATTAACATGAACCACATTTTGTAACAGGCTTTACAGTGAGACAACAGTTTGTTTGGATGAATGACTGACAAAAACGGTCGAACTAATTTAAATATCTACAAGTTAAATGCACGATGAATCATAAAAGGATATGAACTACAAATCATTCATTAATTCAAAATTTAGGTGGGATTGATCTCCCATATATCTGCACATTCATCCATTGAGATGAAATGCTCCACTTGAGACAACTGTCTAACAACAACTGGTTCCTTAAGTGGTTATTACAGCTATTTCACAAATAGCTTTTAGTTCGTCATTTAATGGTAGTGGTCTATATTCTACATATTAACTAGATCTATTTGTATTCAGTAGATATTACTGTCCCACAGACGAGATCTGAAAATAACATTGAATAACTGGGACGGAACTTTGTATTTTCTTAACAAACCCCATTTACTTTCACTCCCACAGATACTGTAACGCTACCCTTCACATATATCAATGAAACTAAAAATATGAGTTTTTACGAGTCTTCTAGAACTAGTAAGTAAAAATAACACGATATCTTTCGGAAAAATTATCACAGAATACTCGTAGCAAATCTTAGAAAATTCGGCTTTAGAACGCTGGTTCCTCACATACATTACATTACTCAAGTATCAATCGAAGTGTAACTTTGTCTCTAAACAAAAGAAAAAACTTCGTGCAGTAACTTCCGCGTCTATTTTACCGGCAGGAATGCCAATAATAACGCTACCATGTTCACTAGTAGTAAACTATTCAACAATACTAGTCAATAACAAAAAAGTTATAAGTGTACTAGAATACCGCCTTATCCCAGTTAAAAATAGGCAATGTTATATTATCAAAATAAGTTTTGAAAACTTCAAAAACGATTATATCGTTTAATTCTAAATAATTATTTGTTCTTTCCGAAACTAGAATCTAGACCTAATAGAACTGTAATCTCAAGTCAGTAGATCCTATCAGAAAATTCCAAGTGTTATGTTCTCAGTTAAACGGTTTATTAGTGAAGCCTTTACTGTCATTAGACACACCAGTGACTAATTCATGTAGAAACCAGCTTTCCAATTATTTCACAAGCGTTATATCAGCTTTTTCAAGTCCCTTTGCTAGTCTTTAATTATTTTTATAGGTTTTATTGTCATAAATTATTCTTGCATTCCTATTAACTGTTTATCTCAAATGACATCTGACTATGAATGGACTCCTTTTATGTCTCGGTCGATATGTGTGTTGATGCCATGACAGTAGAAATTTTCCAGCACTTAGTCTCTCCGGCCCAGAATTTCGTCGTTTTCTCAATTGAATTCACGTCCATACCTGTGGATTAATACTAGTGATAATACATAATATAGTTTAACTACTTATCAAAGTTTATCTATGCACAGGCAGAGAAGGAGTTCACTATGTTCAATAGTAACACTTTTGACAACTGGTGCAATTTATTTTGTAGATGATGTTGCATTTACCGTTTTCTGTCTCAATAAAATAGAATTAAGTGATTATGTCAGTTTATGAGGGAAAACTGAGGTTTTCTGGATTGTGTTCCTGTGAAATAATTAAAACGCCAACTTCTATATAAAGTAGGGGCTAATTTTATGTGGTCTAGAACGACAGTGAAAGCTCATGAATTCAAATTTTAAATTACTGCAATCTCCATAAAACCCCTTTCTGATAAACTTAACTAAACCATATGCATTTGAGAGCAAAATATCACTAAAAACATCCACTTAAGCTGAAAATTAGCATCATTATTTTAAAGAACGACTAGAGGATGAATGAAAACATTTCGTAAACACACATGGAAAATAAATCAGGGGATTTTTAAGATGGATAATTGTTTGGAAATAAGATGCTGTTAGGTATTTAGCTTTTTGGTTCAATTTCCAATTACTCCAACCAAAAAAACGTGTACAAATCTGTGCATCACAGTGGCCCAACAACATTTATTTTAGAAGTAATACAACAATCAGGATATCCAAATTTATATAAATGGAGTTAGCTGAAAACTAGGATTTAAAAATAAGTAATGTGAAGAACCCTTATTTGACAGCATTGCTGCAACAATTTTAGCAAATCACTTACATTTATTCCGACACTATCTAAGCCTATGTGTAGAATGGGCCCACAAGGCATTAATTTTTTTAAGAGTTCGCGTTTGATTCTTTTACGTCCACGTTCATCGATACTTCTATAATATAAAGAAAGAAAACGAGACATACAATTAGTACAAAGTTATGGCCTCAAAACTACATGAACCTTAAACAATTTTTATTTTATAATAAGTACGACCTTATCTAAAGAAAACACAATTCACATGAGGACACTTACTCAGTAGAAAACATATTCCTTATTTTCAAGCACTCCGTTGGGGGAACAATAAAACTTGGCTTCTGTGATGTGTCCATAAGTGCTGTAACATGAAAAAGAGGTATAAGATAAGCCATTGTAACTATATAACGGGGTGACTTGTAAAACTTGCACACTTCACAACTAGTCAATTAATTTAAGTTTCGTCGACTCAAATGCTTTTGCCTGATAGAGATTTCTGCACTTACATTTGAGGTACACTAATTATGATAGAAAGTAACACGACCCGGTTTGTCAAACCGAAGTATATGAAGCGACGTTCGAAAATGCGGCCTAGTGGCTGACAGTCAAACTCTTAAACCACTGAGCTAGTGCGTATAGTCGTTAGTCAGTCATATTCAACATAGAACCTGAAATATTCGTGCGCCGGTCCAAGCTGTGAAATCATATCATAATAGCAAGATGAAATTATCATGAAAAATGTTACAGTAGAAGCAGTAACAGTACTACTGGTAGTAAGTGACACGAGGCTTAAACAATACTATTCTATAAAAAATTAAGTCCGTGAAATAAAAAGTGTGTGATAATTATAAAGCTCCAGATCTAAGGAAAGAAAAAGAGCAAATGCATCTCCAGTACTGTGACTGATTATGAATCATATCATTCAACATCTTCAACTATCGATTGAGTATTTATGCGAATCCTAACCAGATAGTCTGGACCTAACATAACTCAGATCAGCAGTCAATGATTTCATGGGCTCATGCCGTGTCTTGCTTCGGTCGCCTGGTTGAGATGTGGAACCCTCAAATACATCTTACGAAGAAGGAAATCAATATTCAATTGAGGTGAATGTAGATCAACTTTTAACAGTTTATATTAAATCTACAAACTTTCAATGTCTTTTAACCATGATTTGTGTCCATTTACTTATTTATTTGAACATATAAACATTGGTATAAAGGTGCACCGAATAAATAGGCGCCACCCAAATCACTTGATTTGTGTGTGGGCTGTGATACGAACCGAGTGCCCAGACTGAAGCAGGTGGTTTTATTAGGAGACCACACACGGAGCCTTCGACCTAAAGGTCTGATCCACAAGGTAGTGGAGCTACGTCAAGAGATGCAGTCGCATGGTAGCCGGTGACCAATAAATGGTCCATACGTCATTTGTTCACTCAGGATCCTGGAGCCCACGTGCATCATTGGTTTGGAATCAGGGTTTTCCAACTCCTCTAGATGGATCCTCCATACCCACTAATTCGGTCGGTTCAAGCACCAGACATTGGATTTGCGTTTTCCGAATTTCGTAAACAACACCCACGCCGCGAGAAGGCAGTGAGCAAAAATTTCCTGGCAGTGGTTGTATGTACATGGTCATGTGAAGGCATTTCGAGAGGGGAAGCTGACTCTCCCCACTCTCGGCCGTACCAGGTCATTTGGTGACAATTACTTAGCTCTTAATTGCTGATCATTGTAATATATATATATATATATATATATATATATATATATATATATATATATATTATAATTCTACTAATGACCTTATCAATAAAGTTTCTACTACGAAACTGTAAAGGAAAAGAGGATAGGCTCATTGACTGTATCGAAATCGGAGTTGCGAAATACTAGCTTTGAGCACAAACATATTATCGCCCCTAGATTTGTTTCAACTCACTCTTAGACAATCTAACATGTATCTTTAGGGTAGGTAGAGACAGAGTGGTCATGAAATAGCAACGATTTACATATGTTCGTATACGTGCTAAGGATACTATAAGATGTGAAAAATAAACACGCTATTGAATGAAGTAATGAGACACTGAATGAATTTATTTCTATTGTGTAAAAATGAATTCTTTAGCTCGACAGAATATTTTTAGATGGTAAAGTTGCCGGTGATAATTTAGTTAAAACCGAGTATCATATGAGGTGTCCATTAGGTTATATACAAAAACGAAGATAAACAATGTTAATAAAAAGGTCGACCATATTTCACGAACAACTAGGAAAACTGTTAGGCAGCCATGTATTATTATTATTATTATTATTATTATTATTATTATTATTATTAATGGCTTTATTCAATATTATAGTTTTGGTACAATATAGAATTCTCAGCACAGGTATGTGATGCCCACCCCGAGGCAGCGTGGAATGACATCCGAAAAGCTGTGGAAACAGCAGTGATATCTGCTAGTACGGTAAACTACGAGGTTAGGGACAAACACTGGATCTCAGCAGCATCAACCTCACTGATAGATGCTCGAAAACTCATCCCATCTGGCTCTGAACATAACGAAGAGCGGAGTCAGCTTAAGAGCTAGCTGACAAGAAGCCTACGCAATTATCGTGTATAGTAATTGGTAGCGAAATCAAGAGATGGAAAGGACAGCAGCAATAGGTAATAGCATACAACTGTTCAGACGTGTAAGGGAAACAGGTATTAGGAACCCGACTGTTAGCGAAAGTATCTCGGAAAGAGATGGACATATTATTCATTCTCAATCTAGGAGATTGGATCGATGGGCAGAACACTTTGGGGATCAGTTCAACTGGTCTTCAGCCACACTTCGGTTTCCCACGATCTCTAGTCAACCTTAATGGCAAGTTAATGTAGGTCTTCCGACTCTTTACAAACTTGAAAAAGCTATAGGAAATATGAAGCGAGGGAGAGCAGCAGGCCCTAATTGTTTACTCCTGAGATTTTTAAGGATGGTGGTTCAGTATTAGCAGTGAGATTAACCGAGGTCTTAGGTAGAATTTGGAAACTGGATGTGATCCCATCTGACTGGTCTCAATCATTGATTGTGCCAGTCTATAAGAAAGGACAAAAGTCCTCCTGTGACAATCACAGAGGAATCAGTTTGACTAATATAGTGTCTAAAATATTAGCTTCAATAATACTTCGACGCCTAATCTAAGCTCGTGAAGAGCAGACTAGGGAAAATCAGGCTGGCTTTCGACCTGGACGTGATTGTATAAACCAGATATTCACACTACGTCAGGTTCTAGAACACAGATACACGTTTAGACGCCCCACCATCGTAGTATTTCTCGACCTTAAGGCGGTATTCAACTCTGTTGATCGTGAGGTTCTGTAGCAGTGTTTGTCATTGAAAGGAGTACCAAAGAAGTACATTAACCTTGTAAAGGCTCTCTACTCGAACAAAAATGATCGAGTGAGAGCTTATGGCGAACTGTCATCAGAATTGATTACATCAAGTGGTGTTCTTCAGGGCTGTCTACTCCCTCCATTCTTGTTCAACTTTGTCGTTGACATGCTTTTAGAGATAACACCTTCCTCATCTAAATTTCCAGGGGTTGAACTTCTACCGGGAGGTTCACTTGTTGACTTAGAATATGCTGATGATATAGTTCTATTTAGTGAAGACGCTGACAAAATGCAGTCTTCTGACCACTCTAAGCAACAATGCAAGCATGTTCGGCATGTGATACTCTCCCTCGAAATCCAAAATGTTGCATTGCATCGACACCCGAACTAATGATAGGGAGTGAAGTAGCTGAGAGGATCGACCGCTTCACTTATCTTGGAAGTTTCATCAGCCCTTGTGGTCTGGTGCGTGACGAAATCTCAGCACGGATACAGAAAGCTAGATTAGCTTTTGCCAACTGGCGTCATTTATGGCGTAGGCGAGATATCCGTCTATCAACCAAAGGACGTGTTTACTGCGCAGTAGTTCGTTCTGTCCTACTTCATGGCATTGAAACATGGCCGGTAAGAGTAGAGGATATTCGTAGACTACTAGTATTTGATCATAGGTGTCTTTGAAACATTGCTCGTATATCCTGGGACCACTGAGTATGTAATGCAGTTGCTAGGAAACGAGTACTAAGTAAGGATGGCAAATCAATTGATGACGTGGTGAAACTTCATCAGTTGAGATGGCTGGGACACGTGTTACGTATGCCCAACGACCGACTGCCTCGACGTGTGATGCTCAATGGTATAGGAGTAGGTTGGAAAAAAGCTAGGGGCGGCCTGACCTGACTTAAACCACATAGTTACAAAGAAACAGTGGATTTCTTCAAAGTCTATTACACTGATGGATTCTCGCAAACTCGTCCCATCAGGTTCCGAACATGATGAAGAGCGACAACAAATCAGATCTAGGTTAAAAAAAAGTCTAAGAAACGACCGTGAACAGTGGTGGGCATCGAAAGTAAAATAGAAAAAAGGCGGCGGCTATAGGGATCACAAGACAGCTCTACAGACTAATAAAAGAAACTGGAACTAATAAGTCAAGTGTGAGATTATTTCGGAAAAAGACGATACTATCATCTACTCCCAGTCCAGACGTTTAGAACGATGGGCGGAACACTTAAGGGAACAGTTCAGCTGGCCTTCAGCTACTCTACAACTACCGTCCATTCCCAGACAGCGTGAATGGAACATTGAAGTAGGTCCCCCAACTCTAGCAGAAGTTTAAAAGGCTATATTTAATCTGAAACGAGGAAGGGCAGTTGGTCCAGATGGATTGGCTCCAGAGGTCTTCAAGGATGGTGGTTCAATTTTAGCGATTAGGTTGACTAATATTTAAGCTAGGATCTGGGATTTAGGTGTTATTCCATCTGACTGGTCGCAATCACTTATCGTCTCAATATATAAGAAAGGATCAAAATCATCTTGTGACAACTACAGAAGGATTAGTTTAACAAATATAGTATCTAAAATACTAGCCTCAATAATAATCAGACGTCTAACTAAGACTCGTGAACTTCAAACACGAGAAAGCCAAGCTGGCTTCAGACCTGGTCGTGTCTGCATCGACTACATATTCACCATTCGTCAGGTTCTAGAACACAGGCATACTTATCGACGTCCGACAATGTTGGTCTTTCTTAACTTAAAAGCAGCATTTGAATCGGTAGACCGCGAGATTCTGTGGCAGTGTGTCATTGAAAGGCGTACCCCAGAAGTACATAAACCTTGTAAAGGCTCTTTACTCGAACACTACTAGAAGAGTCAGAGCTTATGGCGAACTGTCATCTAGTTTTGCAACCTCAAGTGGTGTCCGTCAAGGCTGTCCACTTTCTCCATTTCTGTTTAACTTCATCACAAGCATACTGATGGAAATAATGTTCTCGTCGACTGAATTCTCGGGTATTGACTTCTTTCCAGGAGTTCCACTTATCGACTTGGAATACGCACATGAAATAATCCTGTTTGGTGAAGACGCTGATAGAATGCAGAGTCTTTTGGTAGCACTGAGCAATAATGCCATAATGTTTGGAATGCGGTTCTCTCCCTCTAAATGCAAGTTGTTGCTTCAGGACTGACCTGCATCAACACCTGAACTAAGGATAGGGAGTGAAGTGGTCGAACGCGTCGACAGCTTCACTTATCATGGAAGTCTGATCAGCCCTAATGGGTTGGTGTCTGACGAAATCTCAACACGGATTCGAAAAGCTCGTTTGGTTTTTGCCAACTTATGTCACCTATGGCGAAGGCGAGATATCCGTCTATCAATAAAAGGACAAGTATACTGCGCGACAGTCCGTTCTGTCTTACTTTACGGCAGCGAAACATGGCCATTAAGAGTATAAGACACTCGTAAGCTATTAGTATTTGCCCACAGATGACTTAGAAATATTGCCGGCGTCTGCTGGGATCACCGGGTAAGTAATAGTGAGGTTCGAAGCAATGTATTAAGGAATGATGGTAAATCAGTTAATGAGGTTGTGGATCTTCATCGACTGAGAAGGTTGGGCCACGTGTTACGTATGCCTGAACACCGATTACCACGACGTGCAATGCTAACCGGTGTTCGGGATGGTTGGAAGAAAGTTAGGGGCGGCCAAACCAAAACGTGGCATCAGTGCTTGAAGACAATAACCTCTAGTCTGAGCCATGTTGGTAGATGCAGACTACTTGGTTGGGGTCCGCGTGATTTTCGTAACCGATGGTTGGAGACTCTTGGTGACATGGCTCAGGATCGATCACAATGGCGTCGGTGCATACACTCCCTGTCTTTCCTTAAACTAAGAGATTAAAATCGCTTCATATCTTTCTTTCTACGAACTAATTCTATATTCCTTATATGCAATCTTTCTCCTATATATTACCACCTTTAACCTAACCACTCCTATGAATCCGGTGTTCATCTTGCTGTGCTAATGAGGTATGGCAACCTGGACCGGTGCATATATGTGCCTGGTCCTACGTTGTAGCTGACTGACGGACTGCCAAACGATTAAATACTAGACAGTTTATTTGAAAATCTGAGCATTTACAACAGTTAATTTATTTCACACAGATGATAAATTATAAATAGATGTTTAGTGTGCATGTGTGTGAAACGTTATTCACAAATGACAGGGACAAAATTGGAAATATTGTTTTGTCTTACATACCAACGAATCTTACGATCAATAATATGATAGTCACTGTAAACAGACAAAAGTAAACCGAAATAACGCCAGTAGTGAAGACAATATGTGAATAGCATACTGAAAATATGAAAAGTTGAAATTGAAAAAAAATAATAAGAATGACCTTAAAAACCTAACACCAAAAATTATAAACGGTAAACAATGGTTTCTAGAGGATAACCTTTTTTGATAATACTGTACACTTATTTTGTGGTTATATATAATCACTTACCAGAACCTTGCCAACCTGTGCCGCTTTGCCACTGCCATGTTTCACCTACACCTCTCCATTCTTGTACACCGATACAAGTTTCTACTTCATAAACATAACGCGTAACTTCAGGCCACAACCGATCTAAGCTAAAAACAGGAAGAAATTTAAATTTCTCGGAAAGATATTGTATGATACCGTATGAATGTAATCAAGAACTTAACCTTAAGTCCGCTGTTATTGTACACCATGCTTAACATGTACATTGTTTTCTACAATTTCCCTGATTCTCTAATACTGCTTTTTCTAAAATTGCAAGTCTTGTCGACAAATTGCTTATTCATTAGTGATTTTTCAATATTAAGACATATCTATATATAAACGTATTCATTATCTGATTGTATGTTAAAGTGATTTCTACATTCAAGCTCAATTGAACAAAAGTAATTTTACTTTGATTCCAATTTCATTATTATTTACATAACTAAAATAACCCATCCTGTATAGATAGCTGTATACAAGAAAGTGCAGTAGAAAAGTTTAGTGTATTTAACGGCTTAGATTAAAAAAGTAGGCAATCAAAACAAGTTGAAAATGTTTTTTATCATTTTCATTTCGAAAACCCCTGATTTTTGAAGTGTCAAAGTCGTCGTTTGCAACATGACCAATGAAATGATAGGTTTACTCACTAAATGTAATAAAGGATTGAAGAACGCAACGTGAATAGACTAAACAAACTTAATGAAATATCCCACACATACCGAAATAATTTCTCAAGAACAGTTATGACACAGTAAACTACTCCGCTTATGGATGTTAAATAAGCGATCAGTGACTTACAAGTTGATAAAAGGTATAAATTATTAGTTGGCGTTGAATATTTACCTTGCTCAGTGATATAATTCACAACTATTTTACAAATATTTAATATATATATATATATATATATATATATATATATATATATATAAATATATATATATATATATATATATATATATATATATATATACTGTACTAAAAAGCCTACTAACACATTGTCAAAAAATATCACTTACATAGTGTACATATCCACCTTTTAAAATATTGGCTAATTTAGATTATTTTTTACTTTGTAGTTTACTCCAAATATGAAGTAAAACTAGTTCGAATTTCAATAAAGAACAGGTTCGTATGTTTGGCTTTGCGATACGATTTCGGTATATGATGTCTATTGACACAATACAGCTGACTAAATCGAGTTAAGGAGGATTAGTATTGAAACTTGAAACTTAGTGGTTGAAAGCTTAGGGTTATAACGAAATGTTCATTCATACGTAACCAAGGAGTAGGGACCTAGTCTCATATGTTTCAGTTAAATTTTAAAATATTTTGAACTCTTTGTTACTAAGGTAAAAAGAAATATGATTTCAATACGTGATAAGTTAGAACTTAATGAAACAACAACGGAACCACAGATTTCTTCATGGAAATATTACTGGCTTTTCATCAAAAATTTATTTATTGTAGAAACGTTGAGCAAACGAAAAAACAAGTACTACTTACTCGTGATGTTTTTGACGCAAGCGGTCACGTATCATATAGACAGGAACATAAGGAGGCTGATTAGCACTGGCTTCATTTTCTCGTAACTGATCTTGTAGCAAGTCTATTCACAAGCACAAAACCAAAAGGATCATAACCGAGATAAAAAAAATAGTTCAATAGAAATTACGGTTCATTATACCACAGATGTTCGTATCACTGAAAAATAATTTAACACAAGCAACCTAATGTTGGGGCAGTTATGAAAGAGAACAGAACCAACTACTGACAAAACCAACATAATTTAAGCTGCAAATACGCACTATTGTTTAACAAAATAAATCAGAAAATATTATTTTTTGTGAAACCACGATCAATAAAGCATATGAATGAGGCATTTCATTAAGAATTTTGTCAACTGTACACAATCAGTTAAATTAATTACAAAGGAATAAGCTAAAAGATCATTTGAATGAAAATCCTGCTCCAGTTATAGATCAAGAAGATATTTTCAGCCACGGTCAAGTAGGAACCAAACTCGTTAAGTTGATAAACATCAAAATCATTTCTGAGCAACCATAATATGTAAATAAGATACTTGTGAATAAATTATTTCTATTATAAATATCTTTCCCATGACATACTGGGACAAGACGCTTAACTGTCAAAGGGATTGTGGTACTTATTCTAGAGGATACTTACTTAAAAGCCATGTCTCAGTTAACTACAAACAGGAACCAAAACCTTTTTATCTTTTTTCTGAGCTTCGGTTTCTCATTCTCATGAACTACACATAAATTCATGGTTATTCTTAGTAAAGTGTACAACGAATAACGTATAATACCCGGTTACTTACACGATTAACACTTAACAAAACTAAATTTCAATAAGTCAAAAAATTACCTGACAACTTTTATAGTGACACCGTACTTACATACAACTTCTGCCACCAGTTCTCTCACTCGACAGTTTTGACGTTCTAATGCGCGTAATTTTCTAGAGCGAAGTAGATAAACTCCATAACAAATCCCCAAAATAATCACACAAACTAATACGACCCAGAAAAAAGTTACGCATACACCAGCAAACCATTGAAAACTCCGTCGGAGTCGGCAAACGCCAGGAAAATATGGTTTAAGACTTTCAAGTTCAGTGATTTGGATTACTCGACTAAATAAATAAATAAAACCACATATCAATTATTAATTTGAACGTGTCGTCTGGTTAACGAATATCATATCTTTAAATTTTGAATTGTTATGAATAAATAGAAAATCGCTTATTACGATCGAAAGAATCTTCACTTATTATGAGGTAATATGTTGCATACTATTAAGTTTGTAAACCCTATGATAGATGATTTACATTCACTTATATGGTTTAGTCCCACAAATGAAGAAAAAGCGATGACAAACATTGTTTTTAAACCTACATTTGATACTACTGAACGAGGAGAAAATTCATGTAGATAGTTACAAAGAATATGGAGCGACCAAAAGATGGCAGTAAAAACTTTCAAAGTAGTAGAAATATAGCTGAGTAGTTAAGACATTTACCTTCTATCCAGTAGATTGCAGGTTAGGAACTCGATTTGGGTAACCGGATAGTCTTGCATGGATTATATTACTTTTATTTTATATTACTAGTGCTAAAATAAACTTAGAATTCGTAAGTTATTTCAAGTTATTCTAATGCGGCACGTTAACCATATTATGAAGGCCTAATTACTGCTTTGATACATAGCAAATTGTCTGATTCTACATGACTGCGGAATAGCACCGCTAACTATTACTACTTACTGATAGCGTAATTGATTGTAAAAGCAGAGAAATACAACTATTAAATGCAGTATGAGTATCATAACAGCAAACATTTTAGATACTTGACTAGCTTACTTGAGTGGTCCTAGTTCAGATTTGCTAACGTCAACAGCAACAAGACTAAAATGTTTCTTTCCAACATGAAGTAGCACATATAGTGTATTATCCCACACCCGACGAAAATCAGTTTTCGGAAATGTCGGCCAGCCTTTCATTTGCAAGCTGTGCTCAACTAAACGTTCAGCAGAAGATACATCTAGACGAGGACTAGTTAAAACTTCAACTTTACAGTAAAACTCTCCTAAAATAAAAAATTTGCAACTCAGTGAGATATATGAAAACGAAATAGACAAACGGATAATCCTTGAAATACTCATTAAACACAACAACCAGATTTTTAATTGGAATAAGATCTAGTGCAACTCAGTAACTAATTGCAGATTTGTGTATTCAGCCTTGATCCACACTTCTGAATTTTGGTTTAATGAAAGCTCTCACTCTACCAGTTGTGTTGAGTTGAGTGTTCTAATCCTACCTGATAAGCGAACATTTCTAAAACGCGATGCTAACGCATAGAAAATGTCAGATTTCAATATATCGTCAGTAGCTTAACTAAAACAAAACAATTTTTAATGCCGTATGATTTCTAGTCATTCCTTACATTGCATTAGCTCATAAAAGCTTTTATTGAAATCGATAAAAGGTAATTCGACAAATAATCAAAAAAGCTTACCAGCGTAACGACTGAGAATATCATATAAAATCCCAAGAACCCATAAGGATGCAGTTAGATCATCTTCATGTAGACAGCGCTGGATAAAGATGGGGATTACAACTAATCGAACAAACTTACATGTAAGCCTTTTGTAAGACTATTATTGTAGTCGCCTGAAGATCGACAAAGTAACTTCTGTACATCTAAATAAATGTGAAACAAAATCAAACTAGAGTCATAATGATGCTTCTGGAAGATTCATCAGCTAGAAAGATGATATTTACCAGTTAATTACAATTTGTATGGCCTTAGACAGATAAACAGTCAGTCACAACGTGGAACCTGTACATCGGTCCAGGCTGTCATACCAATTAGCAGAGATGAAATTACCAGCCCAAATCCCAGAATAGTAGATGAAGTAACAGTATCAGGGGTGATTGAAAAGATTAGGTATCAAAGAAACGAGTCAAGAAAATGTAAATTAGTGAAATGAAAACACAGGAAAAGTTATAGAGAATTCAAAAACTTAGAACTCGGGCGAAGACAAAAAATGAATGCACCTGTTCCAATGCGAACAACTTTGAGTCATAACATGAACACAAACTGCATACATACCATACAAAGATAACAGTGAGGAGTCATGTTAACAATCAGGAAAAGGTGTTAATCAATATCAATGCAATGTACATGAGTGAAGATTTCGAAATGCAATATCATTTATTTCTAAAATGGCAAGTGTATAATTGAAATCGAGTTATTTGCTATTACATACCAATTTACGGTCTTATACTTTCATTTTATACAATTTTACATCGGACAATACAATCAAGGGTTATTGAACATGTGCCTAGATGGTTTTAGAGCCAATTAGTGTCACATGATCCGATTAACGTGGGAGGTAGAAAACCATGTTCGTCGATAGCGAAACATATAATTGAAATGGGGCACAAAATTGAAATTAATACAGCTTTTAAACGTTGTATAGAAATTGTCAAGGACGAATTCTCAAGTTTATTGAAGCCTTGGCTATTCGTAAATTTAAGCTCCCCTTATGTGTACAAAAACAATTTGTCGTGGCCATGAAACTACCCTGGTAATCATTAAGTCATTATATGGCCTAGGATAATGCGACAATTTCTTATTCTTTCTATACGATGTAAGATTGTTTCTCTCCCCTTTGTTACTTTTTACTTGAACTTTTATTTAATTGACTCATTGATTTTCACATTAAATTCCCTGACAAGTATATGTGTGACCAGATTATTCGAAATGTATGGCGCAAATACATCACATTTTTTAGATCAACTCCGTCTTCTCATTGTTCTATCGAAATTTATATATATATTGGGATATTCAGAAAAATATCCCGAAAATTATCCTGTTAATTTTAATGCTATCCTTGAGCGTGAAATGGTATCATTTTTCTATGAGTCAATATTTATTTCACGTGTCACTTTCCTGTTGGTCAATATTCACGGTAGTCCTAACTGCATAAATATGCATTTGTCTGTAAAGTATTATTCCTATTCTTACTCTTCTCCTGACCCCATAAACAATTTCATCTACGGTTCGTGTTCTGATATATTGGAGATTGGGGAACAGTTTTGGGGTCGTACTGGGATATCTGAAGTTAGTCAGTCGGTAGAAATAAGACTAGTCACCCCGCAGTCCACAATAATATATATACATATATATGCTCTATTATACATGAAATAATTCATAAACCAAGTATGGGTTTCCAACTAAAACATTCAACTACATTTCCAATGATTTTTACATCAACGACCCAAACAACGTGTCGAAGTAGGTTGAGAAAACGCAATCACAAAACACTTTAGTGACGAAACTAAAACACGGAAAACCAACTCTATGATTATCAAATTAGAAATCACTGATATAACATTTAAAGTGTCACATCCTTATGGCTTACCTGCCATTTTACCAACTTCTCCATGGTGATCCTTCAAGAATAAATAACTTGCAACTAACATAAAACACACGATAATGCTTGAAATAAGAATCAAATTAGGGATATTTGAGACACTGCAGGGGAAATGCTTCCCAAATAAGAAATAATTTGAAAATCTGTTCTTTTGATCATGCTGCTTTCGGCTACGAACAAGATCATTGAAATCAGTATCTTCAGATAAAATAGAAACACCGTGATATGTCGGCTTATCAAGATTCCTAGATGGTGGAGTGAAGAGAAGACCAGGAGACGTTGTGATTCCAGTATCTCGCGATTTCATGTTCCTAAAGTCAGTGGAAGATATTTGGAATTTTATTAATGACACGAATTTTAATGACGAACCGTAAGACCACTTAATACAAATACAAACCAACTAATTTAACCTACTGAGGCAGAAGTCAAACAGTATGACATCCCACTGTCTTCATTAACGTTAGGACTTTTGTACTACCCGTAGTGGGCATGGTAAGTGTACTTTCACCTGGATCTAAAATATTGATTCCCATTATCACTCACAGATCGAGCGAAATGCGTTAAGGTTTGTTTGTCCCAGGTCCAAGTTCGACTGACCAGGTTAGTTTACAACACTACCATGAGTTAAGGGATAGTTGTGTAGCATAAAGACACATTGTTTTGTTGTAATTTTAAGGGCCAAGCTCCCAGAGATCACAAAGAGTAGTATCTTGGATGTATTTACACATGTTCAAGATTGGAAACCAGTGGTAATCCTGTTGTAAATTTTTATTGCATTCTTGTCTGTCGCAGCTTTTCATTGTAATTATTAATGCTTAACTTCATATGTATGTCAATAAGTGATAATTTACTTTAAGTGATATTATCATGTTTCAAGATTGGATTACGCATACAGAGTTAAACACGCAGCCCTAAATACAACTAATCATATTTGAATTTTTAAAACACTGTGATTGGTACTTCAGAAGCAGCCCAGACGGCTGCAAAATGACAGCACTTTAACTGGTTACGTGAAATATTACCCGCTCAAATATGCACAATTGAAAATTGCTTGAAATAAAAGACTAAATGAAACAAAGAGCAAACCTGAATGGAGAGGAATATAGTCTCTTGAAGAAAGGGCTCCGAGTGGAATTTTCTATATCAGAAGTATCTGTATCTGATATTTGTAAACGATCATTGCTGTGTGAGGAACGACGAACACTAAGTTTGGATTTTTCATAAACAGACTCATCCCTTGGAGACCTGGGTTTCGTAAATTCATGGGCACTCCGATTGAGCCAACCAGTAACTCTGGACAAGGTGGATGACATCGAACTTGGTTTTGATAATTCCTCATCTGTATCATCGTCTACAGAATCATCCTTAATATAAACATACGTTTTCCTGGTGGGTGTATAACCAACTGAGCTTTGATTTAGGTCACGTGAAAATCTTTGTGCAGGATACTGCGTATGTGAAGAAACTGAAGTGATCGTATCGGAATCGTTACGAAACTTATTCACAGGTTCCGTTTGAGATGTTCCTATTGGAATTAATCTCGGAAGTATGTCAGTGTAAGGTTCAGATAAATCCACATTATGTCCGGTAAGAGGTGGCTTGGATTTTGAATATTGTGTACTGGGAAAGTGTTTATTCTCTGTTCCTAGATTGAAAATTAAAAAGCAGAATAGTAATTCAATGATCTGCATCCCTGAAATAACTAATATTATATGAGCATATGACCATGCACAAGCCTGCTAATTCGATTTTTCAAATACACAAGTAATAATAAGCCTTGAGGAAATAATCATGAACTTTACCTTTTTTTTCGAATGAGTTTCAATATATTTAGGATTGTCTACTTCACCAATGAAAATAAATACCTGTAAGCTCGGAGTTTGTTTACTGACTTAACAATCATACAAAACGTTATGACAAATAGATACTGTGACAATGACCACGCACAATTAGGAGTTAATTGCTATGGAAAACCCAACGACGTGAAACTTACTACGTAAGGCTGTATACCTACAAAGCGCTAATAACAGTACCTCTAATTTGATGTACGGTTTGGACTTATAACATGCACAATAAGACAAGTGTGCAACAACAACTTAATTGTTGTTTGAAGCTAACTTTGCGTCACAACTACGTAAACTTGCTGAACGAAATATAAGAGAATAAGGAGATGGTAAAGACAGATAACTGTGAAGAGTATTTCAGCTTCATAGTAAAGGATAATAAATTGGTCCGAAGATACATAAAAGTTCAACTGAGAGACAAAAGACTATGATACAGTTATACCAATGTTGCTTCTTAACCATGTTAGATATCGCACGGAGCAGCGAAGTTATGATTTATAAAGCACTTTTGAGTGCTTAAATAAACAATAAAATGAAAAACCATTTATCACATTACAATGTGACAGATTGTCAGTTAATCTAATTTGGTCTCATTTTCATAAATGTCACATGTGAATATTCTCCGCACCTACAAATTTCGTATTTGCCACAGATAGATGTGATATAGATGAATCCCCTTAGGACATAAATATTTGGCTTCTTACCATACAGATGACAAGAGTGACAACTAAACACCTGAAAAAACTCTGAATATGATATAAATGCAGCTGTTTACAAGGAAAGATCTAAGTTAAAGTCGTTTCAATTACCCAACCCAAGTAGAACAAAGTTCATTGAGAAATCATTCGTAAGTATTTGAAATTATGGTTTCTATACATCTACAATGCTTATAAGCTAGTACTAAACTTCGACGATAACATAAGTGCCTTCAGAGATTTCATGAAAAGCAAAAGATACCGACTATATTACAAAATATTGCATTACGAAGGTATACACATGTAACTTTAGGATCAAATAACGTACCTATGTCATGATTTGATTCGACAGTTGTATGCTTACGACTGATTACACTGGAACCTTCTGTTCCTGAAGAGATTGAATTTATAGTCCCAGTTGATTTGCGTAACTTAGATATTTGTTTAGGTGTTTCTGACACTTCTTTTGTTGAAATACCCACACTGAACGACTTTTTCTCCTTTTGGAGCTTTTCAAGTTTTTTTACATAGACAGACCTTGTAGTTGCTGTTATTGGACCTGGATCAAAGCCCAAAGCCTTGAGTTCCCTCCGCAGCTCATCGTCTCTTAGGGATGCTGCCATAAAAGTTTTGTACTAATGATGAATATGTGAGAGAGAGAAACAGCCTATACGTTATTAAAAATGAGTCTAGCAACCCAAACCTAAAAATTGTATGGCCCAGCGAACTAAACCAGCAACAACTTTTAAAGGTGATACACCACAGAGGTTTAAGCAACGATGCTTTGCTACTAACTATGTTCAATATGTAAGTTTTCAAAATTTAAAATTCGAACTTTGCTAAACAGAATTAGCAAACTGCGAATTCCTTGAGTTCTGAATATAAGCAGTCGAAAGACTTTTTTGGTTATGAAGAGATATGTTTTTTTACTCATTTTGAGATCTTAAAGGCTAAAACAACTAATTCGTAATAGAGTAGTCAACAGGTGTCAAGTGGAGTAATTCCTGCTAAGTTCCTGAAGGGCTGAAGGATCAAGAAGAATGAGCAACCATTATAGCTTTTTTAGAGATTTTGACGACTTTCTGAACCAAACCTTGAAAACACATTTGGTGGCAATACGGATTGAATGCCATACTAAGTGTGGTGTACTATTGAAATATATGAATAGTCTATAAATGTGTGAAGAATTACGAGCATTCTAGTGTATAGTAACTCTACTTGAAGTCTCTCTACGGGCTCTGCCTGTCCCAAAACGTAGATAAATTAGGAAGTCGGGAAAATAGCTCAAAAAAATCCATCTGAAGTATTTTGTACTGCGTCAAGCCCACGCAGATTATTCTAGCTTTTTCGTTCGTTCCTCATGATTTACACTTCGAATTCGCCATTGATTCGTTTATTAGCCTTGACTGTTTTTTATTTGAGCGTATGTAATGCTTACCCTTCTCATCACAAGTCGGTAATTTTTTTCGACTATACACTTCACTCGCTATCTCCTCTTCACTTGGTTTTCCTGCTTCTCACTCTGAATGTCGGTTTGAATAATTAAGAGTGCTTGAACTGAACCCATCCAACACAACGCTTATATGATTTCTTATGATCGCCGTCACACAGAGTGGGTTAACCCAAGTAATGTACAGAGTTAAGGGTAATATTTATGTCTGTAGCATTTTCATGCGCTTAAAGTGGTGTCAAATAATGAGCCACAAAATGTACTGTAAGGAAATTGAAGATGACACAGGTATTCAGCCTTTGACAACGCTTTTACAAGCAACACCTAATATAACTCGTACCCACCAAGAGGAATCAAAAGGCAGAGTAGAGGAGATCGGAAGTGTGTAGTTGACGATTACCAATATATCGGAATTCTCTGATCTAATCTGGCTAGCGATTGTGGTAGATGTTGAACCCGGCGTTACCACACGTGATCTGATGCGGATGCATGACCGAGTGCCTTCAGCTAGATGAGTCAACTAAAACACATGGTCAGCATCCAATGTCGAAAACTTACAGAGCTATTTATTTTGGGGATTTATTTACCGCTACAGATCACTCCCCTCTTGTGGCATAGTGATGACCCTAAGACGTGGCCAGCCAAAAGTTTAAACCCAACGAGTTTGTCGTTGGTAAACAGTCTTCTGATAGGTTGCTAGGTTTAGCAGCGTCTGGTCGTCTTTCCTTACTATATGGGACCGAGGTACAACATAGTAAAAAAAGAAATGTACAATGAAAATTTCGACTACTCGTGAACTGCATCGTTCTGTTCCAGAGGTACTGGAAAAGAAAAAATGAAATGTAAGCGCACTCGTATGTGCGTAAAAACACAATGTCGTCGAAAAAATTTGAGAATAAACTCATGCACACGTAATAGCGTTAGAAAAAATTTATAATGTGTTTTTTTTAATATAGATATAAATATATAAGCATAATAAAGTTATTTTTTATTGTTATAAATCGTAAAATGAAAGATCGAGATAATATAAAATGTCGAGTAGTGCCTTACGTGCAGTAGTCGTTTAAATGTTCTGGAAATCTTACTCCTCTTCCAGAACGCGTCGTTTTAAGTTCATTTTCAGACACATTTGGAATGTCATCGTTAGTGTTGGTTGTCGGCTGAAGAATTATGAGCGTAGGAGTCGTGTTGTGCGATTGTACCGAAGGAAAGTCGACGTGAATAGGATTTCCTTCTAAATACGATGCTTTTAAGATATCTATGCTGATGCTATCGTTTGTTCTGTTCTTATCGACTATAAAGTACTTAGATTCACGCTGAAGAACTTTGAAAGGTCCTTCGTATGCTGATTCGAATGGTCGTCGATCACGTTGGGCTCACCAGTGTAGATCACCAACATACATGATCCATGTCGAAAATGATTGGAGGCCTACTCAAGTTGGACGTGAATGGTGTGACAAACTAGCTAATGTCGAAGTCACACCTCATGGTCAGCACCTTACGTGGAGTACCCCATCGACGTTTCAAGGTACAATAGATGCTTTGAAGACTTCCAAACACAGAGGACGTTATTACGGAAATATATTAGTTAAAGTAGATAGAAGCGAAAGTAAGACCACTGCCGCATAGGCCAGTCTATTGCATACGATTAACTGATGCGCGTTGGTCACCCCTGACGTTGACGAGGATCCATGATTTGCTCAATATTGAATGACCCAACTGCCGGCTGATTTGGTTAAGGCTTAGTGACATTTCGCTGGCCCTACAAAATATAGCTCCAACAACGCCAACCAAGAATAATCCTTTAAACGTTTTTATTGTTGTTGAGCACATTTATATATAAACCTCTGTTTTTGTTTGTGTTCAGTATCTATCACTTGTCAAGCTTTAAAAGACACTTTATCTAAAGATCAGTTTTCTCTGTGAAATCATGAAACAAATTTATGGCTCAATTGAAACATCGTTATGGCAGACTTGCTTACAATTTCCCCGTTGATGGTATGCAGTGTGAAAAATGCAATAAATTCCCAAGCTGCCAACTTTGGGGAATTTTTGGTCCATTTTGGGGAGGCCGCTATACTAACTTTTGGGGAAATGAGACGCAAACCCCAAAATTTCCACAAACGTTGGAAAGGCTATTTCATTTTGGGGATTTCCCCAAAGTTGGTAGCTTAGGTAGTATCACAATATGTACACCGAAATCTAACCGGCTGAATATAAACGGTGCTGCTAGCAATTATCACGTTGTTTGTGTAGAAAATGTTGCTCTACAATGTCTCTGCTGATTGCAGAGGTGATTGAGCTGCTGAACACAGCTGGAAAATTGCTCTAAGATAAACAGGCAGCAGTAGATGAACGAAATTCCGATTTCAAATAAATTGAAAGTGTTATCATGAGCCCAGCTATGGATTTGAAATACACCATAAACGTGGACCCTATCAGCGAAGCAGATAACAAGCATATGGATGTAGGTACCATCACAAGGAAAAAGAAAAGACGCGATGAGAAGAAGCTACCTTTAGAAAGTACTGAGGCATGTGAGTCTACGGTTTCAATTTCGGATTCACATATCAGTGCAATACAAATTATGGGTAGACCAAATCTGAGCGTTGTAGAGGTGATTAAGAGACGAAATAATGTATATGAATGTGTTGGGATATTCAGAAAAATATCCCAAAAACAATTATCCGGTTAAGTCTAATGCTACCCTTGAACGTTAATGGTATCATTTCCCTATTGGTTGTTTCCCTACTAATCAATATTTATTTCGTGTGTCATTTCCCCATGGGTCAATATTATTTCACGTGTTATCTTTCTGTTGGTCAATATTTATAGTAATCCTAACTGTATAAATATGCATTTGTTTGTAAATCATTATTCGGCTTCTGACCCCATAAACAATTTTTCATCTACGGTTCGTGTTCTGATATATTGGAGATTGGGAACAGTATTGGGGTCGAACTGGGATATCTGAAGCTAGTCAATCGGTAGAAATTAGAGTAGTCACCTCGCGATACACAATAATTTGGCGACCGAGATTTAGCAAAGAAGTTGGTGATTAACTATGGATCCAGCCAAACTAGAAAAATTGTTCGAACAGCAGTTGAAGCTGATGGAGATGATTGCTCACACGCACATATCTTCTCGAGTTCCAACTACACCGACAATTCCTGAATCAGTTGATGGTATCACAAGTGGTATCTCGGAATTCCTTTATGATTCTGATGCCAGCATTACATTTGATACCTGGTTCAGACGTTATGAAGACCTTTTCATAGTTGATTTTGCTGACAGAGATGATGCGTGGAAGGTGCGTCTCCTGCTTCGTAAACTTGGTCCATCCGAGCTGGATAAGTATTGCAACTTTATTCTACCGCAGAACCCACGCGACCGTTCATTCGACGCCACTATTCAGTCCCTTAGCCAACTTTTTGGTGATCATCACTCACTCTTCAGTACTCGATATCGCTGCTTAAAACTGATCATGAATGAGTCCGATGACTTCCTGACCCACGTCGGCGTTGCTAACCGTGAGTGCGAACGGTTCAAGCTCAGATCCCTCACTGAAGACCAATTCAAGTCCCTAATACTCATATGCAGTCTTCAGTCACCCAAATTCTCCGACATCAGAACTCGGTTGCTTAAACGCCTTGAACAAGATCCAACACTGACACTTAATGCGATCATAGACGAGTACCAGCGCATCATCAATCTGCAGCGTGACACCACTTTGGTTCAATCTGGTGGCCAGGGTGGTTCCGAAGTTCATGCTGTTCAGCACCAAAGAAAATCTTCGAGATCGACGACCTCGAGTCTTTCGAACGCCAGCGCTGTTTCTGTCTCTAATCACTCTAAACCGGCTCAGAAGAAGCCCCCCTCTCCATGTTGGCACTGTGGAGCCTGGCATTATGTGCAGTTTTGTCCATTCAAACAGCATGTGTGTGATCGCTGTCAGAAAGTTGGTCACAAAAGCGGCTTTTGCAAATCCAACCGATCCAATAACCGTCGAAATGCACAGACGCAGCGTCGTTTTCACAAAAAGCCGATTACCTCATCAAGGAGTTTAGCAGCAGTCTTCCATACTCATGCCGCGACTCGACGCAAATTTTTGACCCTCTCAATCAATGGTCAGCCAGTTCGTTTGCAGTTGGACACTGCATCAGATATCACCATTCTGTCGAAAAAGACTTGGCGAACCTTGGGTCAACCTCCCATCAAACCATCCTCTCAGACAGCCGTCAGTGCCTGTGGGGGTCATCTCCGCCTTCATGGTGAACTCTGTTGCTGCATTTCATTCAGAGGTACAACCTTCGATGGGACATGCTACATCACCGAT